TACAACTTGCTTGGTATTCAATGAGCAATATTTAAATTATACAATTTATTTGTAGTACACTATACAAGAGCGGATACAGGAATTTATTTTATTCCCATGGGCACCCCTCTGTATCCGCCAGTGACTCTATACTATAATCAAAAATAAAATGATTTTTCTCCGATATTTTTGGGTGTAGAAATGATACAAAAAAAATGATTGGGTGTAGGAAAATCTACAAAATAAAATAATTATTTCATTTTATAGATTTAATAATTTTAAAAAAATAATTTTTAAATAATTATTTTTTTATTGATTAATTTTTTTGCAGTGTTTACAAAAGATAATTATTTTATTTTTAAATTTTCTTACAGTGCAAGTGGCGTGACCCATAGGAGTTTTTTGAACAAACAATCAATGGTATTTATACAATATGATCGAATAAAAACGGCGCCAGCGATGGCTATGAAATGAAGATCGCTGTCATTTTATTGTAAAATTATATGGGAAATGTCATCGATCGTCTATTTCCAAGCTAACTAGACCGACTAGACGTCGTTTTTTTTCGATCATACGGTATATTAGGACCTTCTGTGTTTACTATTTCTGTTTTTCTACTACTCTAACACTCCATACATTAACACTATGCCCTTATGTTAAAGATGAGAGAAATCATATTTCTGTAAGCTGACACATGGCCCAAAAATCAACAACTATTTTGAACCTTGTGACTCATACAATCCAAAAAACAGAAATATTAATCTTCTGAAATGTTAAGCGCTCATTAGCAGTCCATAATCGTAATAATATTCGGCCGGAATGCGGAATGAGACGGTTGTTTACCAAATGACACTCGAAAATTTCGAGCGTCGTACGCTGGAACTTCCCGCAAGATTTATGGCACGAAAACATCGCGAATCGCCACATGGCACCGGTATTTTTGCAAAAACATTGATGACGCAGTCGATGTGGATGGACTTTCAATGCGCCGTTTCACCTGCAAGAATCGACAGCGAATATTCTAACTCTATATTTTTCTGGAAAAAAAAGAATATAGTTCTTCCCTTAATACATTCTTGAGCTTAAGATTAATTTCGGATTATGCGACTGCTCTAAATACGCTGGGAAAACATAGTTATGTTACGATAGGCTAGGTATAGTATACCGGGGCACATCCACCATCAATGGGAATTTCAAAGACCTCAAACCTAGGATCTAGGACGACTCAGCCTTAAATGAGTACTTGGGATTCACAATCCTGAGGTAATAATAGGCGGCTGAAGCGTAGTGCTAGCCACATTACCTTCCTTGTATACCGAACGGCTCTAGCATGGCAAGCTGTACCTTGCTACTCCCAAGGCGTTAAACGCTATATACTGGAGCTATTATTTAAATTATTATTATTATTAAATTTAATTTTGATATCAATATGACTCCTGTTTGTTGGGTGCGCCACCTACATGCGTTTTAACTGTTTTGAAGAGTAATAACTTTTCTCGTCCGTACCTGTATAAAACTACTGGATGAAGAATCCGTAATTTTTAACGTAAAAAATGTATCTTGGTTAAAATCGCTACGAGTAATGGTTCTCGAGATATTTGGAATCTAAATTACCAATTCTTGTCATAATTGACATAAATTAAACATGTTGACTAAATAGTTATTAGGCTGAAAACGTAAATTTGAAATGTTTTTTGTGCCAAAAGTTCAACAGAAACTGTTTTATCATTTTTTCGAAGAAAAAAATATGATTAATTTAAAAAAATAAAAAGTTCCCAAATTTATCATTTCAATCAAATTACAAATTACTATCTACTCAACATTTTTTGTCAATAATGACGTTGTATTGACTATTTCCATTAAATATCTTGAGAACGGTTGCTCGTAGCGATTTTTATAAAGAGGCATTTTTTACGTAAACAATTACGGAAATGTATATTTTTTCGCTCAGTAGTTTTCAGGCGGCCACTGCGAGCGTAACTAAACTAAGCTAAGAATATAAAAACAAACGGTAACTAAACGAAAATAAGTTTCATCGGCCACTGGGAACGATTTTCGCTCAGTAGTCAGCTAAGTTAGCTGTGTTTTCGTATTGTATCTCTGCTGTCATAGAACTAATCGCTGCGAAAAATTCGCTGGAACCTGTCACGAACTAAAACGAGCGAAACTAAACAAAAAACAAATCTTATCTTCGCCTGGCTTAGTTTAGTTTCGCTCGCAGTTACCACCCGCCTTAAAAGGCGGGCGGCCACTACGAAACTAAACTAAACCAAGCGAAGATTAGTTTTGTAAAAATCAGCTCCCATATTTTTAAATGCATCAGCGGCCACTTGAGCGAAACTAAACGAAAATATATGAACGAAGATTCAAATCGTAGTTTAGTTTCGCTAGTTTTAGTTCGTGACAGGTTCCAGCGAATTTTTCGCAGCGATTAGTTCTATAACAGCAGAGATACAATACGAAAACGCAGCTAACTTAGCTGACTACTTAGCGAAAATCGTTGCCAGTGGCCGATGAAACTTATTTTCGTTTAGTTACCGTTTGTTTTTATACTCTTAGCTTAGTTTAGTTACGCTCGCAGTGGCCGCCTGCCTTTTTATACAGGTACGGACGAAAAGTTATTACTCTTCAAAACATTTAAAAATTATGTAGGTGACACCCTCTACAAGTACGACTCATATTGACATCAAAATCAAATTTCTCATGTCAAAAACTCCCAGACACCAATTTTCATCAAAATATTGACGTTACTTTGGAAAAAATCAAGATAAAAATGGATCTTCTACACCCTGTATCTCCGAAACTAAGCATTTTAGGACATACATCTATACGAACTTTTTTACATATTTTTATCTGCAGAATATGCTGCCGAAGTTTCCGGAATACAGTTCGGATTACCCTGTATATTCCGAGATGAACCGTGTTCTCAAAGTGATATCCGTTCTCAAAAGCGGGTCATTTAGCAACTATTCCTCCATAGGACTAAAGAACTGTTATTGCTGCTTGGTACATATCTATTTGTTTGCTGGTAGTAATATCTGAGTTTCGGAAAACCAACCCTCAACGATGAATGATACTCTACCAAGACAATGCAAGTTCCCACACAGCTCGAAAAACAATTGAGTTTTTAAAGCAAGAAAACATCGAATTTCTCTATATATCCTCCATATACAGTACCGATCTAAGTCCTAACGACTTTTTACTTTTCCAAAAATTAAGAATTAACTCAGTGGTCAAAGGTTCCAGTTCCAGAAGATGCAGTTAGTGTTAGCGCCTTCAAAAACGTAATTTTGAAGGTACCAACAAGGAATGGAATAACTACTTTCAGAATTAATTCCAACGGATGTAAAAATGCATCTATCTTCGTAGGGAATACTTCGAAATCAATAGTATTTAAGAGTTAGAGGAAATGAGGGCAATTTGAAGCTATGCGTGCCTACGTGGCGCTATCTATTTAAATATGGTATAAAGTATAAACTACTAGATCAGCTTGTATTTAGTGGACAACATATTTTGTAGTTTTCATTTAAATTTATAGTACAGAGCAAAAATATGTGACAAAAACTTTATTAGTGGAAATTAAATCGGCAATCATTGCCCTGATTTTTGATTTAAATTAACTTATTTAATTGCGTCTTGAGGTAAGTATTGGTTTATATTTTAATTTATTAAATGTACTCTTTCGATATGTTAATGTATATATATATATATATATTTTTACCGATTATAGAGTAGGTCTTCACGTAGCTAATTTGGAATACTGATGCATATTTGGAATAGTCCAAATTATGTTCATCTTGCTGCTTTTCGATTCTATAATGTATGTAAGTTTCTATGGCACGCACTGTGGTTCAATCAGCTTGATGGATTTTATTATACAGGTTATTAATTTGTTAATTACTCGCGGCAAAAGCTTTATGGTTGAAATATGGCAACCTCGGACCGCTCGTCGAGAGACGACGCGACGGGACGCGGATGAGTCGGCAGCGCTTAGTACTTATTTCGAATGTAGGCAGTGTTGCCATTCTGTTCCCCAACAAGTAACCGTCCAGTTAACAATCTGTATAAGGTGTCTGGTATCGATAGATTTGTTTTAATCTGGTCGTATTTGTAGGAGAGATTTAGGGTAACAGAAGCAAAAATCAGATGACAAGAATAAATAGTGAATCTAATGCAAGGTAAATTATTTCGACCTCCTCAGAACTCGCTCCAGAATTTGATTTAAATAGAGAGCCAGAAGAAACTGTATTCGGGTTCTTGTTATTTCTGATTCTGAACCGTTCTAGAACTCTGCAGAGCATGCGCAAATGAAATAATTATTTCATATTTCCTACTGCGCTTGCGTATCACAGTTACAGGACGGCTCAGAATCGGGAATAAGAAAAACCCAAAGTAAGCTTTATGTTTTTTTTTTCAGCGAAGGAAAGGTATAAGGGGAGAATAGTAGGATCAGTACTTCACATGCGAATCATGCGTGCACTTTGTGTCAGATATGACGCTGGACCGTATATGTGTGTGACTATACTGTAAATATTCTACCTAATTTTCTCTTTTAATAAATATTTGGATATTTTTTTAACAATGTTTTATTTACCTTTCTAATATAAACAACATATCTGCTGCTATTTTGGTGGTATTCTAAATTGCCTGCATGTTACGTCGACAGAGATTTTTTGCACTTTTTTTTAATGTGTGAAAAGTTCCATTTAAAATTTAAAGTACGTCAAAAACTTTGAAACTTTCGTATGGCATACAACATACCTACGTAGATCTAAGGCAAGCTATTTTATTTAACTACTATACCAAAATACCTCCATTTCCTCTATACCTACTGTTTTTCTCTACTTCTATATGCAAAATATAAAACACAACCCCGTAATAGAAAAAAAGAGCCTGTGATCATCGATGATTCGAAGATGTGACACGGCCTGTGCCGGGCATCGGGCGGAATCTCCGGAATCGCATCGAAAAACAGAATCCGGTATGACGTGGGTTCCGCAGCGCGATCTTCTATAAAACGATCGCGCCGGCCGCGACCGCAAACAGAAACGAATCGTACACCAAGAACGGTCACGTCCAAAACGTCACTCAAAGGCTATTTACTTTCCACAACCTACTTCGCGCCGCTTTCGCGAAAGTTCAAGTTGACTTGAATCTTTTTCCTCGTTCAGTTTGGAATCGAAGCGACGACACGCAGTCGAAAGTTTACGTTAGAATTCTGGGAAAAATGATCGGTTTCGTTGGTATTTTGTGCGTTTGTGCGCTGATCGGTGGTTCGCAGGGATCGGCCATACCTATGTGGGAGTTTTTAAGCAAACAAGAAAAGGTAAGGGGTTAGTAGTTAATAAAATCAAGTCAGAAACAGAGCTGCGACAAGTCAGTTTTAAAAAGACTTAAGTCTTAAGTCATTTCTAAAATCAAAATTATTTGAGTCTTAAGTCAAATTCAACATAAACTTCAAATGATTTAAATCTTAAGAGTCCATTTCACTAGTCCAAAAAAGTAGCAAAATAAGCGTTCGGCATTTAACTTTTTATGTAAAACTGACTAGGTATTTTTACACAAATAATGAAGAAGGGAATTAAAGATAAAAGATTATACTATATCCGTATTGTAGCACATTTTTAGACAACTTCTTTATTTTTAAGATTTTGATTTTTAACTAAGAGAATATAACAAAAATCTCAAATTGGAAATCGGATATAGATCTTTTTTATCCAATCGATTGCTAAATCACACTGTATACCGGGTGCGTCTCAAAAGTGGCTCACCCCTATAACTTTTTTATTTCTTCAGATAAAAAAACGAGATTTGGTATGTTAGTATACAACATAAATTAGGATTGATTGACATATTCAATTGTTTTTGGTCTCTTCCGGTTTCACCGGAAATGACTACAACTTTTGATTTTTAAATGGCACTCTCGGTATTTTTTTAATTTATTGGATAGAAAATGACATTCTGAATAGAATGACAGATCATATGTCAACTTTTAACATTCTCGCTTAATAAAAAATCGTATTTTAAAATTCAATCTCGAGTGCCGTGGCTATGTTAAAAACACTAATTCTTAATCAGGGAGCCTTGGAAAAATAGATTTGATCGTCTAATGTTATTATATAGTGTCTTGTCCTGGCAAAGAGTAGATAAGACAAGAGACGACAGTTCGCGCGGTACCTTTCATGTTTGAGTGGTGGGGAGAGTGACCTCGTCTCGCTTGTCCCTTTAAATTTTCGTAATTTTTTTGCGGGAAATTTAAAATAGACTATTATTAAAACTTGCCTGTATAGCTTATAAATAGTTACTGTATGGGTAAAGAAATAAATAGAAACGAAAAAAAAATGAGTTTTCTAAATATTATATAAAATAAATTATAATTAGAAACATATTTGTCGGGGAATAAAGATAATAAAAGCAATATTTTGTATATCGTTTGTAAACAAGATAAAGTGACCAAGTCGATTTGTAGGAAATGTTTTATTTACGTGTATTTTTTTTTTACATATGGACTTGAACAAGTGCAAAATCACAATGTGGAGTTTATGTACAAAAAAATAGAGTTGCTCAATTTTTTTTGTAAAAATATATTACAAGCTTCTAACCATGTCTTCGATCTTAGTTTAATAACTTCTTTAAGTCTTCTTTCTTAGTTTAATAACATAATTATATAGTATATTTCTATAAAATACTTTTTCAGGATCCTTTGAAAAGAGTGAAATATTATGTTTGTCGAAGAATAAGACCTATTTTTGCAGTCTTTATAAGCACACATTGCCACCATCTCGTCTTTTTCCTACTACTCGTGTCCTGTTCAGTATTCATATTTAACAATATTTACAAATTAGTACGCAACAAAAACGATACTAAAATTAAAACTCTCAAAACGATAAGATATCGAAAAACTCTGAAAACACACTTTTAAAAGGCAAAATGCAAGAAAACAACTAATCAGATTTGTTTATGTTTAAGCCTGATTAGCACAGCTGATTAGCGTCCTAAAATCATAGGTTAGATTTTAGATTAGATAAAATACGCCGTTGTGAGATTTTGAGATTTTATCTGTTTATCTTTGAAATCGATCAACTTATTAGTCATTCTGTTTCTTTGATATTATCAGTACATTACGAAAAAGAACCTAAACCAACCTAAACTAAAATTTACATTTCCGTATTAACATACGTTACTTATATCCTTCTTATATTATTAATTTATTTTCAGAAAATCTTGTTTATTTTTCAAAGAAATATACTTGGCAACAGACAAAATGGGACTTGATGGGACCTTTAAATTTTAATATATCTGCGTCTCTCTCGCGAAATTCGACTTCTTTGTTCACTGTCGTCTCTTGTCTTATCTACTCTTTGGTCCTGGCCAGTTAGAAAATGATAAAATCGTATTTTTAATCATATCTCAATTTTTTCAAATGGAAGGAGGGTGGCTCATTAGCATATTTGGAAAAAGCATTTTTTTACGAATAATTTGATACCACACACTTGGTATTTCGAGTCAAATTTTCGTTACGAACCCCAAGTTATAATTTGAAATAAACCATATACAAAAATGTCAAAAGTTGACATATGATATGTCATTCTGTTCAGAGTGTTATTTTCTTTCGAATAAAGTAAAAAAATACCGAGGGTGCCATTTAAAAATCAAAAGTTGTAGTCATTTCCGGCGAAACAGGAAGTGACCGAAAACAATTGAACACGTCAATCAATCCTAATTTATGTCATATACTAACATACCAAATCTCGTTTTTTAACTGAAAGAATAAAAAAGTGATAGGGGTGAGCCATTTTTGAGACGCATCCGGTACATTGGTGGAGTCTCAAAAATTCTCTTCATTTGATTATAACAGCGAAAACTATTTATCTTTATAAATTTCCGTCAAATTTGAGACATCAACCAAACTAGGGTGTCTTGGCATGTTTATTATTTAGAAATTTTTAAATCAGACTCTATATCTGAAGAAAGATAGCAGGTACACTTTAAAGCTGATAGTCAAAATGGTTGATTTTTCCGAAACATAAAAATGTTTCTGTTCCTTTGAAAACATTAGTATTTTACAATAAAACATTTTGTATATAGAAAACTCTAAGGAAACAATTTTCACTAGATATTAAATATAATCAAGCTATTGCATGTGTGTAACTAGTTATTCAGAAAATGGATGTACTTAGGCTAGATAAAATGTACTTCCTATTACAAAAAGAAAGTATAGTGCGGGTGTAATAATAAGTTGAGGAAAAGGAAAAGCCAACAAAGAAAAGTGGTTAACCGCAGACACGTGTTTCCGCTTGTCTAGTTTGGAAATTCTGGCCTTAGCCAATCATTTGCTTTATTTTTCTATATCCAAGTTAGGACGCACTGCACTGTCATTTTTTTTAATCGAATACTAATAATATACAGAGTGATGTAAAAGAGTTTGTCCAAATTCAAAATTAGTTTTTATGTTATTACTCAAAAAAAAAAACAATGTAAATTAGTATTGTATAATGTAATACACATTATACAGGGTCAGGCAATAGTGCGTCGGACATCTGTAGCTTCTAGAATAAAAAACTTGGAAATTTTGTTTAAGTGCTAACGTAAAGTATGTACTAGGACGTATTTCAGGAAAATATTTTAACTTCTACAGGGTGGCTCAAAAAAGTGTGAGTGGATTTGGATGATTTTTTTTTAAATGGAACACCCTGTATATTATTGCATTTTTGGCTTTTTTTCAGATCACTTTACATAATCCTAAAATATGAGTAAATCTATTTCGATAGTTTCAGAGATATTAAAAAATAAATCAAAAATATATATTTTTCAACCCTTCTTAAAAAAATATTAAAAATACAAGAACTGTTCTGAAATCAAAACTATATTAGATATTTACTTTAGATGGTCTGTTCTTACTTTGCCATAAATATGGTAATCGTAAATGATACAGGATGTTCAATATTTTACGCCAAACTTTCAAAAATATAAAATAATTTTTCTTCGTTTTTTTTTTAAATGTGCAAAAAAACACCCTGTATATTATTTTTTTATTTGATGGAGAATTAAAAAATGAACATTTTTTGTATTTAAAGTATTTCAAAATGTTTAATAGTTTTCCGGATACACGCATTATTATTTCATATGGCGCTTTCAGTGGTAAAATACGAGAGAAAAATCAGTGGGTGGCTTTCATAAAAATTTACTGTGGAAAATGCCATATGAAATACAAAACCGGGAATATCTGCGAAACCGTTAAAAATTTTGAAATACTCTAAACGCAAAAAATGTTCATTTTTTAATTCTACATCTATTGAAAAAATAATATACAGGGTGTTCCATTTAAAAAAAAACGAAGAAAAATTATTTTATTTTAGAAAGTTTGGCGTAGAATTTTGAACATCCTGTATGCTTTACGATTTCCATATTTATAGAAAAGTAAGTAAGACCATCTAAAGTAAATATCTAATAGATATAGTTTTGATTTCAGGACAGTTCTTGTATTATTAATCATTTTTTTAAGAAAGGCTGAAAAATATATAATTTTTATTTATTTTTTAATATATCTGAAATTATAGAAATATATTTACTCATGACTTAGGATTATGTAAAGTGATCTGAAAGGAAGCCAAAAATGCAATAATATACATGGTTGTTCCATTTAAAAAAAAATCATCCCGATCCATTCACACTTTTTTGAGCCACCCTATAGAAGTTAAAATATTTTCCTGAAATACATCCTAGTACATACTTTAGGTTTGCACTTAAACAAAATTACCAAGTTTTTTATTTTGGGAGCTACAGATGTTCGACGCACTATTGCCGGACCCTGTACAACATTTTAATACTTTTGATCATTGTATAGTAATCAGGGGCGGATACAGAAATTTATTTTAAGGGGGGCCCAAATAAAAAATACTGCAAAATATGCCTTTTTGGGCGCCATTTTTAAGCCATAAGCCTAATATTTAACCCAATTTACAGATTTTAGAGGGGGTCCGGGCCCCATGGGCCCCCCCTCTGTATCCGCCACTGATAGTAGTACAAATTATTATATTATACTAAATGAAAAGGACTTTAAAACAGAACAAAATTTACAAAAACTTCTTTTTCACGCGATTTTTTTCTTGAATTTCCTGTTACATTCTATTATAAATTTGTGTGTGTGTTTACGTGATATTCCTCTTAATTGTGGATCATTATACGGTCTAAATAAAATCTCTCTAACGTTAATTATTTCTATACTTATTTTCTTTTTTTATTTGTTGTAAGAAAATGTCATGTTTGTGCAACACATTTTTAATTATTTTTTCTGTAATTTTAATTACTCTATTTTTTGTTTCTTGAAATATAAATCATATTATCATGTCTTTGAACTTTGATCTAAATTCTTGCCATAAATAAGTCTCCTTATTGATTTTTTGACCTTAAATGCAGTTATTATAACTTATTTTTATTTTATTTTTTCTTGTCGTGTCATGATACTTAATTAGAACCTTGTTCAACTTGGTTTATAATTACCAGAACAAAATATGAAAATAAAATATTATTTTTCTCTTTTATATTTCTCGGCGTAATATCTCCCGATGTAACATTTTTTAATTAATGTTATCATTAGTAAACATTAAATATTCTTATTTTAGTCTTCCGGCTATATTTTCACTAAAACAAACATATTAAAAAAAAATAGATAAGTATTTTATTATATAAAAATATATATCTACTATATTATAGTATAGGCTGGCATTATCCATTACTTACTATATTATGAATATTCTTTATTTAGTTCATTTTGATTCATATTTAAGTTTTATAGTATATTTCTATACTTTTTAGTAAAGACAATTTAGTAACATATATAGAACTGCCTACATTTTAAATAATTCTTCTTATAAAAAAAATTGAATAAAGTCAAGCTATATTATTAAATTTATATGAAATAATCACTGAGACGCAACTAAAAATTTCGAATAATACTTAATACCACCTGTATATTCATACAAAAATAAATCATGTTTATTACAAAACTCCGCAATGCAAATTTCTAGTTTCTAGTTTCAAGACCAAGCCCTTTTCAGTCGATATAAACCAATTAAATAAAATTATATAACAGAAATTAAAATTCTAAGTGCATACAAACACAAACTATGTCGCTACGTTATATAAAGTTCAGTTGCATTTTTATAAAGGGTTAGGGATGTCCAAAATTATCGATACCCCGAAATATCGATATATGTTTTATAAATATCGACATCCAGGATATCCTTGACAGTTGACAGAATTTGCATTAGTTTCAAATAACTACGCTATATATCTTTTACACACATGTATGTGCAAAAAAACCCAGAGATATGTCATACAGCTTAGTCAAAGTTAATGACAAGTACAAACACTATATATTTTCTAAAATATTTTTTTTTTGTTATGAAAAGTAATATGTTATTGGCTGTAGCTGTCTTTGTGTTGCTCCAGAAAAAAATCATATATTTTAAAAAAATCAAAAATATATCGATTTTTTTTCTTAAAATGCACATCTCTATAAAGGACACGCACAAGGGCAATCTAGCTAAACCATATGCAAATACAGAACACGCTATCTATTACATATATCGGAAAAATCTGATTTTATATCAAGACTTAACCGTACACAAGCTAACTTTTCTCAAGGCGAGACTCCATTAATATTAATTTAAACTATTTTTTTCTCGCTACAATAATAAAAATGATGGATATGCAGTTAGATAACATGATTCGAATAAAAAAAATTACCCAGTTAATGCATTTTAATATAAATTGTTCATAACAGTTCATTCTAGTTCGTATATAACTATTAGTAAAAAAGCATTGGAAAGTGAATTTATTCTTTATATGTTTCTATTTTGTAACAGTAAAGGTGATACTGTTATCAGTTTTGCATTGATTGACAATCTAAAAACAATGCTTCACTACAGTTAGAACAATCCAAGAATGAGCGAAAATGTTAGAAACCATTTCCATCAAATTTTCCGGCAAGTTCTTAACAATTCAATCTTTTCTCTAAAACCTAAATTAATTTATAAAAATTCGGATGTTGATGGTCATTTTTTCTTTCAGACTTCATTTATCTACTCGATGTTTGCCAATCAAGTTGAAAGATTTTGTGATGGTTCAGACTTAACGAACTGCAACAGAAGATTGCTAAAATATGGTCTTGGTATCTTGAGGAATCTGCCTGAAGAACGGTTGGATGCCATGGACCCTTACCAAAGAGGAGCCAACAATATAAGTAAGTTGTATGAAATCAATCATAAGTAAGAATGTAAGAATTATTATGCTATGAGTGCTTTAGCAGATATAAGAGTGTCGCGAAGAAGAAATTTTCGTTCATTATCATATAAGTTTTATTCTACTTTAATTACACGAGGCCTTCTTGTATTCTCATGTTAAATATTTTTTTAGATTTAGGTTAGGATTAGATCATATTAATTTTGGTCATGTAGTGCATCTTTCTAAGTGACCTACCCATTGCAACTTCAGGGAGTTAGAATTCTATAGATCACATCCATCATCTGGATCTTCCTTATCTAATTTATCCTCTTGTGGTCCCTCTTTGGTATTCCAACAGTACATTACTCCATGGATATTTGTGTCCATGTACACTTTCATATTTCCAGTGTGTAATCATTGTTGATGTAGATTGTATGGTAGGGGGTAGTTAATCACCGCGACCTTATAAATCTATTGTGTACCCCTTTCTTGAGTTATAACTCATCAGACAGTCTCAGGGCTTTGACAAAAGCCAGTATCTGAGACGGTTTTACAGAGGTTAGTTCTCCATCTCCGATATCAGTCGTTCCAAAGTTTATGGCACGAATGGTTGTCGTCTCAGTGTACTCACTGATTAGGTGTTCTGGTGTTTCCCCATTTTCCCCACAGAATCTTCATTCGCCGTTTTTTCTTAGCCTCAATCTACTGACGTATTCATTGAGGAGACAGTGTCCTGTGTCCAAAGATTGCGCGTACTTAAATCAACGAAAAAATTCTCCGAGTGTTTTAGACCGTAGGAGGATTATTTCCTTTCCAGGTTACGGATAATCTTCCAGGTTCCTGAGTTCCGCTTTAAATTGGTTTCCACTTGGGAAGCAAAACCGTATTGGTCCAGTTAATGGAGTATTTGCTCCTTTCCTATCTAGATCGTTTGCTTTTTCATTACCTTTTATCCCTTGATGGACTGGCACCTGGCACCTAGAGTAGAAAGGACTTCATTTTCTTCGCCAAATTTGTTCAACTTCTCTAGGGATTCTTTGACCAACTTCGAATTGATGGTTACTGAGTTCATCGCTTGTAAGACTGCCTGACTATCGCATAAGAATTTGTTTGATTCGAATTTACTGAATGTCTACCAGTTCATTGTATATGACCTTCTTTAGCAACTAGACAATGTTACAATGTCATCCGGCATCAGCAGTCTTAGATGATTCATCTATTAGTCATCTATTTTTAGACCTAAAGAAAGATCTCGTATACGTATATTATAGAAAAACGTGAGAGACCGTAATTGACGAGAACGAAGCAGAATATGCCTTGTAAGGTAGCGGTGCTGTCCAGAGACAATTATAGTCAGGCAGGTCAAGAAAAAATGACGAATTATACATTTTATATTCCACGCCAAATTTATTTTATTACCTATAAATTCCCAGACACCACGGACAAGACACCAATAAATCCACGCTACTACTAGAAATTACCTTATAATAGTATTTTTATTACTTATTAACTAAGTAAATTATTACAATACCTTATTAAATAGGTACATATGTCGAACAAAATGAGTTAGTCATGGATTGGTTAACAAACGTAACCTATTTTAGTAATGATCATCTTCAAACAGCGAACGGGTAGGCGACAAACAAACAATGAGACATTCCAAAAAAGATGATGCATGGTAACATGGTAACTTATTGTGTTGCATTGTCATTGAAAAAGTCAGGGTCAACATAAATATTGTTACTTTTCTGTAATCTTAAATGTATTTCTAACGTTTATTTTTTTGAATTATCCTATTATCTCTATTCTTTTATGAGCTACAAATTTTTAAACAAAGTACTGATATTTTTACAATCTTGAATTTGTTAAAATGGAGTTCTCAATGCTCACCGTTATATTGAGAATGTCCTCCAAGAAGTTGTCGTTCCATTTGCTCCTTTCATTGGAAATCAGTTTATACTGATGATGCATGGTAATGTCAGGTAATGTTGCGCGGGGTAACGAGTTAGGAGTACGGGTAGTTAACGAGTACCTGGATGAGGTTGGACTACAAAGATTGGAATGGCTTCCTTGTAGTCCCGACATCATCCAATCGAACATTTGTGCGATGAACTTAAAAGAGCTGTTTTCGTCGTCGTCCTATTCCACTACAAACTTTACAAGAGCTATGGCTAGCATTAACGGAGAATCCTCGGTTAACTACCCTTATTCGTTCGATACGAAGAAGACCTCGAGCTGTTATTGCTGCGAGAGGTGGACATACACGTTAAAATTATAAAATTATTGTTTTTGTCAATAAGAATAAGAATCTCTGAAATCACTACCTACTTTACTTAAAAATGTGCAGCTCATAAAACAATAGAGATAATGGGATAATTCAAAAAATGAAATGTTAGTTACACATCTAAGCTTACAGGAAAGTGTTTTTTTATCCAAAATGACCGTCTCATTTTTTCCAGAGGGTATTTTGAATTTATTGCAAAAAATAACGTTTTGATTTACCCAGGTATAAAACCACCTAATCGAAGAATATAAGTCTTTAAAATAATAAAAAATAATGCCAATAAATTTATCTTCACACTCATACTATAATCATGAAAATCGGATTACAAAGAAAGAGTTATAAAACATCAAACTTAGCCAAATATTTAGGGTGGCGGAATTTTGTCCGGGGAGGATCCATTTTATTTGATCAGTATATGTATAGGTGTCCACCTGTTTACTGATCTACTGTGCATAATTTTTGACTAATGCAGGACATGTGGAGTGGAGTGCAGGTGTTCACAGTTCACAGAGTCCGAATATGTTCAATACCGAAAGTCAATATGTTTGTTATTCCACTGATCAACTTTACCAGCTTAGACCAGACTGTCCAACTAATTCAAATTATCCAATGGGAGGATCCCTGACAATGATACTTGTGTCTATCGTTTTAATTCACAGAGAAATTGTGTTTTCTGTCATTTTCTGCATGTCGTCTGTCGAAACCTTCCATGCCTCGTTGGACAGACTAGTCGTCACTGGGTCTAATATATTTTTAACTTCAATCGTTACAAATGCGGTTAATAAACACTGAGCAAACGGAGAGAGAGAAGAATGTAGAACACGTCCTAGATAGAAAACGTCGTGGAATTTCGACCTTCCAGCTGAATCTTCCGCCGGTCGGTGTTTCACAACGCAATCCTTCCTTTCCTACCATAACACTCCCACAAATTCCCATCGATTGCTCTTTACTTTTATTTTTTCCTCTATCTCGGTTCAACAATGGGATCGGTGCCGGCTCATGAAATATACAACACCCGCTGTTAATATTCGCATTATGCAACTGGAACATTCAAGGTTCCCCTTATAACCAATTCAAAGTATGGTTTCCGTAGAAATAATATACAAATCGCCACAATTTACACAGTTCGCTCAAAATGGTCGTATTTTTTTTGAAACGAGTTATGTGCTTTTTTTCTGTAATTTGGCCGTAGGCAATCGAAATGTACGTCTTTGGGTTTGGCTCTCGAATCAACAACTTAATATAAGGTTCTCCCAACCCGGTGTGATATTTACCTTGTTATATTCGTGTATATAAGTATCTAAGTTCTTCGAATTGTATTCTAACTTCAATAATTAATAAGAACGAAAATAATACACTACCTAAAAAGGTATTCAATACTACTTGCAGCCTACTCGATTGTTTATCTGTAGAAAAAACAGCCTCTTTGAATATTTAAATTTTATACCTACTATTTTCAAATAAAATGACCAGACGCATACCAAACGTCCGTCATCATATAGGTCAAAAGCCAGTATCTGAGACGGTTTCATAGATGTTAGTTCTCCATCTCCGATCAGTCGTAGTAAAATTTAACGCACGAATGGCAGACTCAGTGATGAGAGGTATCCTGGCGTTTCCCCAATTTCCTAAAATAATCTGCATTCGCCGTTGTTTTTTAGCGTCAATCTATTGAGGTGTTCATTGAGGAGAGAGACTCTCCTTGAAAAAACCCGTGACAATCCGAAGATTGTTCTTACTCAAATCGATTTTTTCGGTCGAAAGTTCTGAGAAATCTTTTCGTGCGTCTTAGACCGATGGAAGATTTCCATTCCAGGTTACGGATGGAGTCTTCCTGCCTGGAAGTTCCAGGTACTTGAGTTCTGCTTTAAGTTGGTTTCCACTTTGGAATCACAACGGTTTTAGTCCAGTTAGTGGAGTGTTTGCTCCTTTTCTAGCTATATCGTTTGTTTTTTTTATTACCTTCTTGGTGGGCTGGCACACAGAGTAAAAGGACTTTATTTTATTTGCTTAATTTGTTCAGATTCTAGGCTTTCTTTGATCAACTTGGAATTGAAGGTTACTTAGTGGGTCGCTCTTAAGGCTGCTTGACTATCGGATAAGATCCCCAACAGCCAAATTATATACATATAATATCCATAGAGTATGCTATTGACCGAATATGTATATTCATTAAAGGTCCATCAATGTGAAATTGATATTCATTGGATATCCATAATATATGGAGTTGGTCTCAAATAAAATATCCATGATACTAATATATTCTGCATATGTTATGTATATTCATCTGATATCTAAAATATGCAATGTATATTCAAAAACGTATATCATTCATTGGAGATACATGCCTGAACACTTGATAGAGATGAATCCCTGATTTTTTATTCACGAAATTTAAAAAGTAAACTTTATATCCATACCTCACGGAAGACAGCCATTAATTTTGTATTAACTGACGAGTAAACGTATCTAACTTTCTTTAATAATATCAACCTTCAAAAAAAAATATTATTCATAGAATTATGTTTAGGAGCAATAATAGAAAATATCATTGATTTTCCTAATTTTATTTTCAGTTTGGGAAACTCTGATGACGGGCCACAAATTCCAGAAGACCACCCCAAAACCACGCAGCACCTCATCCACCGCCAAACCTAACTCCTACGAAGACCAATCTTTCTCAGACTACGAAGATTTCGGTACCCAGAGTGCTGCCAGCGCCAAAATAGACAACGTCTACGTAGTCGCACCACCTAAGGGCTTCGTACCAAAAGTCCAAACAGAAAAAACTGAATTCGTCGAACCCAAACCTGAAGATTCCGCTTCCAGTTACATCATCACCTTCAAAAAATCAGATGGAAAGGGCGTTTTCAGTCGGTTTCAAAATCAGTACCGCCCTGTAGCCGTTACAACTGAAAAAATTGCTCCTAGTACCGAAAAACTGTATCTCAATGAGTTTATTAACCCCCTGTCAGGTCCGATGGTAGTTAAAGTCTTTCCTGACGGTACTCCGGTGAGGGAATCCACTCAACTACCCACAGATGACGATCTCAGGCAGTACCAACTGCAACACGCCAAAATTCCAGTGTTTTGAAGTCAAAAGCATGGATTTTTTCGACAGTAGTACAATTTATTCGATCGGCCATGGATCGAATATGTTATGAAACTTAAATTTGAAATTATGCGGTCAATTTAGCAAGTTCATCGCATGATTCGGTACTTCCTGTATTTAGAAAGTGCCCCAGAGTCAATTGGCTGAAAGAAATTTGACTGTAGAGACTAATTTCTTCCTTATAAATTATTTAAGTATAAGTTTTATAATTTGTGATATATGATATATTTCGATGTAAAAGAAGTATTTATTTTGTTTAAGTAGACTTAACGAAGATCTTGCCTGAAATACCACATTATACAGAGTGTGTTATTGTCTGTTTCTCTAACGATAAATATATTATTGTTAGTAAAACCTGATCATCTATAGAATGGTTTGAAATCAGGCTCTGAATGAATGCTGTACCAGAATAAGTGTGGATTAATTTATTGAATGATGTGCGCTGTGTTAGAAAAATCATATGTTATGATTTTGTTATAAATTATTGTATATATTTTTTGTGATTATGATAATTATGTTTGTTTATGCATGAAAATCCTACCGAAATTTATACTATTTAAATTTACCTAGATATTGGTTTTATGTATGATTTTGATACATAATAAAATGAATCAAAGTGTAATAGTTTATGTTGTTTTAATCAATAATTATAGCCTGAAAACTTATAGATAAAGATAAAAACTAGACCAAGAGAGGGTAGACAAAAAAAATCTAATTCACCTTTGGACGTTAAAAGTTATACCTTTTTTCGAGCAACTATAAAGGTGCAAGCGCTACCGAAAGTTGGGGTCCGCACTTTCTGAAAGCGTTAGCCTTGCACAAACGTGGACCGCAAAAGAGTGCCATTTACAACCAGCACAGCCATTTGGAAATTACTTATCACTATGATATTGTCCATAAGCTACAGACATGTAGTCACAAAACCACATAACGCTGTCAGATTCGCCGATAAACTTGCACTGTGCATCTTTTAAGCCCGTACAATGATAATGAAAAACACCACTGCATCCATTACATTTTAAAAACTTTTGATTCACTATAAAATTATCCGAGCAACGGACACATACGTGCACGTCGTCCGCCATCGCTCGCTCGCTCGCTCGATAATGAGTTATAGTAACGAGTTCCACGGAGTTCCGCTTTTAATTCATTAAAATTAAAATCACTAATGTATGTTGATATAGGTATAAAAAATCAGCTTTCCAAAATCTGCCCTTTTTTGAAATAGCCCTTTAATTGCAGGGAGTCGCACTGATTTCTATATACCAGTCCTGTAATATCAAGAAACGATTTTTTAGTTTTAAGAAGACAGATATTCCAAATTATGAATTTCTAAGTTTATTACAAGTTTTTTTCATATATTATTGACAGTAGAAAAATATTCAAATGGCTGTGCTGGGTATAAATGACTTTTGCGCTCCACGAACTGGATCAATTTTCGCTAACGCTTGCTCTGCCCTAGTTGAATGGAAAAATTTATAATAATAATAATAGCTCCCGTATATAGCGTTTAACGCCTTGGGAGTAGCAAGGTACAGCTTGCCATACCTGAGCCGTTCGGTATACAAGCTAGGTAATGTGGCTAGCACTACGCTTCAACCGCCTATTATTACCTCAGGATTGTGAATCCCAAGTACTCATTTAAGGCTGAGTCGACCTAGGTACCCAAACTATTTTTATTTTAATAAAAATAGTGGGCCGATGAAATGCCGGGTGTGGGAATCGAACCCACTACCTTCAGATTGGTAGACGAGAGCCTGTACCTCTACGCCACCGGGCACCTTTATTAGGAAAATTTTATAATATTTAAAATTACCTCTAGATACAAATGAAGCGTCAAGTTGCAAAACCCGCCTTATCCCACAAACGTTGTTTCGAGATATAATAAGCAAAAACTGAAAACAGAAAAACACAGAAACAATTCGGATACGGGTTTTGTTGCAGTATGATGCATATTGCGGGTTTTGATACAATATGATCAAGAAAAAATGGCGTCAGCGATGGCTATGAAATAATGAAGAACGCTGTCATTTTATATGTAAATTTATATGGGAAACTTTTTTTTTATCATGCGGTATATGCATCCTACTATATTTATGAAATATACCATTTTATTAAAATTAAGTAAGGATTTCAAAAGACGTCAGTAGTAATATAATATTATACTTGTGTAAAAAGCTTATAAAAAAATGTGGGATTTGGAAGAATAATGACAATAAAAAGCAAATATAATACCTATTATATTTGTTTGTATTTGTTTATATGGATTTTGCTGCAGTAACGTAATTCGTAGTGAATTTTATATAGGAATAGGCGACTTTTACTGCAGTTTGTGATTATGTTTATGTAGATTTCAGGCTCTATTATTAATATATGTCATTAGGCCATTTTTTTTCTTTTTAATAAGGCGGGTTTTGCAACTTGACGCCTCAAATGTAACAAAACAATGTGTGGATAAACATACGAAAACAAATTATTATTTACTAATGTATAGTTTTCAGATTTTTCCCTATACTTGGTAGTATAAGATGGTATTACTGACCAAATTTAATCAACGGAAAATACCCTGTAAAGTTTGATTCCGTTGAGTGTCGAAATATACGTATTTTACAGCATAAACGGCCGTAATTTTTTAACGTTAACTTAGGAGTTTGATTTTTTCACAGCTTCAAGGGACTGTACCTGAGTACCTGAGTGAGACTACAACCTGAGTATATGGTTTTAATTTCAACTAGATTTTTATTTTTTCCCCTGCAAAATTTTTACATGATTTTTTGATAATTATTATTTACTATTAGCACAGAACTTATTAGCAGAAAACATTTCCAAGATAAAATTTAGTAGTTCTTGTGAGATATAAGAATTTACAGAAAAAAAAGCCCAACATTAAATATAGAACTTTTACTCATCTAGAAACTATGAGGATAAATGTACATCTTTACTAAAACAATAAAATAATAATTTTAAATTAATATAACATAACAGAAATTATGTTTTTGAAGTATGTATACCTCTAGATATAGAGACCTTTGCATTGTTAAAATGAATCTTTGCTATCACAGAAAAATTGTTATGACATAGGTTTAATCTTGCATCCCTCCTCTTTTAAATTGTATGAAAACAATGCAACTTACAGCAATACATTAATATTGAGTACAGATATTCTGTTACCATTTTCTAATCTGTATTGTTATATATAAAACAATTATACCTCAGTCTATTTAGAATTAGATTAAAAGTTACTTAAAAATTGGTTCAATGGCTCTTAAAAATTCTTCTTGAAATTTAACCACACTAAATCTGTCACAACTGGCTCTAGCCCTTTCCCTTATCTGATTCACTTCATCGTCTCTCAGCTCAATAATAAATTTTAATATATGAGCAAACTCTTCGGCAGTTTTTGCCAAAAATCCCAATCTAGATCCCTCAGAAGTTTCGATGATATCTAAAAGGGGTCCTCCTGATCTGTGTGCTACCATTATTAACCCTGCTGCCATTTGTTCAACTACACTGATGCCAAAGTGTTCATCTAACATAGTGTGAATGCCAATATATGACTTTCCCAATTCCTCAAATAGTTCATCAAATGAGCAGTTTACTTTAAATTCAACATTATTTTCTAGAGACAAATGTTTTGATAAATCTTTCAAATCTTGTACACGCCGACTATCTTCCTCGTTACGACAACTTCCACAGATTACCAAAACAATGTTCTCAAAGACCTGATCAGGAATGATTTCTCTTAGTTCGTACAAAGCTTGCAGTTGCAACGGGTGGTCCTTTTCAGGCCTAAACTGAGCTAAACTTAGAATCCTAATTGTTTCAGGCTTATGCAATTCGTGAGTAATTTTTCTTAAATGATTTACTTCACAAGGGGGATAAACTAAAGACATGGGAATATTCCAAAGAACTTGAAGGTTTTCTAATGTATATGTCGAATTTACAAGAGTGGCATCTGAACATAGGCCAGCTAAACTGTAAATCTATATAAAAAATAATTATACTTAATGTACAGAACATATGGAGTGACACTTACATAAGCTATAATATGGTAATATACTAGTTTTGTGTAGGTTAAAGTTGGACTTCTGGAAATAAAATCTCTATTGTTATAAATTTGACTTCTGCTTTGTACTCTACGTAACATTTCTTTGGTTATAAGTGGGTAATGAACGTAACAGCCCGTTTTACAACCACCCAGATACTTGAATAATGGTAGAGTAAAAGTGAATCCTGTTGTTTCAATAAAAATGTCTAAAAGTAAATCAATATAAAGTTATTAAGTTTTATAAAATAAAATATTTTTACCTGGGTTTAACTGATTAAGAGCTTCAAATCCAAGTAAAATTGATCCAACTACTTGGCCCAATAGTGTAAAAATTGGGTACATTCTTGGCTCAACCCATCTTCGCCTAGTTAAATATATAAACTTAACTTTCTTAGGATCTATATCTACATTTAAACTAAGCTTGACTTTGCGCAATATTTCAACAGGAGGAAATTCAATGTCGCCTGTGTAAATGTAAAATTTTGCTTGTGGATACCTTGAAATTTAGTATATTAATAACAGAATTTAAAAAGTGAATAAGAGTTACTTTTCTTGCAATGCCTTTAGTGCTACCCACAGTACTTTTTCACCACCTCCACCAGCATTTGCATAAGGGTGAAATATTCCAACACTTAAACCGTCTTTCCTTTTTATCCTTTCTAATCTGTATGTATGCTTAAGATAAAAATATCCCAAAGGTAGTACAATGGTAGCAGCTAATATTAAAAATAAACATGTGGCTAGCAATAATTTAATTGAGACTGCCAAGGAAAATCTGAAAATTGCAATTAAAAAAACATTTGAATAGCATTACTACAACCTATAATTAGTGTTTGAATCTATTGTCTTTCATTTTAGTTGTAGATACTTACAGAAAACTGAAGAAAACCATTTTCAGTGAATAATTGCTTTTTTTTCTTAAAAAAAATGCCAACAAACCACAATTTGTTTGTTTTTGTCAAAAAAAATAGTTCTTTTGTACTATCAACGTCTGTCAAAATTAGTTCAAATAAATATTTTAAATATTATTATACCACAGCTCATTAGTTTTTAAATTCCAATGAATCTATGGTTACATTGGGTTACATATTTATGTTGGTATTAATTTGGGTATTTTAGATTTGTCTCTGGATTTGTCAGAATTTTCTTATGTTGGTAAATCAGGTTACTAGATATGAAAAGTTTTAAAAAATTATGAATGGATTTTGTTTTATTTACGTTAATTTATTTTATCGTCAATAAACCGATACAGAAATGGTATTTTCTTATTTAAGTTATTCAGTTTTTTGGGTATCAACATTTTTTAATTTATTCAGAGACGAAGTTGTGCTCCAAGTCAAAAAGGCCAGACTTCTTCCCCAACACCAGATTCGCAAAACGATCATGTTTCAAAAGTTTTAAGAGAATTCTCTTCCCCAATTACGGTTTCACTTAAGAGAACTAGGGATAAATCTAAAGACAATGTGCAGAAAAAACGGAAGTCATTTTTGCTTATGGATAGTGAAAATAAAATTATATTTGTATCTAATCATGTATAAGATTTAAAAGTGTTTTTATTTATTTATCGACTAACGTTTTGTATTCATCTATAGGAGGATATAATTAAAAAGCTTTCTAAACCGTTTTCGTGCCCCGTCCCAAATTATGAAGGCTCACAAACCACTAAGAACTTGGGTATCCGTAGGTCACAACCTAGAAGGGCATTATATGATCCTAATATGCCAAATGTGTTAGTACTATATGAACCACCTCTTCAAAGTGAGCATGATAAAATGATGAACGAGAAGTATGTTTTTATTTTTTGTTTAAGTAATTATAAATAATTGAATTTTTTATAGAGATATTTTAGTTCATGTTGTAGTTGACCCAATGTTAGGGAATATATTAAGACCACATCAGAGAGAAGTAAAACTATTATATATTATGATTTTTTCAAATAACTGAAATCAGTTTTTATTTAGGGAGTTAAATTTATGTATGACTGTGTAACTGGAGTTCAAATTCCTGGTTCGTATGGCTGTATAATGGCAGATGAAATGGGTCTGGGAAAGACATTACAGTGTATTACCTTACTATGGACTTTAGTTAGACAAGGACCAGAAGCAAAACCAACTATTTGCAAAGGCATTATAGTGTGTCCTAGTAGTCTTGTTAAGAATTGGTTTAATGAAATAAATAAGGTCTGCTTCAAATACCTATGTATTTTCCCTTGAGATCAATAATTTGGTTGTTTAGTGGCTAGGTGGAAGATTGCCAGCATTAATGATAGATGGTGGATCAGACGTTAAAAAGAAATTGACCCAGTATATGCAGGGACAGGGCAGAATGGCCACACCGGTCTTAATAATATCCTACGAAACATTTCGAATGCACGCTAATATACTGCACAGCAGTGAAATTGGTTTGGTTTTATGTGATGAAGGACACAGGCTGAAGAATTGTGAAAATCAAACGTACAGAGCTCTTATGGCTCTGAATGCTAAAAGACGAGTTCTACTCAGTGGAACTCCCATTCAAAATGATCTACTAGAATATTTCAGTTTAATACATTTCGTCAATGAGGGGCTTTTAGGTACATCAGCAGAATTTAAGAAAAAATATGAGAACTGCATTTTGAAAGGTATCAGTTACTGTTTAGATGTTTAAAATGTGATATAAATGTTGGTTATTATTTTTTGCAGGTCAAGATTCTTTAGCTACACCAGAAGAAAGGAAAAAAGCAGTTGAAAAAATTAATGAATTAACCACCATTGTGAATAAGTGTCTTATTAGAAGGACATCGGCCTTATTAACAAAATATCTACCTGTTAAATTTGAGATGATTGTTGTTTGTCAGTTGACTCCTTATCAGAAACAAATTTATTTGAATTATATTAATTCTGAAGCCGTTAAACGTACAGTTTTGGATGGTGAATTAGGGGAGAAAACACCAGGTAATGGTTGCTTTGTGATTGGGAAGATAATTTTGTCGGCAATAAAGTATTTGTATTTGTATGTTTTTTTTTAAATTTTATCAACTGATATTTGTTAAATTAACTATTTTCCCTCTTATGTTAATATGAAATGTTAATTTTAAATAAAGTGACTAGATTTTGAGCTAACCAATGAAGACTGCAGGCGGATGGCTGAAAAGAAGCAGACACCATTTTCTACAATAGTACAGAATGAGTACTGAGTCATTATCGTTGATTGAATGAATTGGGAATATACACAATCTAATGGGCAAATTCGTGACAAGGCTGATTTGATTTCCCCTTACATCTCAAGTGCTGTATGGTGGAGATACCAATTATTTTGTGGTCAATGCATAAAACACTTATTTTCTCTAATTCGGCCAGCGAAGGCATATCGAAGAAGGTGTGGATCTGAAAGCAACCGTGTTTCCATATTAAAATGTGTAATATCTGTAATTCGTTTGACGAAAATATCTTTGGATGAAAAATCTGGGTTTATGTATAGAAAATTTATTCGTGTTAAACATAGAATAATAAAAATTCTTGGCTCTTCGGTACCTATAACCGAATATTTTGTATGATTGAAAAAAGTCGTTTGGTTGACTTGGAAATGACGATTATTGACATTAAGCATAATATTTTACATATGAAATAACACAAGATCGTTTCCAAGGCAACTCTGACCTCGAGCTTTGTTTAATCATATAATATTGTATTAAATTGTATAACGAAAGAGAGTCGGTATTATCAACGCACTGTACCCACAATCCGTAAATCTACGGATTAATCAGTAGTTCTGGCAACAATGTCTGCGATAACCACTCTGTCGACTGAAAGGAAAACTACGGTACAGTACAGTATTCTTTATCTGTCGCTCTGTAAACGACTATCAACGCGCATCGGCGCAGAGCTAAACTAAATCTCGGAATTCTCGGACAGGCTGACAGTAACGCCAGCTACCTCTCGGACAGGTTTTGTGCCACGAAATCGCCCATAGCGTTGCGCATCTTCTTATTTTTTCAATCAACGGTCATTATATAATTTTTAAATAAAAAAGTCTAAATGAACTTCAGAAAGCATTTGAGCTAAATTTAAACAATATTTAATAGATATTATAAAATATTAATAAAGGGCTATCCATTATAATGACGGAGGTCTGGTCACTTTAACAATTTTTTCTGTTCCTTAGAAAACAGTGTTTTTTGGGGTTTTCAATTGACTGATAGATACTAAAGAAACTAAAGTGTACCACCTTGTAAATTCATACTTCTCTTTTTGTCACTGAAAAATTTTGACACTTTTTGTAATTTTTAGGCGGAACAAGTTCATTGGCAAGCATTACCACATTAAAAAAATTATGCAACCATCCAGACCTCATTTTAGACAAAATTATAGAAGGAGGAGAAGGTTTTGAGAAATCCATAAATATCCTACCACCCAAGAGAGGTGACATGGACGTGAGACCAGAACTATCATCAAAAATGATTGTTCTGGACTACTTCTTAGCCAACCTCAGGGCCAATTATAATGACAAAGTTGTCATTGTTAGTAATTGGACTCAAACTTTAGATTTATTCGAAAAGTTATGGACTAAAAGGTTTGTTATATTATAAACTTTTTTGGACTTTATATTTAAAATTTGTCCTTTAGAGGTTATCAATATGTGAGACTTGATGGTACAATGAGTATAAAGAAGCGTGCTAAAATCGTCGAAAGTTTTAATAACCCAGACTCCAAAGATTTTATATTTATGCTTAGCTCGAAAGCGGGAGGTTGTGGCTTGAATTTGATTGGAGCTAATAGATTGATTATGTATGATCCTGATTGGAACCCTGCCAATGACGAACAAGCAATGGCTCGCGTATGGAGGGATGGCCAACAGAAACCTTGTTACATCTACCGCTTTTTCTGTGTAGATTTTTTCTTTAAATAATTATATATTTTTTGAAATTTTGGACTTTTAGGCTGGAACCATTGAAGAGAAAATCTTCCAGAGACAAGCTCACAAGAAGGCTTTGAGTTCTACCATTGTCGATATGAACGAAGAGGCCGCCAGACATTTTAGCGTAGCAGAGTTGAGAGATCTCTTTAGGTTAGAGGAAACTGAATCAGACACTCATACCAAACTGAAGTGCAAAAATTGCTTCAACAAAATGTCAATAAAGAACCCACCAGATGACGCTGATTGTACCGCGGATTTGTCACTGTGGTACCATTGTTGGGATAAAAAGGGTCTAGCTGATATGGTATTATATTTTTAAACATTTATTTTTAAAATGTCTTAATATATTTTCGTTTTTAGGTTTTGAAACAAATTTGGGATATGTGTCAATACATTTCGTTCGTGTTTCATCAAAAATCTGCAAAGCAAGAGGTGAAAGCAGTGAAAAGTTTTGAAGAAGTTGTTGAAGAAAAAGAGTCAGACTGCGAAAATAACGATGACAGTGATGATTCTGATTATTGTCAATAAAGTTAAATGTGTTTATATTTATTTTCTTCCTGTTACTTATTAACTTTTTTAAATAAAATTATTTTAAATAATTTTATTTAATTTATTCCTGTATTTTTACAGTATATTCTATATTCTTATTTTAATATAGTTTTTCAATTTGGTAAACTCTAATCTGCGATTTGCGATTCTTTTCATTTTGTTTCTTGCTCACTGTATAGAACCAGGAAACCAATTATTTTGGCTCACCGTATAGATCGATACACGCAGGCGTAGAAAGAATCTAGTGTTTTTAGTTGGGCGTTGCGTTTGACAGATGGCAGAAATGTGAGTGTGAAAGAAAGAAAAAGGCATATGGCGAACGTTTCATATTTTCGTGTGATAATAAGTATTTTATGAAGAATTTTTCGCGTGTTGTGAGTTATCGAGCTTGAATTATTTTTTCGCTTGAATATCAGTGCCGGACAAGAGTACCATCAAGCGATTCGATTAATTTATTCTACATGTTTACGTCTGTTAAGTTATTGTTGACGATTTAACCGACCTGTGATATTAAACTTAGTTTTATATTATATAGGTTTTTTTATACAATTTTCGATTATTTATTGTACAACGTAGGGTAGGTGTAACGTAGTTGACTCTAATAAGTGTAACCAAAGAAGAAAATGTCCGAAAACGGGCCTGAAACGGAACAAACACAGACGAATCTGACTGACAAGCAGTCTAAAAATGGTAAGTTTCAATATTTGTTTTCATCCCCATGAATGCGAAATCCATTTTCAGGATATCGCTATTTTTCTTGTTTTGTTTTCTTTTCGTCAAAATCAATATGCTTGAAGATTGTTTCTTTCTCTAAAATGAGTCGACCCAAATACCTTTGTTGTGTAATTCATTTTCCAAAACATTTCATTAACTGCCATCATTGTTGATTTTTTTGGAACATTGGCATTTAAATGGAAGAGAAAATTCGGTAAAATAATAACAAATTTCAAGTAACATTGATTTGAATAAATAAGTAATAAATTAAAGCACGTATTAATATCTTAGATTAATTTAAGGTTAATGCGTATATCCTGGGCCATGGAGGAATATAAAAGTATTTCTGTATGTCCTGGGCACATTATTCATTACAATTCTTTAAAATTTCTTATGCATAATAATAGTCCACATTACTTCCAATTTTTGGAATAGAAATAGAAACATAATTAAGATTTATCTATAAAAAACACAAAAATAAATAAAAAACTAATCGTTTTTTAACAATGGGTTTTGTTTACATAATACGAAATTAAAGTTATTCTTCGATGTGCCATGCTATTGATTTTTTTCTTTGTATTACTGTATTGAAGTATGAAATAATTCTTGAAATTATTTGAATAAATATACTTTTGTCTTCTCTACATGTAAAAATAAAATTAGGAACAATTTCAAATTTAGTCAAGGTCAGGTATTGCAGATTGCTAATTCACAAAAAAGATTTAGCCTTGTTAAATCATTAATAGTAGGTACCAGCAGATTATATTTATTTATTCTTATTTGTAGTAATAAATATTAGCCAATATTTGTAGAGCAATATGTAGAAACACTTGTAGAAACATGAAAAATATCCATTTATATCAATACTTTTCAGCAGTACATTAAAAAAATGGCATTGCTGGTTACTAGTTTTAATATGAGGCATATTAGACAAATAGTACTTTCTTTAAGCTTAAGTGGTGAAAAAGATTTATTTATATTTAAATTTATCCTGAAAATGTTATAAAAACTGAGAACGTATGATTTCTGTTTTAATTCCGGGTTAATTAATTTTATTTGCATATCTAAAACGAAGAAACACTTCAAGGCGATATAAAATAATATAGATTTTGCAAAATAAATTCATGATATTTAAATTTTAATATACTTACTAAATTTTGAATATTTTTGCATTACTGCTTGTTAACTTTTTTATAGTTTTATCAATTTTTTAGATTTTATTAATATGATTGATGGCAAATAAATATTTTTAATGACATACATTAACTAGGAATTATGATGTATCTTTTATAGCGGTTTTGCACTATACATTGTATAGTGTGTCCAACCACTCAGGGAGGATTTCGACAGACGACATCCAATAAATGAGACAAAATACGATTTGCTGTGAATAAAAATTACAGAAAGAAACAAAGCGAACTAATAATTTTGCAGACAATGAATAATAATAAAAAATAACATACCGTATGATTGAAAAAAAACAGCGTCAGGGATGGCTATGAAATGAAGATCGCTGTCATTTTATATGTAAAATTATATGGGAAATGTCATCGATCGTCATTTCCAAGTTCCAAGACAACTAAACGCCATTTTTTTTTCGATCATACTGTATTTTGATAAACATGTCATTTAATTGCTGACGCAGTGTTGCCAACTTTTTGAAATATTTTTTTCCCACGAAGACGGTCAAAATTTTCCGTTTTTTTTTCTAAAAATTTCTACGAGTTCCCAAATCCAATATAATCTATTTTCCAAAGCTCCTTGTTTAAAAATTATTGTTTTTAACACACCCATGGCACTCTAGATTGAAATTTAAAATACGATTTTTTTTAAAGCAAAAATGTCAAATGTTGACATTTGATATGTTATTCTATTCAGGAGTGTCATTTTCTATTAAATAAAGTAAAAAAATACCGAGGGTGCCATTTAAAAATCAAAAGTTGTAGTCATTTCCGGTGAAACAGGAAGTGACCAAAGACCAAAAACATTAATTGAATACTTCAATAAATTCTAATTTATGTCATATACTAACATACCAAATATCGTTTTTTATCTGAAAAAATACAAAAAAGTTATAGGGGCGAGCCACTTTTGGGATACACCCGGTAATGCCGTCAATACAATACAAATATTATATTTTTTAACTGAAAATTTCTAAATATACTTTTTTTTTGCATAAAAAAACTCTTAGGCGTGTTCCTTGGATCGAAATAGTATATCATCCTTAGAAATACCGTATGATCGAAAAAAACGGCGTCTATTTGGCTTTGAAATGACGATCGTTGACATTCACCATCCAATTTGACATATTAAATGACAGCGATATTCATTTCCAAGCCGTCGCTGACGCAGTTTTTTTCCAGCATATGGTATTTGCACTTATTTAAAATTTACCATGTATGCTAGGGGAAGGTGTAGGCAGGGTTCGGAAAACTACATATATTACTTTGAAAAACTACATAAACTACATTACATGTAGTTAATGTCGTTTATGTAGAGGATGTAGTTTATGTAACCTATGTATCTAACTTTAATATCAAATTATAACTAACAAATATCAAAGGTTTGAGGTGAGGTTATAATAAGTTGAAGCTTTAAAAACACATAATGTATTTAAGAAAACAGAAGAAATATGGCTTTAAATATAATATTTACATCATATTATCTCTATTACACCTCATACAAAGGAAAATTATTCATAATATCAATACATAGTTTATTAACGTAGTTTTCATGTAGTTAATGAACGGGAAAAGACGTAGTTTTTGAAGAAAAACTACACGTAGTTAATCAGGTAAATTACGTCTTAATTAACTACTTCCGAACCCTGGTTCGAGGTACAAGAATAATGTCTGAGATTATAAAATAACCTAAGGTTGCGATGAGTTTTTTGCAACGGCTATTAAGCTATCTTGTACACTTCGCACTAAAACAGGTTCTAAAAAGAACAATGTTCGACTGCAAGGTCTGCTAGTAAAATATTTAAAAATGTTTAAGCTTAAAATATCACAACACAATTCGTTTAAACCAAAAACCCGTAATACAAAACTAATGTGTCAAAACGAATGACAATGTCAGGAAATAAATAAATAAATGTGGCAACTTGACATTTTTACAGCAGAGCTACCACCTGAATCCCCAGCGGGAAATTTAAATTCCAGTTAGGCCAGGCGCCGAATATGTCCAGGGTTGGCAACAATGAATTTAAAAGTCGCGTCCTCGACTACGTAACTAAAAGTTTAATTGGTGTCGCTTTATATTGTTCTTGTTTTCAGAGGTGTTTTGTTCTATCTAGCATCCAGCGTTATAGACAAAGTTGATAACTGCAAATAATTGATAATGAAAGTTATGTCTATGACGTCTTCTGAATACAGTTATCGTGTGTATTTCATATAAAGAAAATTAACTTATTTATGCCATTCTATACAATAATAATAATTACCATTATCATAATAATCGTACCTAGGATATTTAGTTATTTATTTATTTATTAGATCTATGGTTTATTGCGTTTTTATAGCCCCTCTATGTACCTATTCTATGCTGTAAAATTTAGATTGTACGCTTTTCTAAAGGTCCTTTAGTAAACGGTCTTGAGGTATAATTTTTTTTTTGGTAAGGAGTCTATAAAATATTTTTCTCTTATAGAGCCTTATTCCTGGCCTTATTGGTCAAATCCATAGAAAAATTAAAAGCTATATAAATTCGGGATATTTACATTTAGCCCGAAGTGACGTTACTGAAACATGATTCTTGTCAGTTTTGTTTGACTGCTCCTTTGATACTCTTGAATTTTAATCCGAATTTGAAAACGCAAGTTGTGCTCTTTTGTGTTATCTTATATTATTTCTTACTTATTGTATAATTGTTTTTATGCACAAAGTATATAAATCTGGCAAGGCATTGTGTTAGGAGTTGAATTATAGTGAGATTATTGTGAATATTACAAAGAGGGGCTACTAAAATAGTTACTTATGGCAGCGTCGCAAATCAAGAAAAATAATGCATCTACTTTTGACTAGTAAGTATAAAGTATACCATGTGCGTCTCAAAAGTGGCTTCAGATAAAAAATCGAGATTTGGGGAGTCACTTTTGAGACGCACCCGGTATGTTACAGTAGTAAACCAATTAATTATGAAATTCGTTTGGATTGTTTTTATTTTTTCATTTCTCCATTTATTACTTCTCAAACTTATTAAAAAGGATACGTTAATTTTTTGAATTTTACTAATTGGCTCTCACAATGGCGTATTTCTATTTTTTTATAAAATAATTACATTATTATATTTAACTTTGGGGGAGCTCTGAATGTACAGGATGTTCCAAATTCGAGCTTCATTATGGGGATCTGGGCAACTAGAAAGATATACGAGGTGGGTTAAATATAGTGACAAAGTTGAGCAAATTGATGCTGATCAAAATTAGGCTTTCCAATTTTCGGGATCGGTTAAAATTTATAACCCCGGGATCCAGGAATTATAAATATACATATATTTCAGTCATCCTGTATTCCTATGAAAGTACTACTTCTAAAATATGCTGTGGATGAAACTTCTAAAATATGATTGGAATGAATACCTTAATAATTAACTTTTTGGAAACACTTAGTGATGTAAAATTTCCAGAAATATATTTTCGGAAATATTTCCGGATATATTTCCGGAAATATTTCCTGAAACATTGGAAATATATGGAAATATTGGAAATATATGAAATATTTAAAAAAATAAGAAAAACTGAAATATTTATTTATAAAAATCATAACAAAACATCGCAAAACACAAAATGCTTACATAAACACAAATAAAGAGTTATTCTTCAATTTAAAAAATAAATTAAGATTAAATTTGTACAAAAAAAAATATTTTTGACACACTAGTCGAGCAAGAGGCATATCTTTATCGCTGTCATCAGCATCACACTCAATAACATCTTCTTGCCAGTCTACTTCCTCAAAATCTTCAATAGTATCGGAAATAAAAATTGATCTATTGCCGTTTCCTATTTTCTTCAGCAAGTTTTCATTGTGGGATACATAGAGTAGCTTAGCGGCTCTATCATTAGTAAGCCTGTTTCTCTTTTTTGAATGAATATGCCTATAAACGCTAAAACTGCGTTCCGTGGCAGCCGAAGATGCTGGCATCATCAACATTCGTGAAGCTACTTGATTTGTGATTCGTGATAATGAAGATGAAGAACACAGTCCTTTCCACCAGGAGACTGGGTTATCAAAACCACTTTTCTATATGAAGTTATTTCCAAATAACTTGCCACTTCTACAACGGTAATCTGCTATTTCATCTATTATTTCTTGCTCCTTTATATTGAGTTTATTTTTTGATATATTAAGCATTCTATGGCAGAAAGAATTTGAGTTTCATCAAGTTCAGAACCAGAAGAAAGTTGTGATTTTGGGTTTAGTAATTCTGCAGCATAATGAATGGGTTTAATAGCAAATTTTTCTCTTTTGTCAACAAACTCCAACAATTCGGATTTGTCTTTGTCGTCAAGTGAGGACAATGCAAGATTATTCTGAATTACCCTTCTAATATCACAAAATGCTTTTACAGCAAAATGAATAGTGCAATAATCTCCTTCTACAATTTTTAACCATTTGCCAATAGGTTCAAAAATGTTAATTACGTTGGAAATTTGGGCCCAAAATACTTCGTCATCTAATATCCACTGCTTAACATTTTTATCAATCATTTGTGTTGCTTCTTGACTAACTGCAACTCCTTGTAAACTGAGCCTAGTATTGTATACACTTTTTAAATTGGTCAAAATTGAAGACCAGCGAGTTTTTACTACGCTACGACTTACGAGCTCGGGACTTCCCGGTAGAAATGCGAGGTTGTAAATAAGTTGGTGAATCCTCAAACTCGATATTATATTCACCATATTATATGTTTGTAAAACTGTTCTATAGTAAGTTTAATGTTTATAGGGTTACAAAATATGAAAGATATATTAATAAACATCGGGTTTGAATCGTTAATGACAAGATTTAAGTATTTTTAAAAATATTTTCAATATTCCCAATATTTCCGAGACACGTTTGGAAATTTCCAATATTTCCATTTACAACACTAGAAACACTGGATTACTCTGTAAAGAACATTTCTGGAAAATCTGGTATAATATTTTTGGGACGCTCTCTATAAATCTAAGTTCTCTTCGTATAAACATGCAAAAACGGTTTAGTATCGAACGAAAAAAAACAAGATTTTTTTGCCAAATTCCGGATTTTTTTTTCCTAATCGTTTTCTGTTCCATTCCGATCCGATATTCGATGTAGTTTTGTGTGTTCTTTGACCAGTGTTTTATACATCTTATATATTTGTCCATTATATTTGAATTTTAAATATAAATATATAGTATAATTTTGTGTCTCGTTCACGATTTACTCTATATTAATTAATTATTATCATAAGACGTGCCGCGGGCGGTGTTAAAATTTTTCATTAATTAGACGTGAAAAAAACCGGAGCCCTTCAGAGCAAATAAAAAAATAATTTTCGTATTTTCTAAATCCCAAATCGTTAAAATTAATTCAAAATAGCACTATATTGGTTGTTGTGCGCGGTCTTGTTTGCGGGTTTCCTTCTTTCGGTGGTTTTTCTGAGCAGATCCGCAATGGTTAGGGTCAGAAGCCAGAGAAAGGCCCATGTGGCTTCCGCCACTTACAACAACGACCAGCACATACTGAATAATAACAACGTGGCGGTCATTTTTTCGAGTTTCAAGAGACGGCAGCAGAAGCCCAGGGTGAAACATGTGTCTTGGAGTAAGTGAGAGACATGTTCCTAAAAAAATCATATATGAGGGGTTCAGAAGTGAACTGAATCAAGTCCAAAAAGTAATTATGGGGAAAATGAGAGTTAAAGTTTTTTAATGTTACTTAATTAAAATAAAACAAGTTGGATAGACAGGCTATAGCTGCTTAATGCAAGAAGTGTGACTTGATTAATTTCTCTACTGGAAAAAAACTATATTCTGTAAACGTATAAAGACTATCTTAAAATGGTAGGGAATTGGATTTCTGTGTGATCTATTTTAATTCTGACAACTCCATATTCCATATAATATGTATGTATACCTAAGTAGGTAATTATTGGAAAAGTAGAAATTTCTTTACTACTTCTAATATACCGGGTGTTTTCCAAAAGTCGCTCACCCCTATAACTTTTTATTTTTTCAGAAAATAAAACAAAATTTGGTACCTAGGTATATAACATAAATCGGGATTGATCGGGGGCGTATTTAATTAGTTTCGGTCACTTCCTGTTTCTGAAATGACTACATCTTTTGATTTCTTAATGACACCCCCTGTATTTTTTTTACTTTATATGATAGCAAATGACGTTCTATATAGAATGACATATCATATGCCAACTTTTGACATTTTCAATTAAAAAACAATAGCATTTTAAATTTCAATCTGCGGTAAACCAAAACATTTTCCGATGCACGTTATCAATCATATCGAAATTCACACTAACGCCTATAAACCAGACTAAATGAAATTTTGGAAAAAATGTTTAAATTTGTTTTACAATTTAAGATACCGAGTAGTTCTACATTTTACTTTATGATCAAACTAGTTGAAGGCCTGGCGCATCCGCCACGACATCAGGAAAAAATACTTTTTATTTTTTGTTTAATTAAATGAAAAATAAAAATCCGGCGACAACAGTTTTTAGAAGAGCCAATTAGCTATCTTTTAGTAAAAAAAAACAACTTTCTAGAGCAAGTCGTTACTTCAGTAGAGACGATACAGATAAACATTAGCATTTTATATATGTAGATGATTGTAACAGATATTTTATTTAGATTAAAGCTGCAAAAATTAGTTTAAACCGAATTTTATTACCGCTATGTTGGTCACATTGCGCCGTGTTCAGCAACGTTGTCATTTATTATTTGACAATTATCATAATGTCAGTTTTTTATTTTGTATAATATCATATTTTGTTTCTCCAAAAAATCCTTTATGGGCATTTCGCCATTGCACTGCAAGAAAAATCTACAAAATAAAATAGTTATTTTTTGTAAACACTTCTGGCGTTAAACCTAAACGGACACTGCTTGTCAGAAGTTATGTTTACAGTAATAAAAATTTGCCCAACAAAGAAAAAAATGCTTAATGTTTTAGAAAGTTTATCTCTTTCCGTCGTCGGAAAGAGATAAACATATTTTTTTTTATTTTTAACAAAACTTCAACGGTTTCTTGTAGACGTATCTGTTTTAAAAAAAAGTAAAGTGTTCTCTAATAGTTGAATTTAAATATTTTAAATAGTTTTTTCTTTATTCTTTCTATTTTTTTGCTTCCGACGACGGAAAGAGATAAACTTTCCGTCATTTTTTCTTTGTTAGACAAATTTTTATTACTGTAAACATAACTTCTGACAAGCAGTGTCCGTTTAGGTTTAACGCCAGAAGTGTTTACAAAAAATAACTATTTTATTTTGTAGATTTTTCTTGCAGTGCAGTGGCGAAATACCCATACAGGATTTTTTTGGAGAGATGAAACCGCCACATAGATATGACAGTTTTCACATTTTGTTATTGTCACTCAAAGTTTATCACGTGCATCGGAAATTGTTTTAAAACTGTCAATTTTTAATCAGGGAGCTTTGAAAAAATAGATTTGATCGTCTAATGTTTTTCGTATATTTTCATGGTTGGTTAAAAGATGTCCAAATCGTATTCTCAACATTGTATTGTTACGGATTCCGTGGGTCCACTAATTTAAACTCACGATAAAATACTTAACGAATTTATTTTCTCACTTTATACACAATTACTAACTTATAACACACAACAAACTAACTATTTATAAGATTCCTTCACCAAATTGTCCGATTTTCAATTTCCACGCGGTATATTCAAATTTCAAAAAACTGTCTCAGTTGTCGATGGCTCCGGCTTATATACTCTATTGACTGCTTCTCGAAATTTCCCCAATTCTCGGAAAGCGTACTTCTTCATACCAGACAATTCTATTGTCTGATTCCCTTACTTCTCGACTTGACTAAAAGATGGCGCCTGAAAAAGTCTTTTAATTTCTGGCGGATACGTTGCGGTTGTGCAGGCAACCAGTAATACATTTTAGCCCTTGACCTTGACATTGCCCCCTTCTCAAATTTGATCGTCCCGATCAAGGTTTCCTGTCTGATATCTCTTCAATCGATCCAGATGAACTACTTTCATCTTACTTCTAGGGCTGCGTTGAATCCGGTACACAACATCATTTATCCTCTTGATGACTGTATAAGGACCTTCCCATGCTGGAGTTAACTTTGGGGACCTCCCTTTCCTGCGCTGTGGGTTATACAACCATACCCTATCGTCCTGTCGAAATCCCGTAGAATTAGCTCTGAGGTCGTAACGAGCTTTCATCCGGTCACTGGCTAGCGTAATCTTACTTCTCACGGCCTTATGAATTCCCAATAATCTTTCCTTCCTAACGATTCTTTCGAACGACAGTCCAACGTTATCTTGTTCCATTTTTCCTCCAGATCGAGTACTTGGTCCTTGTCTAGCTGCGCAAATCTTACAACGTTGACACCATTTCTTAACATCTTCACAATAATCCACCCAGTAAAACGATCTCTCAGCTTGCTCAAGGTCTTGTTTACTCCAAGATGGGCTCCAGTTCTACCACCGTGAATTTCTTCCAATACCTGGGTAACTTTCTTCCTTGGTACCAGTAACTGAGTTGTTACTGTCCTGCCATCCGCACTTTCCCACGTGCGCTTTAACAATCCATTCTCAATCACCAGTGAATTCCACTGAGCCCAGAGAGCTTTGAAAACGAGCCCTCTGTCCGCAATATCCTGCCACGGTGGTCTCTCGCCGTTACCTTCCTTGAGCCGTAGTATTGCTCCGATGTCTGGATCTTCCATTTGATCTTTCCTCAATTGTATCGTCGTCCATGGTTCGTCAGTTCTAAGCTTAAAATTCCTTATTCTGATAGTGCTTTCGCGATGTTTCATTTTCTTGTCCAAGGTAGCTCGTCGTCGATCTAGGTCGTTGTCGATAATTTGTACCCGTCCTACACGGCACCCAGCGGTTTTCTCTAGTTTCCCGAACACAGTCTTCTTGGTATCACCAGGTATCATCACAATTTTCGATGATCTTTCTTCCATATTTCCTGGTCTCTTCTCTTTAGATACAGAAAATTCCTCATTTCCGATTTTCAGGATGTTTCTATGGTGATCGAACGAAAAACCATGTTGACTGATCACATCCATACCCATGATAAAATCATCTTCAATGTCTGCCACTAAAACGCTATGCCGAAACTTCAAATTCCCTAACTCCAGTTCTATGAAAGCCTCTCCCCGTACAACGGCCATTTCCCCGTAACTGTACGTAAATACACTCTTCTTCTAAGAGGCATCATCTTCAATCCTTGCACCGAGTTAGTCCGCACCAACGATACCATAGCGCCTGTGTCCACAGTCATTCGAATTCTTCTACCATTGACCTTCCCGTTGATCACCAAACTGTCAGCGGTTTTTCCTAGACTCCTAACGGAAAACATCCTAGGGGCTCTGTTTTCTTCAGCCAATACTCGCTCATTAGTGTTGATTTCCTGGTGCCTATGTTCTCTCGATGGTAAACGGAATCGCATTTGGACGCGGCAATCCCGTTTGATGTGGCCATTCCTGCCACATCTATAGCAACTTATGTCCTGGGATCTTCCGATGTGCCGATGTTCTCTGGATGGTGAATGGAATCGCATTTGGATGCGACAATCCCGTTTGATGTGGCCATTCCTGCCACATCTATAGCAACTTATATCCTGGGATCTTCCGATGTGCCGATGTTCTCTGGATGGTGAATGGAATCGCATTTGGATGCGACAATCTCGTTTGATGTGGCCATTCCTGCCGCATCCATAGCACCTCATATCCTGGAATCTTCTTTGGTTCTCTGTCTGGGTGTTGTTGACTCTCTTGTTCACTAGTAATTCACATAGTTTATTAAACATCTCCTCCAAACGTATGTGAGAACTCTTTGGCTGTTCCTCAACCGTTACCGAGCCTATCTTCTGTTTAGGAATGGCGCTAAATGCAGCTTCTATTTCCAGCGCCCTGACGAGTACTTCGCTGCTGGTAGAAAATTGGGATATTTGCAGCGCCCTCTGCAATTCGTTGTCCCTCAATCCGCTGATAAAGCACTGAGCAGCGAGTTCCTCCCTAAATCCTTCCGGTGCTTCTGGATACGCTAGGTGTACCAGGCGACGTAAGTCTGCTTCGAATTCCTGCAGACTCTCTCCGGACCTCTGCAGGCGTGTCTTGATCTGTGCCTGGTAAAGTTGGCGTCGATGTTGGTCGCCATATCTTCTGTCTAGTGCAGCGACCAAAGTTTGGTATTCCTGCTGTTGGGCTGCAGGAATAGTTTGCAACAGTTCCAGGGCAGGGCCACGCAGCGCGATGACAAGTGCCGCTGCTTTCTCCTGGTCAGTCCATCCGTTGGCAGCGGCGGCTGCTTCAAACTGACGGTGGTACATTGTCCAGGTCGTTTGTCCATCGTAGGTCGGGGCCTTGAGGTTTGCAGTTCCAGGAACGCCAGGTGTCCTTGCTTGTGCCTTGGTCTTCTGTAGGTCCTTCTCTAATTTTTCCATTTTCTGTTGAAGTCGCTCCTCCAGATCTTCTACGGCTTCTTGAAGGTGTATTTCTTGTCTTTTTTCCAGATCTTCGAAGTTCTTTTTAAGACGATTTTGATCTTCTTGTCTTTCTCTATGACGTCGCTCCTCCAAACGAATTTCTAAATTACCTAATATTTTCTCAAGTCGGTCCTGTTCTTCTTGTTTATCTTGTTGTCGTTGAATTTTTAAATCTTCAAAAATTCTCTCAAGCCGGTCCTGTTCTTCTTGTTTGTCTTGTTGTCGTTGAATTTTCAAATCTTCGAAAATGTTCTCAAGCCGGTCCTGTTTAATTTCTTGATTTTCTAGAATTTTCAGTAAGCGGTCTTGTTCTTCTGCTTTCTCTTTTTCTAGTCGGGCTCGCTCTTCTTCTCGTTCTTTACGGAGTCTTTCTTGCTCTTCTGCTTTTTCTTTTCTCAGCCTCTCTTGTTCTTCTGCCTTTTCTCTTCTCATATTCTCCATAAAATCGCCCAATAATTTGCTTACTTCCTCCATTTTCTTCGCTTGCTGTCTCGTACCAACCATAAAAGTTCCCAAATTCGGTGTAAAAATCGTCCAATCCACTTAATTTCTTCTTAAAATCCTCTTGAATCGCACTTCCGACACCAATTGTTACGGATTCCGTGGGTCCACTAATTTAAACTCACGATAAAATACTTAACGAATTTATTTTCTCACTTTATACACAATTACTAACTTATAACACACAACAAACTAACTATTTATAAGATTCCTTCACCAAATTGTCCGATTTTCAATTTCCACGCGGTATATTCAAATTTCAAAAACTGTCTCAGTTGTCGATGGCTCCGGCTTATATACTCTATTGACTGCTTCTCGAAATTTCCCCAATTCTCGGAAAGCGTACTTCTTCATACCAGACAATTCTATTGTCTGATTCCCTTACTTCTCGACTTGACTAAAAGATGGCGCCTGAAAAAGTCTTTTAATTTCTGGCGGATACGTTGCGGTTGTGCAGGCAACCAGTAATACATTTTAGCCCTTGACCTTGACAGTATCCTCTATCATCTTTTGTCTCATCTACTCATAAACGAGAAACCCCATAAAACACACGGAAATGGGACACCTATTTTGCCAGAAGATATAAAAAAATACAAAAAACAGCATATTTTTGAATTACCATGCCAGACAACTGTCACTCTCATATATTCTTTAGCTGGACATAATATGAAGTCTGTCCAATGAGAGAAGGAGCGATTTGGACAGTTTGTCTTTTAATGTTCCGCTGGACAGAATCCGCTATAGTTTAAGACCATGTGCTATAATAAAACATTTTTTGTAAGTTTCTTTACAGTTCGTAATAAGTGATATTTTTAACCGCAAGTTTTTTTAGAGGAGCTCGAGGAGGAGCGATATTTCATGGAATATACAGGGTAAATTAAAACTAGACGTTGTATTTTTTATTGGTATAAATAGAACTCACATCTTGTCTTTATTGAAATAATTGATAATCAGTTTTGGTTTCATATCAGAATGTAATTTGTCATGACAAACATATACCATATAAATGAGAAAGATAAAATACTGTAGAATGATTTCGATGCCCTGTATATTGTATGTTTAAGCTAATGCGAGGGGTAAACCGCTGACGAATTTCTTTACACTAATACTAAAAGTATTACCAAAAATAATGCCAACTAATGCCACTTATACCACGAATAATACCAAGTAATGCCAATATCTTGTACATCAAAATCAAAATACACTAGCGGTTTACCCCTCGAGTTAATGCTTTTTTATTAGTTTTGCGATACATATTTTATTAGATAGTTAAAAATTATGTGGACTAAGTCTAATCATTCAAATTCGGTTTTAGATAACACTATAAATATTTGCCATTGTTATTGGCAAAACTTTTGATAAAAAATATTTATATACAATTGTTAAATGTCAAGTCTGAGATATTTTTATCATTTTAATACCAAACGCAAGGAGTAAATAAACAATGTATCTTTATTTAGATTTGATTTTAGACCCAGTAACCTATTACAAGGCCTATATGTATAATATTCACATACATACTTGTGGAAAAATTCTTCATTAATATACAGGGTACTTAAGTCATAAATAAGTGCAAATATTTTCATGGTAGATCCTAAGGGTAGATCTCGATAAAATATATTTTCTTTTTTTGTTCCAAAAAATCCGAGTTATTTAACTTTAAAATTTTAAAAAATATATATTTTTGCCTAAATTTTGAAAATCATTGTTTTTTCTTCCTCTAAATTTAATCTACTACTGTTGCTACTACTCAGTATGTTGCCTTATTATTAAGCTATTATGTTTTTAACTGAAAGTTTAACAATTTTCTATTGTTTTTATGAAAACAACTCAGACGTGTTTCTGGGATCGAAATATATCCTCCCTAAAAATATTTGCACTTATTTAAGGTTCACCCTGTATAGTTTTTATAATAAAAGTGTTCTTATACGCTGTGTTTCCAAGGAACGTAACTTCCGAGTTAAAACGAGAAAGAGTTCTGTGTAATATACTATTTTAACTTATTTTTGTACTATTGTTAGAAAATCTGTTGTTATAAAATGAGTATTAGGGAGGTGTGATAAAACTATTTCACATTAGTATATAAAAATATCGGTATTATTTATTATATTCCGGAGGTATATTTCAAAGAGAAATTCTATATGGAGTTTACTAGACTCAATTTTTAAGGCGTCGTTATTATTGCAGGAGACGAACAACTCCAAAACATGAGCATGGGCGACATTGATCCTGCTATACTGGTGGTTCGCGAGAAAGAGATCAAGCCCAGGATCCAATACAGCAGGGAGAAGCTGTTGGAGATCGGAGAGAATCCAGCTTCCAAGGAAAAACCGGCTTTCCTAAACCCGGCGGGAGTGTAAGTATATTTTTGGTACCAGGTAACATCTTAAAATTCAGTTAAATTAAATATGTATATTCGTTGCTGTTTAACTTGAGAAGCTTCATATTTGATCGCAAGGTTTTTCTTTTATTCTTTTTGGTTTGGTGTGTTTTTCCAGTAGTAACTACGGTTTTCAAGTATCTAATAACTTAGAGACTGAACCTTGTAACGTTTTTAGTTCGTTACATATCTTTTATATATGATATATGATGTCTGGCGTATTGTCACCAGAATCCGTATCGTTCAGGCCTGATAATTTATTTGACACGCTTGGCGTAGTTCTAATGTTCTCAAGTCGACAACCCAGTGATGCTTCTGTGGGCATTTATTTTCAAGGTTTCGCTCTCGAGATAACCTCACTTTTGGTTTTGCCGCTCTGTCGCCATCAGCAACCCGGCTTTTAGAAATGGTAATTATTTTGAATCTTGCTGCATAATCTGAATCGGCTGGTATTTCGTAGCTACAGGGTAGAGTTTTGGATTGGCTCAACTCAACTCGTATTTGGTGTTTGTTGGCACGTTGGTTTTCTTTTGTCCTCCAGAATGTTAAATGGAAGAAAGGACAGTTTCTTTGTTTATTACTGAGCCCTCGGAGGTATTTCGAGAGTCCTATGGACAGGTGTCCTATGGATGGATGTTGTTACATGTACGAATAGTTTATCCCATGATACAAAGAATACAAGGTATGATATTGCGCAGGTTGGTTACTACGTCACAGGTGATAAACGACACCATTGGTCGGCAAGCTCCGCGCGCCAATTTCAAATTGTCAAACAGATGACACAATAAACGCGAAAATAATTTTTCAAATGTCAAGCTCGATAATTTGACATAACTTTTGGGGTTATGTCCTGATTCTTCCCTATTTTAGGTCTGTTTTTTATTAGTGGCAATTGAACAATATGGATATTTTTCTGTATGGCGTATGACGTCACAGGTGGTATGCGCAAACTTAACGAAATTGGAGTCGCTATCGATCATACCTTGTTTTCTTTGTACCATGAGTTTATCCTATGTTTGGATTGCCTCAGTGTGGATGTAGCGTAAGCCCCATGCTGCTTTGCTCCTGTTTTTAAGCCTAGTCGATAGTTACGGCTATATTGGTTCATGGTGTCCTCATTCTGGCCCCTTTCCTTGTATTGGCCAACGGTGAAGCTGAGAGGGAGTGCAGAGATACAAGTCCCACCTCACGCTGTTACTCTTTGAAGCAGGATTGCCTCAAGAACAATCAGCTAAGTTTAATTTTAAGTTCTGGTTTTATATTTACATTTACAACATTTTCAGTCTTGAATAATATCGTACAGACTTTACGTCTAGTGGTTAACCTTTTTATGTCAGTTAGTCAGTTAGTATTTAAAATATGATTTAGATCTTAGATTTCCTTACGAACATATCTTGTAATAGTATTACTTTCTGTATACTATATCTATTGCGTGATTTTAAGGATGAATTACCGGAAATAGGTTCTAGAATATACGGCTTACAACATCTCGGATATAATATCGTATAAAATATAACAAATTAATTAAAGTAATGCTATATTTTTTATATTTCCAGTAGCTTTATCTATATTGTATTTTTCCATAGTCTTTTTCATGGAACATATTTAAAAATTTAATTAAAGACCATCATGAATAAATATAGTCATTAATTTTAAGTAATAGACAACTGTGTTTTCTTTCTCTGTTCATGCCTGGCGCCCAATATTTATATTTTTGATTTATTATTGTTAGTTAGTTTTTTTCTCCAGTGAAGTACACCAGTACAGTACATCATCAAAAGCATTGTTTTTCGTGGTTTCAATTTTCGGAGTTGCGCACTAGTTAGGTTACTAGTTTGCGCATATGCACGGCCACTTGTGGCCTCAAATTGTGTACAGCGCCTGACCGGTCTTGTGACCGGCCCAGTTATTACGCTGTTTAAACGGGAGTTTATTTTTGCGCACAAGAAAATTTACTCGTCTGCTCATCGCCATAAAAAGCAATTACCAATATACCACGAATTAGGGACAAGATTTTTATCTGTATTCTTATAGGATACCTAATCTGTGATAGTTCTTTTTGTTCGAGTCTAGTTTTTCCAAATCGCTTGCGATCCAGAGCCTCGCTATAAAATATTATGTACTGTGCTGACCTTTACCATAAACTCTACAGCAAATACTTCCTTATGTCCTGTCAAAAGACCTCTTGTACTCCGCACTTTATCCCCGCTGAGCATTAGCAGTTCCTTTGTGGTTTTATCATTAGGTTTTCGAATGAAGGCCTTGCTCGCCTGTCTATTATTCCTGTAGACAGTCTGATTTTCACTACGGGTATGGGTTTTGGTACTTTTGGGCTCCCATAACCTTAAAATCTTTGATCGTCTGCCAAAATTGTCCCTGACTGGTTGGACAGATTCTACGTTTATTTATAATCGTATTTTTTAATATTTTTTAGATCGTCGTCCATTCTAGACCCCGAAAAATGGAATTTGGAGAGAAAAAAATCTGACACTCCCGAAACTAGTACCAAGAGTAGCGATAATGGAGACCAAGCCAGAGTAAGTTCATGTATAATTTAATTCTTCCTTTGACTGTGCTTTGTAATTTTACCAGGTCATATAAAAATAAACTAAAACACGTCAAAAATGGATTTAAATGATATATCAAAAAGCATTAAACAAAGAATTTTCAAAATTATACAAGTGCTTTTCTTTGAACTACATAAAACCAAGTGAACCTTAAGAAAAATTATATTATTTCTATTGCAGTACTTTTTCTTAAAAATGTTTATTTTCTAAGAACTTATTTGCTGCTATCTTTAAGTTTTTGTATAAATTTGGCTTCAATTTTTAGAGACGTCCTGGGGATCCCCGAGAGAGAATTCGCAAAGAGAGTGACGGAATTGTCTTGAGTCCCCAACGAAGAAGTTTCAACTCGGGCTGTTTTGTACCGGCCAATAAGGAGCCTGTGCGCCCCGCAAGGCCCCACAGCCCCCTTGGAGGTAAACCGGAACCCTCGCACATTATGGGTAAGTGCTTATGACGTGATTTTTTCAAACGACGTAGATGTAGATTTTAATCACTGCGACCTTATAGATTTATTGTGTCGCCCTCTCTTGAACTATAACTCATCATTCAGTCCCAGGGCTTTGACAAAAACCAGTATCTAAGACGGTTTTACGAGGGTATAACGTTCTCTTCGTTGGAATATCCATTCCAATGTCTTCCAGGTTCTTGAGTTCCGCCTTAAATTGGTTTCCGCTTGGAAAGCAGTTAGTGGAGTGTTCACTCCTTTTCTAGCTACATCGTTTGTTTTTCATTGCTTTTTATCCTTTGATGGACTGGCACCCAGTGTAGGAAGACTTAATTATCTTTGCATATAAATTGTTCAACTTCTCTATGCATTCTTTGGCCAACTTCGAATTGATGGATACTGAGCTGATCGATTTTAATACTGCTTGACTATCGGATAAGATGGCTATTTCTTGTTTCTTATAGTTTCTATCTAAGATAAGGTGTATGCATTTTTCGATAGTGTAGATTTCTGCCTGAAGGATGCTGGGGTAGGTGCCCATTGGTTCATAGCACACACACCGGAAAAGTCTAGGGATATTACAATTTTATCCAGCCATCGTCAGTAATTTTATTATTTGCATTTCTGATATAATAAAATTAAAATAAACAAATAGTTTACATGACGTATTGGAAATAAAAATGCGAAATTTACTGAATTTTTCAAATTTACCTTGATTTTTATTGAACTCAAAAAATACACACATTTTTTTTTATTCTAAACTGTGAATTAAAAAAAAAGATAAAACCATTTTTATTTAATAAAGGGTATGGCCTCCTCTACTGTTCATTACAGCCCTACATCATCTCTCCATGCTCCTGATCAGGTTGTCGATCTCTTCTTGAGGTACAGCCTGCCACGCTGCATTCACGGCCCGAACCAGATCTCTACGAGTTTCACGAGGCATACCCATTCTCAAAATTCTTCTTTGGACCGCGTCCCATACGTGCTCGATGGAGTTGAGGTCAGGAGATTGTGCCGGTCAGGGTAAGATGTTTAATTGATGAGCATTGATAAACTCACTTACCACTCTGGCTGTATGAGGCCGTACATTGTCATGCATGAGAATGAAGTTTCTCCCAAAATCATTGGCATATGGTAACACGACAGGCTCAAGAATTAAATCACGATATGTGATTCCTGTTAGAAACCTTTCAAGAAAAACGAGATCGGTTTTTCGGCCTAACTGGACTCCTCCCCAGACCATAACTGTTCCACCTTGATAGCGGTGCACCTCCTGAACATGATCTAACCGAATAAGATTTTCCGGTTCTCTCCATACCCTAAGCCTTCTCGAATCCGGATGAATTCCAAAGCGTGACTTATCCGTGAAAAGAACATTGGCCCATTGTTCATTCGACCACTGAACATGATCTTGAGCCCACAAATATCGTACCTCTCGATTTCCTCTCGTTAAGGGTTGAGCTCTCCAGGGGCGTCTGCTTCTTAAGTTGACTTCTCTTAATCTATTGCGAACAGTGTCAGGACTAACGGTTACATTATGTGTTTCCTGGAGAATTAAACTAAGCTCTGGTGCTGTAAGAGTCGGTCGGCGTCGAGCATTTAATTGTAAAAAATGATCTTGCTGAGGGGTAGTAATGCGATGTCGTCCTGTGTGCCTTTCAGCAACATCACCACTTTCACGGTAGCGTGCACTTAATCGCGATACTACACTTTGCGTTGTATTTAATGCTCTAGCTACGTCGATTTGACGCATTCCAGCTTCGAGCATGCCCATGGCCCTTAGCATTTCGTCTCTTTTAAGATGTCTACGCTCCATAATGTCGTTTAATACTAAACAGAGTTATTTGAGATTGAATGAATTCTGGCCAGTTATCATAAAAACGTAGCCAGTACAGGTTAAATTCGAACAATTGATGCTAGGTGCTTTTTATACATTTGACAAAAAATGCACAAACACTTCTGCAAATATCCCAAATTTAGAAATAACTGATGTGACTACTTCGTTTCAATCGAAGTAGAAAGAATCGGCCTGCAAATATGTGGTTGTTTATTCAAAACATATATTTTTAACTTTAATAAAATGATATCCCTAGATTTTTCCGATGTGTGTATTTAGTTTTCGGTCGAAATACTACTATCTCTGTCCCTGCTTTGGTTTAAATAAGGTTCAAATATTATTATATTGTTAGTTATTTATTATTATCTACTGATATTGGTTTTGAAAAATATATTACTTCAGAAAAAAAGATGACTTACAAAAAGAAATGGGATTTTTGATGGGATTTCTATATGACTTTTGCGTAACAATTTTTAATCGTTTGGTTCTTTAATGGGCTCTTTTGAATTAAGGTGTTAGAGAGATTCAGTCAAATACTAGACGCATCGGTAGCGGCCGTATAATGCGCGACTCGTGGGGAGAGATGGCAGATAAAGATGGCGGTGACAACGAATACAGCTTCGGACGAGGACAGTCAAGGGCTAACGACAGAGAAGATAAGTTTGGCGAGAGAAGATCCTTCGGCAGAGACATGGAGAGCAACAGGTAGATAGTAGTATATACAGGGTGTTTCAAAAAACATGTGCCATCTCTCGTGGGAAGATACCTCACGTAAAAATAAGATTTATTTTTCATATCAACATAGATCCGATTCTGCTTTGTTTCGTAGCTACAGGGTGTTAAAGTTTTAATATTTTTTCGATTTATTATAATTTTCTTCCAAGTACTTTATCGTTTCGAATGTAATTTTGAGGGTAAAAGTTACTATAAATGCGACATATTTTAAAGCTAAAAAAGTGTCGACATATTTACCAGGGAAGTGCATATGGGTTATCACTGGAATAGTTTTCTGAAAAAAAAACAAGTACGCCACTGACTTTTTTTACTCTTGTTAGCGAAATAGTGTAAGCATTTTAATGCTGATTAAAAGTTGTTTCTTGATATTTTGTCTATTTCGGCCTCTTTAATTAGATAAACGCAATTTTATTAATTTGCCTTGTTCCAAGTCTAATAGCAACCTTTAAAAAATTTTAATATCATTAACTTGTGAAAGTTTTAAATAAGTACCGTAAAATGGGGTGAATAGAAACAGTTTCGTAGGCCATTAGCGATATACCGGTTGATGAATGAAAATGTGGTATTATTTTCCTGAATATTTTAAAACATGGGTCTTTGTTTGTTCTTTGCGTATACATATAATTTGATTTTTGAAAAATATGCATATAAATATTAAATAAAAATAACACACAAGTTCTATTCACCTGCTATTCGGGAGAATAGAAACACACATTGATGTTAAGGTTTTTATCTATTCTATTTCCAACAAGGTGATTAGAAACAGTAAATTATTACATATTTAAGTAGGTTTAACAATAATTAACAATACATATAATATAACAACTTACATGTACCAGCTTATGCATTAGTTTAAAAATAAATATTTTATTTATAAAGTTTTCGCGCCATACAAAATAGGTGATAAATCGATCTCACATTTATTGATCAGCTGATTGACAGAAACAGTGCTGCCACAGATAAAAATATAGTTTTTACATTTTATTGTGTATTACCAATGATAGAAAAATTAGATATGTCGACTCTTTTTACTTTGAATATTTTTAATCGTGATTTGATTTTTTTCAGAAATTTTGTTTCTATTCACCACTATGTTTCTATTCCCCCCATTTTACGGTACTCATTGATTCCTCATCAAAAAATATGAAAAAAAGTCTATAAACATGGGTATGGAAATGCATAGTTTTGGAATTACAGGATGTTAAAAATTTTTAAAATTAGGTTTTTTGTAATTATCTTATACCATTATTTTCTTATTTGAAATTGCTGTAGGTTGGACTAAAAGTAATAATAACTGATAGTAATAATATTTAATAAGAAATTATGAAAAATATATAATTGATTAATTTTATTTTAATTTTAATTTTATTAATTGTGACTAATAAAATTGCGTTTATCTCATTAAGGAGGCGGAGAGAGAGAATTCGACGAAATATCACGAGTTAACTTTTTATTTGTATTAAACGGCCTACACAATTTTGATATCAAAATAAAAAATGTCAGTGGCGCACCTGTTTTTTTTTGAAAAATATTCCAGTGATAACCCATATGCACGTCCCTGGTAAATATGTCGACACTTTTTTTAGCTTTAAAATATGTCGCATTTATAGCCTCAAAATTTCAGTGGAAACGCTAAAAGTACTTGGAAGAAAATTATAATAAATCGAAAAAATAGTAAGATTTTAACACCCTGTAGCTACGAAACAAAGCAGAATCGGACCTATGTTGATATGAAAAATAACTCTTATTTTTACGTGAGGAATCTCCCCACGAGAGATGGCACATGTTTTTTGAAACACCCTGTATAAAAGACTTCATTTATAGAACTGTAAACTTATACTTATTTTTATTTTTTAGAGACAGAGATAAAGAGCCTAGAAGGAATGGAAGATACAGCGAGAGACGCAAGTATTCCGAAAATAAAGAGGACGAACCAGAATGGTGAGTGCGTTTATGGTATTTTTTTTAAATATTTATTTTAATCATATAGGCTTAATTTCTTTGAAAAAAAAATATTAAGGAAGGAGTATACTGCAATCCATGTATTTATGCATGGTAAACGGAGGTTGGTCCCTAGGGTGAGGATCCTTGACAGTTCTGTTTGACGATTCATTTGACACATTTGAATTTAATTTAAAATTTTGTCGATTTGTCAGTCTTTTACTGAGCTTATTTTTTGTTATTTATTATTTATTTTACGACTGGTAGTTGTTTAAGAGGTATTAAATCTAGAAGACTAGGGAATATTATAATAAATAATCTAGAACGGTAAAAATTTCTGTGTTGGGACAAACCTATTATAAACAGGGCTAAGAATGTATATAGTATATAAGAAATATTTTTGCAGGTTTTCATCTGGGCCAATTTCTCAAAACGACACCATCGAGCTGCGCGGTTTCGACGAGTCGGAAAAAATCAAAAAGAAAAGTGCCACAAGTCGCGTGAAACGTGCCAAAGAATGGGCTAAGAAAAAGGGTGAAGCTCAGCCTATCAACGAAGAAAAAGATGAGGGTGGTTCTAAACAAGGGTGAGTACTTCAATTGTAGCGATACTATAAAACTAACGCTTCAGACAATGAGTACTGTACCTCCGCGAGTTCGAAAAAAAAACATTTTCAATTTTTACCATGTATTGTGTATTATTTTTTAGCTAATTTCTCCATTTTTCTAGATCTGCACGAAGTCAACAGGATACTAAAGCGTCGAACAGTGCAGATGAACGTACCGCCGATAAGAAGCCGACGGATGGCGAGAAACAGAAAAAAGAATCTGAAGAGAAGTCCCAAGAGCCTTCTGAAGCATCTAAGACTGAGAGTACATTCAATTTTGAAGAGTTCCTGAAGTGTGAAAATATTCCGGGCTTGTTGACGGTGAGTGTCATAATTATGAAAAATTTATTGTAATTTTTACCTTACATATTCCAAATTCTTGTTTCATTTACAATGAATATACGACCCCACATTGCAAAGAAGTATTGTAAGCGTACTGTTATTTTTATATTTGTTATTTTTTTGAAAGCAACTTGACAAAACTAGTGGCACGACGATTTTAGAGCAACTGTCGAGAACGAGGTCAAATTGCACTGTTATTTTCGTACCTGTTAATTTCTAGAAGTGTTGAAATCTTGGTTAGACACATTGCGCGGGAATCAAGTCACAAACAGTCGCTGTTGACGGACTGTTATTTTATAACAGTAATTTTTTAGAACTGTTACTTCATGTCTTTTATTTTCTAGAAGTAACAACTGTTAAAAACTTGGTAAAACTCATTGCGTGTCGGACTCGACATCATATAATAAGCCGTTGCTGTCGATGGACTGTTATTTTATACCTGTTATTTTTTAAAACAACTGATAAGAACTTCGTAAAATTAAAATTACTCTGTTATTTTCTAGAAGCAATAACTGTTGAGAACTTTGTTAAACACAGTGCCCGCCAATCTCGACATATCAGAAACGGTCGTTGTCCACGGAGTAGTATTTTATACCTAATATTTTTTACAATAACTGTTGCGAGCTTGGTAGAATTACTCTGTTATTTTTATGTCGATATTGCCTGGAGTAACTGTTGAAAATTTTGTTAAATATGTTGCGCGGCGATGTAACATATTCCAAACGATCACTGCTACTTTATACCTGTTATTTTTGTAAGTAACAACTTTTGCCAACTGTTGTTCATAAATAAAAATTGTTAAATAACAATTCGTTTTTATCATGGTTAGTGGTTTTTATTATCGGATTTTGTTACAGAATGGCGTTACGGATGGCAATAAAGCGACATCTAGGTTTAGTCGTTGGTTCAAAAAGGAGAGCCCCACAAGAGATTTGGCCGAGTCCAGGAGGTCTTCTATTCAAGAAGATAATCATATTATCAAGGTTTGTTACAGGTTCTTTTAGTTAGTTTTCTCAATCAACAGATGTCTCTGTTTTAGGATTTACTAAAAGATATCAACGACTCTAGTTCGGTGCCTATCGCCGTGCATCCACCCAACGATTCCAACGCGTATTTCGCTCCAATTTCTCCAGCCGGCAACACAAGCAACCCTCTAGGGGGCTTTTCGGGCCCCAAATCGTCTCAATCTTCCATGGGTCAACCGATCAACATCATGGACATGCTGTCCAGAGGTAAACAGTCTGCTAATGATGGATGGAAGGCACCTCCTCCACGTAAGTATTTACAATGGAAATAGTGGTTTCGAAAAAATGTTTTTTTGCTGAAAGAAAAATGTACCAATACAATATATTTATATTTCGTTTAGCAATTGGAGGAAAGATACTCAGTTTGGACGAACTAGAGGCGAAGATTAGACCTAACGTTGATCGCGGAAAAGGTCAAAATCAAAAGCCAGACGAGGAGATGACAGTTGCTTTCAAGAAATTGGTAGGTTTTCTTTTTTGTTAATAAACTAATTATTGATAAAATTGAGCCATAAGGTTTATTTAAAAGATCAGCTATAAAAAAGATAGATACAAAAACAAATTATACTGGATCGCTGATAGGTATGGGAACAGTCGATTATTGGGTAAAATATACAAGGTACCGCAAAAAGTTAAATACAAAAGTTATAAGGTTTTTAAATGTCTATTAGCTAGTAATAAATTTATGTATACAGGGTTGGTCATAAAGTTGTGGCACATCAAAATTCGCTTTTTTTAAATGCAACTCCCTGCATATTATTGCATATTTTAATTCTTTCTATAATTTTTAGCAATAATCGTAATACACATAATGTACCTAAATTCAACCATTTCCGAATTATGAAATTTTATACGAAAATTTTGATATTTTCAGACTTGATATAATCTCATTTTATACATCTCTAAATGCTAACTTGAAAACTCCTGAATTTCCGCAGAATGACATCGTTAAATTAAGCCAAACATATATAAATTAATTAAAGCCAATTGTTTAAGTAATATTTTCAAAAGTCAATAACTCGGAAATTATTGGTTTGACGTACATTGTGTGTATTTCGATTTTAGCTTAGAATTGAAGGGAGAATTGAAATATGCAATAATATAGAAGGGGTTGCATTTATAAAAAGTAAATTTTGATGTGCCACGACTTTATGTCCGACCCTGTATACTAAAATGTATTACTCGTTAATAGACATTTAAAAAGCCTATAACTTTTATATTGAACTTTTTGCGGTACCTCCTATATTTTATCTAATAATCGACCTTTCCCATACATATCAGCGACACTGTATATTACTTTTATTGTTCCAGCTGCAGCAAGCTAGTAACCAACCAGTATCCCAAAATGGCCCCATGCACAAGCCTCAAGCTATGAGTCTCCTTGAGGTATGTATTACTGATTATAATTAAATAAAAATAATACAGACTGTATATGACTTTTCCATCTTTGTTTGCACAGATGCTGAACCACTCTCAGCAGCAGGACGAAGCCCGCTTCGCCGCGGCTCAGGCGGCCGTCACTCAGCAACAGCACCAGCTGCTCAGCGCCTTGCACGGTCCTCCACAGGGCGCCTTCAACGACCTGTCGATGAAGCTGCAACAGGCCCAGCTTCAGAAACAGCAAATGGACCTGCTGATGCAGCAGAGCCGCGAGCTGCTGAACCGGCCCGAGGCGCAGGCCATCTTGCAAGGTGGGGAAATAACTTGCTATAGATCAATTTTAAAGTTCCTTCTTATAAGCAACGTGCTTATGTTTTTTGTTTTTAATTATTTCGCCTTGTTTTGCCTATAGTACTATGCTCTCTAAAGAGTGTAGGCGACCTCTCAGTACTTGTGACGTGTGATATCTATTGAATGAAAAGACTAAGGAAGAAAGTTTTGTCAGTTTTAAAATTTGTTCCATTTTTTCCTGGTGAGAGTGTTTATTATATCTATTTTATATTGTTTTTGTTTATTGTAAAGACTGTTCAATTATTCAATATTATTTATTTCGACGATTCTGTTATGTAATATAATTTAAATTAATATAATGCAACTTTATACTAAGAAAACATTTATACATTGATAAAATGCAGCTAATAATAGAGTTTGAAAACAATGAAAATTGAATCAAAATTAAAAAAGATAAGCGCGACCCCTTGTGTCAAAATTAGATGATTAAATGTTCGCAATTTTTATACCATTTGATGACCGGTGGCGCCTCTAGTGTTTGTTCGCACGGTTAGTCTTTTACTCCCGTTTCTGGCCATTAAATAAAAAGTTCTAAAGGGGGATGTTTTGTGCAGCAATAATAGATTTTTAATTTTGACATTGATTGATGTTCGTCTGTGTTCGTCAACAAAATTATAACACCAAATCAAATTAAAGAAAAAATCAAAACTTGTACATTTGCAAGAAGAAAATGAAAAAACAATAAAGTAACGCAGTTTTATGCAAAGTGTTTAGATCTAGAAATACATTGTTCCAGTAGCGTATCAATATTTTGTTATTAAGTTATTATTTATTTTAATTTTGACATCTTAAAATAAAAACTGAACTCCATATCTGTCAGTCAAATTGAACCACGCACTGTAGCGGTCTCACTAATTTTGGTAATATACTCCTTGGTCTTTTTGTTCAATTGTATCGTCAGCTTTTCACACGTGCACGAGATTTTATTTGTTATGTAAATATTATTGTTGTTTAACAATTAGTTTATAAGAAGGAGCGACAAGCAGATTTAATACAAAGCATTTCTTTGACTGATATAATAAAAATATAGATTAGAATTTTTATCTTTGTGGACTCCTGGCCCAGTCGTTTTTGTTTACATATAGAAGAATATGTGTATGAACTTTTAATGGAAGTATATCAAACTTCCTCCTATGAATTCTATATTAAACTTATGTTCACGAAGTTTTATAGATGGTGAAATACCCCCAAATTTGTTAAATACATTTAAATAAAGTAAAAATTTGAATAGTATGGTTTTTATTGTAGTCTTTTGATATTCCTCAAACAAAAGGGATTATATTACTAGCATTGTTGGTCAAAAGAATTATTAAAATGAATTAGGTCATATCAAATCTATATCATAGATATAAATCTATAACAACCTGGTCTTTTTGTGAGTTCTATCTACATTTTATATCAGTTATAGTATATCATGATCTATATTGCTTTTATATAAAAACCTTAGATCTTATAAACTTCGTGGATAAAGTTATGTCTATGATATTACACACAACTCAGTTTCTATGAGTACAACAAGCGTTTTTCTACTTTTTTTCTAAAATAAGTTTAACGTATTCTTACGGATTCCGTGGGTCCTTAACCTTAAAACACACGATTAAACACAAATTAATTTATTACACAACTGTAATTACAATAAACTGCTCGATTATAACATGATATTGACTATATAACGCTTGAACCACTTTTGTTCAATTTCAAACTATCCAATCAACAATTTTAAACTTTATACTCAATAACTATTTATTTTCGGTAACTTCTATTTCATACCAGAACATTTTTTTGCAAGAGAATATTTTTGTTTTCACGCTATGCAAGAGATGGCGCGCCGTTCGATTTTTTCTGCTGGAAGGTGGCTGTTCTATTTCTAGGTATCTTCCATAATCTCTGCAAAGATGGCTTCTGGTACCTTCCTCATTTCATCGGAAGATGTCGCTACGTTTCTTGACAGTATAAGCCTATGCTTTTCAGCATGTGAACTATTTGATCTTGCGTAAAACGATATAGGACATGAATACCATCTTATAGCTGATTTTCGCTGCGTTGATGAATTTGATGGAAATATGAATCATTAATTTTTTAATCACGATAATAATTATTTAAATCAAATAATGCTAATTTATGTTTCCTCAGTGGTTAAAGAATACAAGGACCAATAACACCCGAGACCAAATTGTTACCATACTTCCAAACAGTGCCGGGTCACATATTTTTCTTAATTTAGTTGCTTAAAGATATATTTATGGTTTTGATAAATGTTTTGACTGGTATCATACTAATTAATTACAAAAAAAAAACGTTTTAAAATGTTAACAAAAGGTATAAAACTAGTATCGATGTATAGCACATATCAAGTGCATGTTACGTCAGAAAAATAATTATCAAATTCAATAAGAAAACGCTAAAAAGGTGGAGCGGACTGTTTATTTACCTATGAAAACGTAACTCCTGGCTCTTTCTTATCGTTGCCGCTTTTACACTTGAAAGCTGAACAAATCACCATTGTAGTAAAGTTTATACAAAGTTCACTACACACAGCGAACTATTAAAAATCGCTAAAATTGTCGCTCGTAATACATCCGTTTATCCAAAAAAATGGCGTCTAACAACACAAATTCTGCTTCAGCCCGTATATGGGCGTTACGTGTCCCTGTATTCTTTAGACATTGTGTTTCATAAATGCTTTAAATTACTACTTGAAAACACAGTTACATTGATTTGGCAAAATTAAGAAATTTTTGATATTGAAAAGATAAATAACTTTAATTAGCCTCACTTTTCTATACCTACATCTGTCATCTCTTTGTCGAATGGTCTTAAGACAGGGACGGTCAAATTTATGCAATATCGCTGATATGTTTTCGCCAACAATAAAGCAAATTTACTTATCCACCTAGAGTATAAGATCTAAGATAAAACATTGTTTTTTTAAATTTATTGATACATCTTGGTCACAAGTGGTAAAATATATAAATAGATTGTTGGCTTTTGAAACGGCAGGTAGTAGTCCAATTATTCCGACGATAAATTTGTTTATATTTTGGATTAGGACTAAAACGGGGCGAAATTACCGCCCAACACCTCTGCCAGCAGCTGGCTAATCCGGCCCTGCAGCATCGCCATCGCGAGATGCTGGCCGCCATCTTGAAATTGCAGGGTTACGGGCCCAGCCCTAGGGTGCTGAGTCCCGCGCCCCTCCCCCATCACGTCTACCAGCCGCAGCAGCAGCAACAGCCCGCGCAGCAACCGCAGCAGCAACTGCGCGTGTCTCCGCTGCCACCTGGCGGTGAGTCCGGTTTATTATGTCATCTGTACCTCTGCTGGACATGTATTATTGCCTTTTGTATCCGCTTTTTTGTTGTTGTTTTTTGCCTTTTGTCTTATACGTTTTTTGTTGGGGTTCTGCTAGGAAGAAAAAATCAGGCTTATTTAATTAATTATTCATTTTAAGTACCGCTTAGTTCGAAGTATAAAATGACAATTGATGGTAATTTTGGCATGGTGAAGCTCTAGACGTCATTTACGTCAGTTAGCCTTAAGAAGGTTTTAATTTATTTTGCCACGTATTTCGCCACTGTAAATACAAAGAACAAAGAAAGAAACTATTTAAAATATCTAAATGCAACTATTCGAGAACACTTTAAATTTTTTAAACAGATACGTCTACAAAAACCGTTGACGTCAACGGTTGCCTCAAAATGACATCGTATCAAGTTAAACTTCAAAATTAACAATTACTACCTGATACCAGTTATTTAATAAGGTAAAACTAAAAAGTTTCAGTGGCGAAATACCCATAGGACTGACTTTTTTGGATAGATGAATCCGGCACATAGCTATAGACAGTTCTATTCTTTGTTAATCTTTCTATAAAATTAGTGTTAATTTTTGACAAATTTCATGTCAGTTTTTAATAAATGACGTCTAGAGATTAACCTCGCCAAAAATATCATCGATTTTTCATTTCCCAGTCATCATTGACACCGTTTTTTTTCGATCGCACGGTAGTTGAAACCAAAGTTCTAGTTTCTTCTTGATATTACATATAAATTTGTAATTATGGTGATACTTTTAATAAGACATGTTTGATAAGACGAACGGTTATGTAGGATGCCAATTAGTCGCTGTTAGTTATTACTTTGGCTTAGCTTTTGGTCGCTGCAGTCTTAGAAATTTAAAGTAGATATTGTAGATAACTGTGGGTAATACTTCTGACTTTTCATATTTGTTGTATATTTGTACAAAGCTCATGTATAGCTTATTACATATTTTAATACAGGATACTTTAATTAAACCAAATATCTTGAAGTGTAATTCAGTCTACTTTCTGATCTATTATTTAAAAAACGTTTCCTCCATAATAATTAACTCAGAATAATTTGTTAATATTTAAGCCTGATATTTTAATGGACTTGAAGTCATTCTTTCACTTGAGAGTTAGTAAAAAATATATTAGTTAAAAAAATTCTTGGAGAAAACTTCTTGTAATTACTGTGTTTATAACTACTTTGACTTATTTATATTAATCAGTCTAGTTTAATAAAGGCGATTGATATTCCAGGACTGTAGGATTCAGTGAGCATGCTTAGAAAACAAAAATCCTGTTTAAAACAAGAGGCGAAAAGTTGTATATTGTGTATATAAACTTTGTATATAATCAGCAATTATTAAAACCCTGAGTTGAATCCAGTATCTTATATCCCCTTCGTCGATTGTAACAACTTTTGTTATATTCTGTTCCAAGCAGCTTATTGTGTGTCTCCTATTATGGCAACCAGTCCTAACCATCTAGCCGTTCCCGGTGAGTTCGTTAACTACCACTTTATGTCTGAAAAAAACTCTTTTTAGAAAGAGAACCAATCATTGTAATTCTGTGTACATTTACCCTACTAGAAACTAGTGCATTATTAATTGACCTCAATTCGGAATTGATTTTATTCTTTTTTATTCCGAATTTTCCAACAGCCATGCACCAAAGGATACCGTCGCCTCGCGAACTGCAAGTGCACACCCAGAACATCCTGCAGAGGGCGCTGATTAAGAAGAAGCTGGAAGAGCAGACCGAGAATTTTAGGAAGAAGCAGGAGATGCAACGCGGGACCAGTCCCAATCCTGTTGCCGGGGGTCCACAGAGTGGCGGATCGAAGGGCGTGTCTTCTCCGACTCCGCTAGCGTTTACGCCTACTTCAGTATTGCGTAAGATGACTGCCGATAAGGACGAAGGTAAGATTCGTAGATGATACTATAGGCTTGGTGCATTTCAACCGATTTTTAAAATTCTTACAGCAGCGCTCGGTACGGTAGAAATCAGAACTGTCCTGCTAGTTTATTTCACGCCGCGGCGCGCGCGCCGGCGCCGCACGGTGGAAAGATCCAATATAAAATGTTGGACATTGACTTAAAAATAAAATTTTAAATTAAATAATTTTGGTAGAAGATTTGAATTACTTAAAGTCCAGACCGTTATATTTTATCCAACTCAAAAAAATATTTTTAATTATATGTCTGTTTGAAAAGTTTCAAATGAAAATATTACACTGACATAATTATGGTATTCATTTCTTGTGAAACAACCTAGTTTTATAAAAACTGGCAAAGACATTAATAATTTTTTTTAACCATACATATTAGTGCAAATGATTGTTTTCACTTTAAAATAAAAGATATATATAGTCACAAAAGTTTGGGAGAACAATTGTATATAAGAGACACATAAACATTTTTTTGCTGCCAAATACTATATTTAGTAGCAAAAAAATGTGTATGTAGAAAAATAAAAAAATGGCCAAAGTTGGCCAAGACTTTATATATATCACAAGGTGGATTAAGCCTTTCTAATAACGAAACTAATTTAACATCTTGCCCCAGCTTGCCCCCCTCTAAAAATTTCCATTTAATATATTACTAATACATGCTATACTAAAATCAAAAACCTTTTCAATTCCAATAAATTAATTTAACATTTTTAGAGTCAAATTATCTTTATTTTTTATAAATTTATTAATATTTAATTATTAATTGAATAAATACAAAATGACGCTAAAATCAAAAACAGATACAGGGTGCTACAAATATATGGAAAACTTATAAACTATTGGAAAAAGAAAGAGGGTTAAGGTGCAGTGTTGAGGTTTTTTGTTTGTAATAAAAATATTCTAGTGCGTTGATTTACTGTTATATTCTTTGCTTATAATAAAGTTATTGTACAGGGTGTCCCACTAAGAATAGCTCTCGGCTATATCTCGGAAAGTATTAGCCGTGAGGCTTGCGGAAAAAATATTCATAACTAAAGAGACCATGAGAAAATGCTGGAAATTATTTTCAAATTTGTAGAATGGCCGCTAGAGGGCGCAACTGCTATAAAAAATAAGAAAATGGAGTTTTTACACAACTTTGCCTAGATAAGGGGTACTATAAATAATAGCTTCATAATCTTCAGTAAATTCTGAATATTTTTTGTTAGAACCATTTTCCCCTATCTGCCAAAATAAAGTGGTGGGGAAAGGTTAGATCTGTTTTTATTTAAATATTAATAATTCCGGACTGGATGGACGGAATCCAACTAACTGGAGCTCGTTTAAAATACCGTTTCTTACTCTATATTATACCATATAAACAATAACTGTAAGCTTTTGAACGTAGATGCTAGGGGGCGCTGTCTTACAAATTAACAAACATTGTGCGTTTTTTCAAAAAAAAATGCGATGGTATATGTCATTTTAGCTGATAATAAAGAGTAATGAAAGCTTAAAAAGTCAGTGAAAACCGCATCTTGATATCTTCTTTCAAATCGAAGATATTAGCAAAGTTATATTAAATAGGAAAATATATGTAAGCCCTTAATTACCATATTTTTATAACACGGTATCAGTAGTCTTAGATTTCAGTGGTAAAATCTAAAGCTATTTCTTTTTAAAAGGATCAAAACTAAAACATTCCACGACAGTTTGGCAAAGTTTATAAGCATTTAAAACTTGTACGATTTTTCCAAAACATACTATATTTTTAGGTCACCCTGTAGATGGTTTGTAATGAGCCAACCACTTTCTTTCATTAAAATTTAAAATTGTTCTGTTTATACATTATTACGGTATATAAAAATCATTTTTTCGTCTTTTGGATTAAAAGTGTTGAGAAGAAAACCTCATGTCCAACAGCTCCCATAAGCTCGTTCCACTGTGCGCCGTCCCGGTTGCCGTTCATGTTGATCCCATTGAAATAATATTAAAATCGTGATTATGTCATAATATTTAAGTATTTTGGTTTTTACTAGTATTGTGTTGGGTAGCAAAGATTAAGTAAAAAATGAATCTGATTTGGACGACGCGACGGCGTTGTGTTGTGACAGTTTCAGATGATAATAAAATTGACGAAATAATGTTATTACAAAAAGGAGGACGTAATTGCATGGTTGTTGAGTGCAATAACACTCAATACAACTCTCCCGAAACAGATTTATCACACCGATTTGATCCTAAACAAAAATTAATTCGGGCAGTTCGACGAAACAAGTGAGTAAAGAAAGTGCCCATTACACAATCAAAAAATTAAGTAGGTATACAGGGTGTATTAAATAAGTGCAATATTTGGTAGATCTCGATAAAAGAAACATATTTTCTCTTTACCGTTTTTCAAATAAATCCAAAATAACCGAATTATTTCACTTTGAAAATTTCAAAAAAATGGAGAGAGAACCACTAGGTCTTTTCGGGATTTTTTTACTAGTAGATACTTGTCAATTTAATCTACTACCTATGTTGCCATATTATCAACAAAGTATGTTTTTTACCTAAAAACTAAAAAAAAATCCGAACAATTTTTTGAAGAAATTTCAAATTTTCAAAATTGTCTTTCGCGCAAAATACCTCATAATCGTGTTCCTGGGGTCGAAATATACTACCCCTAAAATATTTGCACTTATTTAAAACTCACCCTATATATAATAAAATAAATAAAATATAATTTGATCATTATTATGGGTATACTTCTTTTTAATAAACTAGTGCTTAAATGGACGTTTTCTAAAATTATAATTATCTACTTTTACAAAATTTACAATCCAATTAGCCCGAGTTATTTTCTAACTAGCAAAATCCGTGCGTAAAACTATGGTTGCTACCATAGTTGAAGCAGCCAGTGTGTGCATCTAAAATTTTTTATTAGCTTGAATAATAAATTATAACACAATTTTTTTTAGAATTTCAACAAATTGCACTTAGTAATACCTTTCAACTAATAGTTATAATACATTTTTCGTGTTTCTTGTTTACTTGGTTGTTTACGGGACTCTCCGGAGAATGCACCAAGCCTATAGTCTATTTAACGATCGAATAACGATGTAGATTTATAATTGTTAATTAAGACAGTTTGTTAGTGGTTTAGCACTACTATTAAAAAGCTTTCATTGCTTAGGAAACATTCTGTATATGCCATATATATTTACAGGAAAAGAGAATAAAATCATAGGTGATAACGGTCTGAAGCCACAGGGCAGACCATTGACAGGCATGAGACCACAACCACAAGTTCCTGTAAATAATCAGTGGAATGCTGCCGCCTATCCTATGAAACAAGGTAAAGCAAAGAAAAATTCGTCTGGGGTGTTCTTTATTTATTATTACAATACTGTGTATGTTTCAGCTGGACGTCCAATCATCAAAGCGAGTAATACTTTCCAGTCTCAGACTCCCGAGCATCTCTTTGCGCAGATCCAGCAGCAGCAACAGCAGCCTCAGACGCCACAGCGCATCTACCAGACCGTCCCGAATCAGCAACAGCGCAAGCCCATTGTCGGCCAACAATATTCGTCACAAGGTTTGTGTAGTGATTGATTTTTAATCTTAAATTATATCCAAAGTTTGATAAACCTTATAACGTTCATTGCATTCCTTGTTTCTGTACTTCTGTATATTTTTTAGGTTCTGTAAGTTCTCAATATGGTTCGGCGCCGAATCAATATTCCCGTCCTAACCCCCAGTCGTTTGCGCAGCCGCAAGCGCAGCTGACCGCGCAGCAGTTGCGCGCTCAACACCAGCACCGACCCAGCAACACTCAACCCCAGAAGCCAGCTCAAACTCTGAACAGCCAGCAGCAGCCCGCTAACGCGTCTTGGCAACAGTTCCTCAATTCGGCCGCTCAACAACAAGGTTTATTTGAGATTACTTACTAATATTTTATTATTATTGCGTGATTTTTACTGAGATTTACCGCGTTTACGTTTTATTTTTAATTTAATAACTAATACTTTAGTAGTTAATTGATTTATTTGTTTTATAGCTTATTTTACTTATTACATATTGTATATTGGGTTATTTATTTATTTATTGATGTACATCTTAAAACGCCATAAGTGGTAATAGCAAGTAATAGGGTGCTATTAATGCACAAACTAATAATCACAGAATTTAATAAAAACTAACGTAGGAATAACTTTCAAAGTGGTATAATGTGCTTATCAATCAAACTTACTTCTCTAGCCGCAGTGAAAGTAAAATAGTTTAAAATAGTTTATAGGAAGCTACGAGCTCTTTGCTTCGGCTGTTTAAATGCTTCGGCATATTTTCAACACATAATTTCAAGAAATATAATACAAAAACTTGAAAATTTAGTTCTTAAAAGAACTGTTTGTGCTTAAAAGTACAATTGAGCGTCCGGATTGCACAACGACCTTAGCGCGTGGCCGCGGGCAGCCCAGTAGGCAAGCGAGACAACGACGCGCCGATTTAACAAAATAAATAATTTTAAACCTGCCGTCATTTCGTTAATAATAATCGTATCGTGTTGATTTTTGCATTGAAATACTCATGAGTCTTTAGCGTTTCCGACAAGCCTAAATAACTGGATTATTTTTTATATTTTTGATTTGTTTACATTGTCCGAGCATATTATAACTTTGAGATAAAAATCTCTTATAAATTTTTAAAACTGACAGATATGAATACTATCATTTAATTAGTTATACATTTAGTTACAACATATTCAAAATTTAGATTGATCGGTTTATATAATATATAATATGCTCGGGCAATGTAAACAAATCGAAAATATAAACAATAATCCAGTTATTTAGGCTTGTCGGAAGCGCTAAAGACTCATAGTACGGCAGGTTTAAAATTATTTATTTTGTTAAATCGGCGCGTCGCTGTCTAGCTTGCCTACTGGACTGCCCGCGGCCACGCGCTAAGGCCGTTGTGCAATCCGGACGCTCAATTTTTAAAAAAGAATGAATGAAAATAGGCAAAAAACGAGAATTACTCACAAAGATTCAACAACAACATGATATTATACAAAATAATGACTGTCATTAGGGTAATAATTATCAAATATTAAACGACAACGTTGCTGAACACGGCCCAATGTGACCATAATAGCGATAATAAAATTCGGTTTAAACTAATTTTTGCAGCTTTAATCTAAATAAAATGCTACAATTATTTGCTCTATAAAGTAAAATAAAGAGCTGCTCGGTATCTTAAATTATACAACAAATTTAAACATTTTTTGCCAAAATTGCATTTAGTCAGGTTTATAGACTTGCCAATTTCGATATGATTGATGACGTGCATCGCAAAATGTTTTGTTTATCGATAAATAGCAATAGTGTCACTGTTAATTTAAGTTCTGACACAATTTTCTTATAGATTTAATACCTCTAAACAAAACCATGGTACAAAGACAACAAGGTATGATCGATAGCGGCTCCAATTTCGTTAAGTTTGCGCATACCACCTGTGATGTCATACGCCATACAAAAAAATATTCATATTGTTCGATTGCCACTAATAAAAAAAGACCTAAAATAAGGAAGAATTAGGACATAACCCCAAAAGTTATGTTTTGACATCGAGCTTGACATTTAAAAAATTATTTTCACATTTTGACACAATCAAATTTCACAGATGACAGAATCTGTTTGACAATTTGAAATTAGCGCCATATTGGCGCGCAGAGCTTGCCGACCAATGGTGCCGTTTATCACCTGTGACGTAGTGACCAACTTGCGCAATATCATACCTTGTATTCTTTGTATCGTGAAACAAAACTAATACTTGTAAAATAAATAATAAATACCATAAAATAAGCGCAGTAACGACAAACAAATCCACAACATTTCGAATCAAATCCAAATGTTTCAATTAAAACGTCAAACAAAAATGTCAAGGATGGGGACCTATGATGTCGGTTCCGTCCACCATGCATGAATACCTACAGCTCATACCAAATAAACTTTTAGTCACGTAATTAAGCTTGTCCAGCACAGCGTTGCCCACTTTTATATATTTTCTTTTAATCAAAATATTTTAGGAAACAAAAATAAATTCATTATAAATATATAAACAGTTATTATTTACATCAAGAAAACTCACTTTCTGAACAGCACTTAAGGAACATAAAGGGACATTACTACCGCTTTCCCGTTCAAAATATATTAATAAAGTTGCGATGATTTTTTTACGGCTATTAAGATATCTTGTGCTCTTCACACTAAAAGATCAATGTTCGACTGCAAAGTCTGCTAATAAACATTTTTAAGCTTAAAATATCACACTAATTATTTAAACAAAAAACTCTGAAATAAAAAACTAAAGTGTCAAAACGAATGACAAATGTGAGGAAATAAATAAATAAATGACATTCATTGTGGCAGAGCTGCCACCTGAATCCCCAGCGGTAAATTTTTAATTCTACTTAGCATGGCGCCGAATATGTCTTATGATATGAACCGTAGATAGTATTATCACAGAATATCTAGCTACGCAACAGAAGCCTCGTTACATGTATAAAATCGTAGGTCTCAAAAGGAGACAGGCTTTAAAAGCCTGTCTCCAAATCAGATATTTTGATTCGGTAGTTTCACTACTACATAACAGAGGGCAATAAATTTAAAAGAAAACAGTTTTCTACAAACGAAATTTAAAAGAATTTTATGTAGTGTTTGCATTGTGTAATTTATATTCTAATATTTCCTGATAAAGCCTAGCTTCAAATTTGCTACATAATTTAAACATATTAAAATAGATTAGAGCTCTTTTTTCAAACGTTTAAGTATTTAACTCGCCATGTTAGTTGGAGGACAATATCTTACGAGCTGAATTAAAATCACTTCCTGACGTTTGATTCTAACTGAATCCTGAATTTTGATTGTAATTCGGCGACAATATAATAAGTATTGTTCTACTATTATGACACCACTTCCTGACGTTCGATTGGTTTCATACCGTATGATCGGGAAAAAACGGCGTTAGCGATGGCTATGAAATGAAAATCGCTGTCATTTTATGTGTAAATTTATATGGGAAATGTCATCGATGGACGCCGTTTTTTTCGATATCGTACGGTATTTGATATATACTTGCGTATTTGTCATGACATTGCAATATTATGGTACCATGAAGCATATCAAGTGATACCGTAATATAGTACAATATTACGATACATGGCGTTCGATTGGGCTTAAACTTGGTATATTACGTATCTTCAGTGACATTGTAATATTATGGTACGATGAAGCATATCAAGAGGTACCATAATAGTACATAGAGGTACCATATACGATAGAGGTACCATATACGATACCATTTCCTGGCGTGCGATTGGACTTATACTTGGTATAGTAAGTATCTTCGGTGACATTCTAATATGATGGTACTATGATGCATATAAAGTGGTAGGTACCTTAATATAGTACCATATTACGATACCACTTCGTGACGTTCGATTGGGCTCATATTTTATTATACTTGCGTATTTTTGATGACATTGCAATATTACAATAGTACCATATATGGTACCATGAAGCATATCAAGGGGTACCATAATGTAGTACCATATTACGATACCATTTCCTGGCGTTCGATTGGGCCCAAATTTGATATACTTGTGTTTCTTTATAAAGATTTGTTTAATTAATAATTTTAATTTACTTTACGAATTTTAATTTATTGTACGGTGTCGTGATAGCAACTTTTATGCTTTTATGCCGAACTAATATATTATTAATTGTACCTGTGTCACTTTTTAAAATCTACCTAGGTCTATATAAATAACGTGGCAAACAGAAAAAAATTGTTATTATAGTATTTTTTTAGTCAATTAACATTTTTTGTACTGCATTTTAATAAATCATTTCCATTATTATTAAACGTATATTTCATTACTAACGTTTCAGCATTAATAAATATCACTATCAATCGCCCTGTATATTTTTAATTTTAAAGGTAGTTAAAGTTATTTTCTTAGTTAACATAATAAAGCGGTGTATATTAAAAATGTATTTTGAGAGGAATTATTATACACCAGAAAAAGAATGGGAGGCCAATTAAAGTCTGAATCTGGCAACTGTGCATTTTTAGCCGAGCTTCAAGGCCGTCGACGTGCCGTCGATCTACGTCGATCCAAAATCGAAAGTTGAAAATTTCCAATTATATTCTGATTATGATATTGTCGCGCCATCTAGTATTTTATTTGTGCAATTTTAGCTCTTTCATTTCGAGTATTTTTCTGTTGCGTAGCTAGATATTCTGTGGTATTATGGTTATTTTTTAATGTTTTTATTAAAGGCATTTTCGCAATCTAAAGTTCGGCGTTTGATTACAGGAAACAGAGGCCAACAATCTGGCTCGCTATCGCCATCTACCAGCGACCAACTGGCCCGTTGGTTCTCCCCCGATCTGCTAGAGCGCGCTCGCGGCGGCGAACTACCCAGCACAGCCAACTTGGCCAGACACGCCCTCAGTTTGGAGGAGATCGAACGTCAGGCGGCACCACCCGTTCACAATTGAGGCGAGCAGGTAGCATTCGGTAAGTGAGCGGTGTTGCCGAAGAAGAGTTCGAAGTTCTTGTTTTGTTTTTGACCTGTTTCTGTAGATTTCAAATTGATTCAATAAAAACTTTAAAGCGAAGCAAAAATATAATTACAACGTTGTTTATATAAATTTTTTCGATCGTTAGGTAAAATCGAAAGCGTTATCATATGAAAGAAATGTCTTTATTTCTAATAAGAAATTGTATAAAGGGAAATTAAAACAACTTTCGTTGCACGTCATCAATGACACCATGTGTCGTCTTATAGAGTTTGCTGGTGGTCGTATTATGATGTAGAGCGAAAGTTATTTTAACTTCCCCATATAAGGTTTGTTCCAACACAGAGATTTGTATCGTTCTTAAACAGTAATTGGGGATCGCCGGAATCGGATTTGTGTCGACTTGCACAGTTCTCTCAAGAATACTAAAATTAAATACGAGTTAGAACAGGTTTTGAACTGATTTTAGAATCAAATTCAAAACCTAATTTTTAATTATTAATATACAGTATGTCCCCGGATTGTCTTTACAAGAGGAAAAACTTTATTATTGACGTTTTGAGAAAAATACATTCTTCATAAAAATTTTTGCTTGTTCTAAAATGGTTAATCTCCTTTATACTTTTCCAAATTTTCGTACCGTTTTAGAAAAAATAAAAAAAAAGAACTGAAAGTATGGTTGAATTTTTTCTGTCCTAAAAATAGTCCTAAAAATCAAAAGACGTTTCTATGGTAATATAATTTTGATTTCATTCTTTGATAGATAGTTATTATTAACTAGTTGAAGCCTAGCGCATCCGCCACGACATCAGAAAAAAAACTTTTTATTTTTTTTTAATTAAATGAAAAACAAAAAATCCGGCGACGACAGTTTTTAGAAGAGCCAATTAGCTATCTTTTAGTAAAAGAGCAACTTTCTAGAGCAAGTCGTTACTTCAGTAGAGACGACACAGATAAACATTATAGTACGAGAGCTAGCAACGTCGGGAAAACAAGTATTTTAAGACGTCTGGCTCTTTGATATATCTTTTATTATGCTCTCTGGAACAGCGTGCATGCCGTCTGGCTGCTGATACACGTTACGTTCATTACTGCGCATCTAAAGAAGATCCTCTATTTTTTACTTAACCGTGTAAATTCTAGTATTGAATAAAAACCGAGCAAGTCTCCATTAGCTCGGCGCGTAGAGCTTTCGCCTATGAAGCGAAGGTCAGTGGTTCGATACTGGCTGAGGGTCTAACTTTTTTTTTTTTTTTCATTTATATTCTGATAGTAAAGTAGTAAATATTTGCTGACACTAATATTAAATAAAAATATTTAATTCAATTATAATAATTAGATTGTAATGATTTAAACATAATGTCTAAAAATAAAACTAAAAATGTTGGCCGTAATTTTTTCTTGCTTCATTCATAAAAATATTTAATTCTTTTATAATTTCATTTTAAAGATTTAAACAATATATAAAAATTAACATTTTAATGCTTTATTAACGTAATTTCTGCCAGTCTTTCTTCAAAATATTTTTTTCAGCTGTTGTTTATTATTTTAATAATACTTTTTTTTAACAGATTGTTATCTAAAAGCTACACAAGTTTATTTTCAGTTCAGTTTGTTAAGATAACGATGGAAAACTAAATTATCTGGTTAAATTAAATATAATAAAATAATAATACTTTTTAAACAAGATTGATTCATGTTAATGTGTAGAAAATGCGCGAATCTATGGATAGAATATTTAATTATATAAAAAACTAGCAAAGTAATGTGAAAAAAAAAACGCATCATTGTATCTCCACTCATAAACGAGAAATCCCAAAAAACGCACGAAAATGAGACACCCTGTACCCATGTGATGCGCAGTAGTGAACGCAACCTACCGGCGCGGCAGCCAGATCATCCTAAACCTATCTAATATTAATTACCACAATAATCCTTCAAAACAAGTGAAAGTATCAAATTCTACTTATATACACTACAAATCATAAACCCATAAACGCCATCCGTTCTGGTGATAAAAAAAAACAAATATTTAATACTTTACTATCAGAATATAAACGAAAAATAAAAATAAAAAAGTTGCACCCCCGGTCGGTATCGAACCACTGACCTTCGCTTCATAGGCGAAAGCTCTACGCGCCGAGCTAATTGAGACTTACTCGGTTTTTATTCAATACTAGAATTTAAAGCGCTAAGTAAAAAATATAGGATCTTCTTTGGATGCGCAGTAGTGAACGCAACGTGTATCGGCAGCCAGACGGCCTGCACGCTGTTCCAGAGAGCATAATAAAAGATATATCAAAGAGCCAGACGTCTTAAAATACTTTCTTGAAAACGTTGCTAGCTCTTAGACTATTAGAATTATATAAATAAATATATGTAGATTTTGATTAACATCATATTTTTTGCTGTTAAAAAAGTATCACATTTTCTGATAAAAGCAACGGCCTAGCTACGTTGAAACACCGATTCCCATTAGAACACCGAAGTTAAGCGACGTAAGGCGATACTGGTGGATGAACGGGTGACCGGTTCGAAACTCGTGTGTTGTTCAAGGGAAAAAGTGTAAAATCTATTAATACACACTGCTCATTCACGCCGGTTCGAGGCCGGATGAGATCGGATATCTCGTGAGTAAGAGTTGATTTAGATACTTCCTAAGTCGGTAGGCCATTGACCATGATATGACCGAGGACCGCGGTTCGGATTCCGCGTAAACAAAGTAGGCCCCGTCCAGATTAGCCCTGGTAGCAAAAAGGAGACGTTAACTGAAATCTTTACTTTACTTTACATTTTCTGATAACTATTATCACCCTTTCCGTAGAATTGAATTAAATAAATTTTGTGTTTCTCTTTAACATCTTAATAGAGCAACAAATATGACGTTGATTAAAATAATATAGTCAGTCTATCAAGGAATGAAATCGAATTTATATTACCCTAATGATGGGTTGTTATTTAACTATCTGTTATTTTATAACAATTATTTAGAAATAACATAACGCAACCGTTACTACTTTTAAAAAATAACAGATATAAAATAACGACACGCAGAGATCGATTGTTCGTGAAACGAAGTCGGCGCTCTGCACCGCCACGAAATTCGATGGTGCTCGAAGCAATTCCAAAAAACAACTAGTATGGATGGAAAACATGTTATTTCGACAACCATCGATACAGGCGGCGAGATACAACGGACAACGGAGTGGGGTATGCGCTACGGCGCGGCGCGGCGTGTTGGGCTTACAACAGCTTAAAAATAATAGGATACAAAAGAAGCAGCTTTTTTGAAACAGTTGCGGGCATAACGCCTGGCGGTCGAGATAACAGGAGTGGGAAAGGAACGCTGCTGCATCGGTCGATTGTCGATGGAGGCTCGTAACGGGTTGGAGAATAACGCATCAGTTGTTTTAGTTATGTTGTTTTTTTACCTGTTACGAGTATAACAGAGCGGCGTTCGAGATAATCGGAGTGGGAAAGTAACGCTGCTGCATCGGTCGATTGTCGATGGAGGTTTGAAACAGGTTGGAGAATAACGCATCAGTTGTTTTAGATACATATTGTTTTTCCACCTGTTACGAGCATAACGGGCGGAGGTCGAGATATTATGGCGCTGTATGTTTCAGTACTTTGTTATTAAGTTTCAATATTTAGGTATTTATTTATTCTGAAAAATTTTCATAATAATATTTTAAGATTTTTTAAAAATGTATACAGGGTGTTTTGAAAAATCTGGTCATTGATTAATCACGAACCTGCTTAAAGCCCTTGACATAAAAAGCTGATTTTTGGAAAACGGATTGACTTTAGGGTGTAGAGGTTCGATAAGAAGGGATTTTTCGAAACTCAAATTCTAAGAGGGTGAAACCACCCTCAAATATTAGAATATTTTTTATTTAAAAACTGGTGAGTTTCGAAAAAACTCTTAAACACGTATATTTTATTTTGTTGTTTTTCATATTTTGAGATTTTTAAAAAATATATAGGTACAGGGTGTTTCATAAAATATAACCACTGAGTAATCATGATTCTGCTTAAACTGCTTGACCTTTAAAGCTGATTTTTGGCAAATGGATTGACTGTGGGGTGTAGAGATTCGATAAGGGAGGGTTTCTCGAATCTCAAATTCCAAGAGGGTGAAAACGCCTCTCAAATATTACAATATTTGTTATTTAAAAAACGGTTAGTCTTTCGGGAAAACGATTGGACACGCATAATTTATTTTGTTCTTTTACAAATTTTGAAATTTTTAAAAAATAATACAGGGTGTTCCAAAAAGTTGAGTAGGTAATTGATTAACCACGATTCTGCTTAAACTGCTCGACGTTTAAAGCTTATTTTTGGCAAATGTGAGAAAATTTTATCCAGTTTGTATGTTAATGGAAATTCTTGCTTTGCTTTATCATCACCATTACAAATTAATAATTCGACGCGAACGAAGTGGCGGGTACATGCTAGTTTAAGTGTAAAATTAATTCGAACTCTAGTGTGTAGTTGATTTACTTATGAAGAATATACTACACATTTTGTTATATTGCTATTTTTTGACCGCAAATGGTAAAATCATACTAAGAGCTTCTCGCCCGTCAAGTGAGATGCACCCTGTACACTGCTACGCAATTCAGGATCTACGCGGATCGAGGGGCAGGGCGTAGGTAGATCGGAATGTATAGGTATAGACGAGTGGCGGCATTTTGGCTTTTTTATATCGCAATTTGTAAACAGCGCTTATTTGTAAACAACCCCCGTTTTTAGAGAGGTATTTTAGATAACAATCGATATTTAGAAATGTTATGACACCCTGGAAATACTACCACCGAGCACGTCATTGTTGCAACTTGCAACTGCGTTAATACGCCCGGCGGTGATCGCCTCATACTCTTTCAGATATTTAGCAATAAAATAAAGAAACCTGTTATTTTTAAGCTGTTATTTTAAGCTGTTTTTTATAAATAACTAACAGTTTCAACTGTTATCTAAAAATAACAGTTTTGCCCATCACTATATTACCATACAAACGCGTCTTAATTCTTAGGAATAATCGGTTGACACATAGTTTTAATACGGAGGTCAGTTCTTTTGATTCTTGCTTTTTGAACGCATTTGCTCTACTGCGCATAATCGTAACTGTACCAAGAACAGGTTCTCTGCTTTGTTGGAACAAACCTACAGTCCTAAGTGTCAATATTCTATTGGGACGGATACACGCGTCGTTCGTCAACGCTGCGAATAAAATTCAATGAGAAAAATTAATCTATCTTTGTTTGGTACAGGGACTGGACCATCTCCGGTCCTAAGACAATAAGTTAAAAACTTGTCCGACTCCAACACATTTAAATAACGGTTTCGCATGTTTTGTAAAAATATTCTGACGTAATTCGGAGTATATACCGTATGATTGAAAAAAAACGGCGTTAACTTGGTTTGGAACTGACGATCGGTGACATTCGTTATATCATTTTACATAAAATGACAGCGATTTTCATTTCTAAGCCAACCGTAACGCTGTTTTTTCGATCGTTTGTCTTATCCGCTCTTTGGTTTTGTTTTAAAAATCATGATTTTTCATTGGCGTTAGGGGGATTTTAACTTAGAAACCTTCCCATGCGCGCCCCTCTGGAATTGAACCTACTACCAAGCACGTTTATGATTTTTTTTAATAAAATCTTACCAAAAGATCGTTATAAATTTTGTTTAATTTTTTGTTTCAGATCTTAACAGCATCAAAAAGACAAATCTAAGTCACTAAAACAATGGAAATATTTTCTGTGGAGTTTCTTGTCAATTTTCATTCGGGAAAATAAACTAAAAAAGGGAGTTTAACGAAAAAGTGACAATTTTCGACTAAACCATATAAAAAAATAAATTCAACCGTGTACATATATGTAATTTGTGATAGATTTGCTCTAAACTCGGTGGACTCCACACTTGTTGATAATTGAATTGATTCAAAATCGAGTCTATATAAATATAAAATTAAAAGAAACATTATAAAAAAGAAATGGTTACATTAGTTTGTAGAGTTAATCATATATAAACGAGAGTATACAGGGCGTATAAAAAAACCTCAAATAGCTGTAATATTGAACAGTGTCGTATATCGCCCTGTATATGCATGAATACTGTCCTTGTCGAATAAAATAGTGTCCGTCATTCATTTTAATGTTGGGATTTCTACGAAAGTTTTTGTTTTTGAGTTTTATCTGAAGCATTCTGAGCTGAAAGTAAGGAACGATTCCGTTTTGGTTTCCGGTTTGATGTCACGTTAGGGTTTTTTGTTTCGTTTAGGTGTCGTGTTCGTAATGTAACCATTTTAAAGGATGAGAATTGTTGGACTTTTAGAATAGAACGAAGTTTTTCGCATTTTGCAAAACCGGGAAATATGAATCCAGAATTTACCTTAAATTAAGTACGTACCAATAAGTAAATTCATACAAAAAAAATCTACATATGTCTACTCTCATTATAAACTAAATTTGCATCTATATGTGTGTAAAAAAGTTTGCGACAAATGGGATTTTTTTTGAATTATCGAAAAAGTTTGATCTCTATGCCCAAATAATTATTTTTTCAATGTCCCTATATACTTTTCACTATTGGCACATACAGACGTAAAATCGAATTCTGAACAATTGTTCTCTTTGACGTTTGTTGATATTTTGTCATCTAACCTCATTTTTTATGTATGTAAAGAGAATTTTTGAATTTGCCGTCATGGCAGTTGTCACATGACATATGTTAAAATGATATTTTTGTTGGGCATGGCAAATTGATTTGGCCTAAACGTGTTTCGAGACTTTTCCCCATAGTTGCTTGTTTTTTTACACACACTGTTCAAAACTTGCAAGTTCTTAATGTTTACAATAATTATGGGGTTTTAATAACTTAAATAATTAATTAACATGTTTTAAGTTTATTAAATGGTATGTTGGAGAATATTGTGTAACATTTTTAAACATTTATAAGACGTCATAATCAGATAGTGTACAAATGTTTTTTGTTATATCAACAGTAGACAATTGAGTTTCCTATAAACCAAAAACGCAACGTGTTCCAGAAATAAGTGCTATAGTATAAGTGATATTTTAGGGGGTGGTAGATTTGCCATTTTTAAAATAAATTAAAAATAACCCAGTTATTAACTTTGCAAATAAAAGAAAATAATGGCAACATTTTGAGAACCGCTGGCGATAAGCGGCTATTAAGGTTTTTTCACCAGGTTTTTTAGCTTATTTGACGCCTCAGGTGAATAAACAAGTGGCACTCAAAAGTTTTTTAAATTTCCTGGAAAATTTTTAACAATTTTTTTTTCGCAAAAAAATCCTCTTAGGCGTGTTTCTGCTACCGAAATATACTACCAGTTAAAATATTTACAATTATTTCTGGGACACCCAGTATATTAACAGCTTAATATTCAAGATTCGTTTTAATTTTTGTGATAGTCACAAGGTTTGAACAGTTAATTAGTAATTTTTAGAGTTGCTAAAAGTACTTATATATAAATATAAGTACTTTTAGCAAAAAAAAATTGACCATATGAATTTTTTTAATATAAATTAAAATAAAAAGGTAAAACCTTGGATTAATAAAATGAAATTTCAATATTCCTGGGTAAAATTCATATGGTCAATTTTCTTACCAATTCTGTAAGACTGAATTTTTTTTATTGGCTTTATTAATAAGGTCTTTTAGTGAGAATTAAAATATTAAAATTTGACAGATTACAAACAAAAGTTTGTGGTTTATTGTTCTTTATCTCTAAAACAAATTATTTGTTCCTTTTTTATCTATCAGTGAGTTTAAAACTTATTGATCATGGAGACTAAGTTTTCAGACATAATCTATTTTAACATAAAGTTGCCTAATCAACAAAAAATATATTTGACGTTTTGTGTAACATAATTTATTCAAATTTCTTAAAATAGAAAATAAATAAATTGTAGATTTTCTTTTTTAAGTTCTTTGTTATTTACTGCAATATTATTAGTCATTTTGGCCAATTTCTGTCCAACAATCATTGAGTCTCTATGATTCTTTATAGGTATAGAAGAGGACAAATACCTTAATTTTATGGTGTTTGTTTGATCAAATTTGTTTGCAAATGCTGAAAACTTCGATTCTCACGACCGTCTGTTAAAAGTGAAACGAATTTGCCGATTACATTCCTTGTTATGTCTTGGTATAGGCATTACTGATTCCTTGTCATGTTAGAAGAATTATTTTCAACTATTCAGTAACGTACAATGTTATTCAAACTAAAAGAGTAGTATTAAAAGTAAACTTAATAAGGTACGAACGATATTGAGAAATAATTCTTTTAACGTTCTATGATCTTCTCAAAAAATAAATCTCATTTCCATCGCAGAGAAAGGAAAAACAAATAGTGTGAAAATTGAGAACCGAAATGTAACTGGCTTTGCATTTTTTTAAATTTGTTCCCCGATTTCGCGACCTATCAGTTTTCAAAGCAAGGTTACATTGAGGTCCAGTTTACGTGTAAAAATTGTATGAATTTATTTTGTAAATAAATGAGATTGTCATGATAATTATTGACACTTTGTTTGAGATTAATAAAGTACAAAAAAATGGCAGTTTTATTTTAATATAACTACCTATCCTTTTAAAGTTGTTCTACCAAAGTGTCAAAATGCTCTTTTTTGTGGATACAATATGATCGAAAAAAAAACGACGTCAGCGATAGCTATGAAATGAGCATCGCTGTCATATAAAAAATTATATGGGGAATGTAATCTTCATTTCCAAGCCAACTGGATGCCGTTGTTTTTTTTTTCGATCATACGATAACGTTTACAAAGTAGGTGTAAAATAAACAGAGGTAAGATTAATATTAAGGTCAGGTTATTTGAAGTATTTCCGTTTTTTTTTGAAGTGCTGCCGCAGACGTTCATACATGTGCGACAATACAGTTACGAGTTATTTTCTCATACAAACAAGGTTGCACAGCAAGTATAGTAGCACAAAATGTGCGTTGTACTTATACCGGGTGCGTCTCAAATTGGCTCACCCCTATAACTTTTTTATTTTTAAATCAAAAGTTGCAGTCATTTTCCGTGAAACAGGACGTGGCCAATAACAATTGAATACACCAATCAATCCAAATTTATGTCATATACTAACATACCAAATCTCGTTTTCTTCGAAAAAAATAAAAAAGTTATAAGGGTGAGCCACTTTTGGTGCGCACCAGGTATGACCATTAGCAGGTATGAAGGAAGCGTATGTAAGTCTGAGTATAGATTAGATGCCAACGCTTGTACATTTATAAATTTAGGCAATGATGGAAAGCTTGTTTGAAACATAGCATACACCCAAAAAAAGGTACAATGGGATGAAGATCGTGGTCATGGTAGATGGCAACACCTGGATTTCAGCAAAAATTCTTTGGGTCACGATTTTCATGTGCACGTCAATGTGTTAAGTACAATAAGACATACTGAAGAAAAAGAGAGGAGTATTTTCCCCAGGGGATGAAATAAAGCGCTGGGTTAAGTGGTTATGCAGTGAACACTTCGCATTTTTCTCTCTCCGACTTACCAGATCACCATAGCGACTGACTCCATGTAAATACCGATTCAAGACTCAGTGTGGCCGACAGGGTATGTAAAATTATATGCCAAATGTGATCGATCGTCATTTCCAAATCGACTAGACGCCGTTTTTTTTTCATATGGTAATCAATATGCAAGCTTGAATGGCATACAGGGATTCTGGTCTGTGGTTGCTACATACATGTTTAAGATGCATTTGAAGTCGAGTATTTTAGTTACCTAACTCATATTTTATAATTTTTCAAATATGTGAGATATTAAAACTATATTTAATTTGACTGAATTATTATTATTGTTTTTATCAATGACCATTGTACCATGTATGTGTGACCATTATTGTTTTTATCAATGACGTATTGTAAATGCAACACACTATTTATTAAGGCGCATTCTCACGATTTGTGTACTTGGCAAGTACGCCAATATTTGCGTACTTCGCAAGTATTACTATCTTTGTAAACAACAGTATTTTGCAACAAGTCCTGACGAGTGACAAATAATTGTACAAGGAAACCGACATGGCAAGTATATGGCAATAACCAATGTTTGTACAAGTACATGAGTCGTGAGAGTCCGCCCCTTTAGACATCCTAGATATTCGTCTATTCTTCCATTGAAGCTCCGGCGAAAAACCGTGGGTTGGATTAATTGTATGTAATATAATGCGGGTCCGCGGACTAAAGCGAAGCAACGTTGCTTGGTTTTGCATTGTTTTGTTTTTTTTGCCGCGCTTCGCACAAGTGCGCTGTATGCTTAATGAATCAGATATGATCATAGCAACAGTCAACAATTTAAATATCTTTTGGCATTACTGTGATATCTAATTATAAACGAGATAGCACGCTTTATTGGTTGTATCTAAATCTATACATATAAATGAATTTGACAAAGTTGCAACAGAGACACCTTAGTCAACTGCATAGATAAAAGAAAATAATCTTCTATTAAGAGTCAACTGTTAGAAATCAAAATGGTACTGTCATGTCTCAAACGTATCGGTCCTTGAAAAAGCTAGCTGCACAAGCACTGAAATCATGATTACTAATCCCGCTTAAGATCTTTGTTATATACTACTAGTTATAGTTACGTATACAGGATGCAAGAAAACCGCCTACCGAAATATCTTATAGACGGTAAGAGAAAACCAGGTGGACAACTCAAAAGGTACAAGGATATTTTCCATAAAATCTTAAAGGAAATAAGCATGCAGAATCAGTGGGACGAAGCAGCGTACAATAGAACACAATGGAGAATTGTAAATTCAGTTCAACGACAACCAAAAAGTAAAGCGGCAACAAAGCAACGAAGTAATGAGATTTTTGAATATCCGGAGTGCCGAAAAGAGATAACCAGTATGGAGTATGTATATCACGTATGGGGCTTGTAAGTCACGGAAAAGCTCATGAAAGAAAACGCCTTGCGTAACCATCTTCTGATGCGTGTCAAATAATCGTCAGCGAGTAGTAGTCTGGTCACTACTGTCAATACTCTTGAGGTACCATTTCATATTCTTATTTCTGGTACACCTTGAATGTTATTAGTTTCCCATACATAGAAGATTTGAATTGCAGATTTAGTCCGCGGACGACTAGTCCGCGGACGACTAGAGGCCTGTCACGTACCAAAACTGGTATTTTGGTTTGCGTGCCGATTAGATCTTTGCCCGATTAAATTATTCTTAATTAAAGCTTCATTCAGAACCTCGAAATCAGTGCAATAAATTAGTAGTTTCAATTAGTCGTAGAAGTGTGTTCACCTACTTTTAATGTAAGCATTCAGAACGTCATAATTAGTGGTAGTAATTTTCAATTAGTGGAAAAAGTTAACGAACTTATGACTTTTCCACTAATTATACTTCAAAATTTGCGAGGAATGTCATTTTGGCCTTTGATTATCACCCGTCAAGAAAAATTTTGGTTAGAAATCAAAATCAAAATCAAATCAGTTTATTGTTTTATAAGCTACATATTATGCTTTCACTATGGATACAACAGATTACCGCAACCTGTTGCTAGGATATTTTATTAATTTTAATTGTGTTTTTTAGACATTGTGAATGATCGTAAACTAAAAAGTATAAAGTGTAATTGGAACCACTAATTGGGAGGTTCTGAATGAAGCTTAAGACAAAATTCGACGTTTCATAGCAGTTCTTATATAGATAAATGTTTATCGGAATAAAAACTGCCGCTAGAAAGAGCGTTAAAAGTCCGTCGACTTTATCCTTCGTTCGACTTTTAGACCAATCTAATCTGGCAGATCAATTCTGCGGATTTAGCCTGTGGTAGACTTGGCCCGCTACGCGCCTGAGCCGCCACAAACACAAAGTTTTTATCATCACATCTTCTGGTGAGGCTATTTAAAAATCAGAGGATATATTTATAAATTTAATTTCAAATGTAAACATTAACTTCAGTGAAATAGCATTTTTTAACTCTATGGAAATATTTGATCTCATGTAACATTTAGGTAAATAGGATTTTACTTTGTTATTACATTTTTATTTTATGTATTACAAGATAATGATAGATACAAAATAAATATAGATTTTAAAGAAACAAAACAAATAGAAAGAATAATACTTGAAAAACAAAACAAAAAAATATCAAAATCTAAAAATTATTGTGTGAAAAAAAGGCATAAAATAAATTATAATAAGCATAAAATTAGGAGCGGTAGAACTGAAACAAAGTTGAAATAATAAATATTTATTATGTGTAGAGGGAATGACAAAATACAATAAAATATCAGTATAGAGATTTATTTTTAAAATTGCCATTTTTACTTTGTACAAATCATATTTTTAGATGGTCGAGTACTGTATACTGTATATCTAACTTCGCATCACTTAAATTAAAGAATTCTATAAAACAGGATGAATTTGGAACAATATAAATGAGTAAATTTCTGTAATTTATGAAATCTATAATAATACCCTTATATTACTATAAGCATACTACGGGCAAGTTCAATTAGAAATTTAAAAATATGGGAATAGATTGATAACATTTTTTTTTAAGTTTCAGTATAAAAATCACTAGTCTAAAACTGTTGATGCTCGTGGTTCTCAATTTTTCCATAACCTAACCTAACCGCGACGGACCGTCCGTCGTGTTATAGTCGTGTTTTTTCAAGATAGCCGTCGGACGGAGAACACGCGATCATGTAAAATTGTTCATATAAACTCATGGTACTTGCTCAAAGGTGCGGCCGTTACGTCGCGGTCCGCTCCATCTGGAAACGCTGTTACAGCGCTTTCAGCATGGGAGCATACGCAACCCATGTGAAATTGTTCATATAATAGTTCAGTCATTGGGGATTTTTGCTTGGAAAAAAGTCCGGAAGTTTTGCAACTTTGCAGGTTTATAGGTTTTGGGGTCTCTAACTAAAATCCATAAAATGCACATTTCCAGACTTGCCGCCGGCGCCGCCATCTTGCTAAGATGGCGCCCAAAATCGGTATTTTGTGACTATCTCGAAAACTATGCGTTTTTCGCAAAAATTTGAGGAGAGCAAAATTAAAGAGAATAAAATTTCCTATAAAAAAGGTTTCACGAAAATTTTCGATGTCAACCGTTTAGGCACAAAATCCCTGGAAATTTTACAATTTTGCGTAAAATATGATATATTATGTATAGTCCATTTTCCGAAATCAAATGTCGATTAGGGTTCACTAAAACTAGTTTTAGTTTAGTTTCTTCAATTTTGTCGTAAGACAGTGGCGTATCATTAATTCGCTCATTAATTTATGAATAATTAATTTTAATTATAGAAAATGTGTACTTGTTTCCACACCACACAAGAGGTAAAGTATATGGCGCGTTTATTTTAACGTCGTCTCCCTGGAGGTCTACTCCACTAGATAAACTAAAAACTTTAACTTATCTGCACAAGCCCGAGGGATCGGGCTCATTGAAGTCGATCGTGTCTGCTGTGCTGGGCTCATCAAGGTGGTCTCTCAATACGTCCAACTCTTCATCTTCAGCCGCCAGAGGGATATCTACAGGCAAGTCCAACTCCTCTTCATCGGATTCGTCGAGTGACACTTCAGTGACGTTGTCACAGGATTTCCCATTGCAGTATGCACAAATCATTGAATATTTTAATCCTGCTTTTCTGTATCCCCAGGCTTTACCATAGTTGTTGGTTTTGCATTTCCGGGTTTAAAATGCCAACAGGGATTTTGGAGCTGGATCTTTCAGCGTTGTGACTGGAGTAATGCCTGTTTTTGTTTTCTTCCAACCCCATTCTTCGGCATCTTTGGTACAACCAGACCAATGCTGAACCTGGTGGTAAGTTCGCAATGAATGCTGTCCAGCACGACAATTAATTATTCATAAATTAATGAGCGAATTAATGATACGCCACTGTTTTATGACAAAATTGAAGAAACTAAACTAAAACTAGTTTTAGTGAACCCTAATCGACATTTGATTTCGGAAAATCGACTATACATAATATATCATATTTTACGCAAAATTGTAAAATTTTCAGGGATTTTGTGCCTAAATGGTTGACTTTATCGAAAATTTTCATAAAACCTTTTTTATAGGAAATTTTATTCTCTTTAATTTTGCTCTCATCAAATTTTCGCGAAAAAACGCATAGTTTTCGAGATATTCACAAAATACCGATTTTGGGCGCCATCTTGGCAAGATGGCGGCGCCGGCGACAAGTCTGGGAATGTGAATTTTATGGATTTTAGTTAGGGACCCCAAAACCTATAAACCTGCAAAGTTTCAAAACTTCCGGACTTTTTTCCAAGCAGGCCCCTTCTTGATCCCCAATGGCAGAACTATAAACATAAACTCAAGGTAATTGCTCGAAGTTGTGGTCCTCTCCATCTGAAAGCGCTGTAAAATCTACAAAATAAAATAGTTATTCTTTTTTGTAAACACTGCTGCTTTAATACAACAACTAATTGTCAGCAGTGGTTTACTAATAAACAAATTTGCCTAACGGACAAAAAAATGCTTAACGTTTCGGGAAGTAGGTATATCTCTTTCCGTCGTCATTAATTAACTTAATTAAGCAGAACGTCAACGATTTTTTGTAGACGTATCTGTTTAAAAAAAACTAAAGTATTCTCGAATAGTTACATTTAGATATTTTAAATGGTTTTTTTTCTTTATTGTTTGTTTTTTTCTGCTGACGACGGGAAGAGATATACTTCTCGAAACGTTAAGCATTGTTTTGTCTGTTAGGCAAATTTGCTTATTAGTAAATCACTGCTGACAAGTTGCAAGGTCCCCGTTGGATTAACGCAGCAGTTTTTACAAAAAATAATTATTTAATTTGGTAGATATTCTTACAATGCATGTGGCAATTTTTTCCATAGGACTTTTTTGAAAAGATAAATTCGTCACAGAGATATACAGACATTTTTTACCGAAGAAACTTGTTGCACTGAAGCATGATTGTTCATAATTTTGTCACATCACACCCTGTACACAACATTAAATACCAAAGGACAAAAAAGAACCCATAGAAAATCTAAAATTGATTAGGAAAATGTTCCAAAAAACCGAAAAGTTTCTTTTGATGTGGCACACTGTATGCATACAATCCCTTGAATATCATAAATACAGTATGGAAACATTTGCTCTTTGTATGGAAAGTACCTGCAGAAAAAATGCATCTTATGACGCACTCAGACGACTCGTGTACTTGGCAAACAATGTGATTGGTATTCAAGGTCCGGCACTAGTGTATCGGTCATCTATACAAAGTTTCTAAGTTATTTATTATAGAAGCTACGCGCATTATTGCCGGACCCTTGCCAAGTACACGAGACAGAGAGTCTGCCTTTCTTTAAATGAATATGAAAAAAAATTAAGTAAGTATAAAAACAAAGATCAAAAAAATTTCAATTTTAACGCCTATATTTAAATATTTTCTGAAAACTGGTACTTTATTTCACTTTTTCTTTTTATGCAGATCCATGAATATTTGGAATTTTGTGTATCCTTACTGCTACCAAGATTATTTTTGTAAAAAATAAACTGATTTAAATTTATTGCACAATATTGGTTAGTACTGCTTAAAAATATTTTTTCCGGAATTTTCTTCATATCCTAGCAGCCCAATAATAAAACTTACTTAAAAATCTTCAGAGAATGTATGTTTTGCTGTCAAAATCTAAAATACTTTTGAGAACGAAAGAGGAAACACTTATTATTATTAGTCCAGACGTGCCTCTTACATTACTGCTGCTATTTGATTTATTATAGGTACCCCTCCCATAAAATATCGACCTGGAATGTAAAATTTAACTAGACCTACCCTAAGGACCAACCTACCTTTAAAACCGCCTGAACTATGTCGTAAAAAACACTATTTTTACGTATTATTTTCAGCAAGCATTACTATATACTTTTTCGCATTTTCACCTAAAAACCATTATCTAGATGTATCCTATTTACTTATGTACTTACATACCAAGGTACAATGTCTCATTTAAAATTAATTTTACCTACACCGTCTTCTGTGTATTGTTTTTGCCACTAATTTAGTGAGGAAGACTTCACTAGATAACAGAGTGAAATACGTACTGCGGTTTAAGGCTATTTATGAACATACATACGTTTATTAGACACGCACAAAGGATAATATAACTTATCACGTGTGTATATAGATTGTACTACTGATAAATCTAAATAATTCAGTCGGAGTTGTTATGATGACATCGATGATTACTTTGAAGCCATCCTCGATTTTTTATATTCTGTTTACACGTTGCTATAGATAATTATTGTTAATTTGATTGTTAAATTACCATACTCATGCGTCCGTAGTACCTATATGCGAAAATATCGTTATATAAATATACGATTTAACACGGTAATTCCGCAGTATTATAAACTTGTAAAACATTCCCGTCCACTTTTCTCTACGTTTTGGAACCTGTATGAAAATTTTGTCGACCTCAATAATTGGTTTATTAATATACTGCTGCCATGCGCTTGGCGTGACCTCCATCCGATCAATACGCCTTGCAGTGGAGAATTTCAAGCCTAGCTAGCGATAACATTCGTATTATTTTCACATTTTGATAGAATAGTAAATTACTATTTTCTATTATTTATTTTCGGTGTACTGGTGGAAACATATTTATTCTCTGCTTAGATAATATAGTTATTCAGAAATAAAACAATCTAAATCTGTTGGAAGTTTTATTCACTTAAAATAGTCCGTAGTGTTATTTTCATTTAATTGGTAATCGAGTTTTTTACGTAGGAACTTTATAGTCGTGAAACAATGTTAAAATCGTTTATAGAGGCTGTTTTGTACGATTATTCCGAGGAATTATTTTACTCAAACCGAACAATGTACTTAAAATGTCATCTTAGTCATTCGTGAATCATTGTCGTCGAAAAAACTAGATACACGACGAGCACATTTATTAACAAAATAATTAAAGTTCCTTAAACACAATGTTGAAACGAAATAAAACAATATCAGTCCTTGGTCGGTCACTAAACACCAACACTGTCCAATTTAAACATATCGACGATCGTTGAACGTACCGACTCCCCTCATACTTGCAACTATCATGGCCGAAAATGAACTGAAGCTGGGCGCTGGGCGCGGGACTGGGGAACTGAATTTTCCGAATGCTGGGCTGACTCGCTTCGGTCCTTTTCGTATTTGTTCGTTGACGTTTACCGCCTTTTTCTCTTCCGTGCAGTGTGCAGTTGTCTTTATGAAACGATGTTGTTCGTACTGAAGGAAAGAAATTCCAATCGTTATGGCGGATTTCTAGAACTAGAACTTATTAGATTGTCAGTATTCAGTTGTTAACGACCAGATTCCATTCTTTTACGAATATAGATTAAGGTAAGATCGCAGTGAAGAAAGGTATGGACCTTCGTAGAGTCCTGACGTGTAAGATAATCTGCCAGTAACAGCCAGCAATGGCGTCTGGCGTCTCTTCGAGCATTCGTTTATCGGTGAGGCAGTGTTGTCGTTTCAATAGTGTTGTCGTAGTTTGCAGTTTGCTGAAAGTTATATATTATTTTTACTCGTTTATATCATGAAGTGGTAATAGTTTGGCGATTTAAAACTAGTGAACAAATTGAATACCTGGCTGGAGTTTATTTGTGAGTCCTAGAATAAATGATACATAATGAAATTAGAGCTGTGAGCGCAAGCGTAAAGAAAATATAACCTTAGCAAGCGGGTAGGTACATCCAATTTTTATTTCGTAATCATTCTACAATTTTTTGATGTTTGATTGACTTGAGTTACACTTTATACTTCGTCACAGGTCACAGGTAATTCTATATCATGTAAATATCAATACGTATGTATAGTGAATTCCTGTCGTTTTACCGAACAGATAACTAATATCTGTGTATGAGAGTGTCTCAAATACCCGTGAATCTAAATGTCAAAACCCGATTTGACGCTTCGGCATGGCTCGTGTTGGTCCGTTGACGTTTCTGGTTAATTTTTCTGTAGTAGTCTTTGGAATTTAGAAGTCGTTGCTGTTTATAACAAAAAAATCGAGGTTTTAGTAGTTTTACTTTTAGTTGATGAGTATTTAATGGGGCGTATGTTATATAAATGCCTTATTATGATAGTTTGTCTTAAATGTTCGGTTTGAATTCCAGCTGTATATAGTAGTGTAAGTTTCAGATCTGGCATTTAGTGCACGTGGCAATTTACGGTGGCTCTTATATTCGTATTACATAGTTGAAATAGTGCACTCGCTTTTCTAATATGGTGATGAAGTATATGTGGTTTTGCTGTAAGTTAAAATTTTTATTCGTCTTGCATTAAGTAAATTAAACATAGTCCATAGGCCAAAGATACTTCAGGTGTACTCATTTCATGATGATGTGTTGTTTACCGTTGTAGTCTACATTTTTGTTTATTTGATTATAAATTAATGTTTATTTAAATGAAAAAAAACTAGATTGTTCATTTAAATAGCACAAAAAACTTCCTCATGCTTTAGTTAATACAAAATTGATATCATAATTATAATGCCTGTAATCAAAAAATATGTAGTTACGCATTATAATTATAACCGCAGATGTTGTCATGTTGCCACTTCTAATGCGATGTTGACAAATATATGTTGTATATCGAGTAAGAGCCAAAACACACGAGGCGGTTTATAGGCGTCGCGACTTAGATCGTAACCGCTTGCGCAGGGCAGGGTACCGTGTGTTTGGTAACATTGAAGTTCAACGTCGGCTGTACAGACGCTGCGCAGCGACGCCTCGTGTATTTTGGGTCTAATTCTGTTTGCGGATACGCGTGCAAATATGTGTATATTTACCTGGTTTGCTATATTTTTAAATTTGTTTTAGATTAACGAAAAAAAGAAATAGTTTTTTATCGATTCAAATAAGGTAACTTTTTATTTATCGTTCTTTCTGATAGAAGACAAGGATTATTTTACGCTTTATAATTTAATACTTCTATTCGGAACTAATCGGCCAATTACTCCATTATAATATACATGTGTGGGCTTTTCCTCTTTTCTGGAACTTGATTTCTGGTCTAAAGTCTATAGTATTACTAGTGGTCTAGAGTCTATAGTATACATTTTATTTCCATGTTAATTATTATTATTTATGCTTTTTAATTGTTTTTTGTACCTTTTATGTTTAGTTGTAATTAGTTGTTTCTATTACATTTATATTTACTCTTATTTCTAAAATAATTGTTTTTTTATGTCGAGAGACAGATGAAAGGAAACTTTATATACAGAACTGGGTAATTAGTACTTTCTTAATTATTAAAAAAGTGGATGAATGGTTGGTAACTCACATAAAATAAAGAAGAAATTGAATCCACAATCAAGTGTTTGAAATTATTATAAAGGACTACAAAATTAATAATTTAAGAAACACAAAATGTGTACTGTGTATGTTATTGACAACAAGTGCATGTTGTCGAACTGATAATAATTGAAGGTAGCTGTAATAACACAACATCGGGTATATAAGGAGAAATTGCACACACCGCATGAATCGTTTTTTTTCTTGTTGCGCACACTTCACCCGTATTCATGAATTTCTCAGCATTCGCTTGCAGGGCCTTGTGGGCTGTGATAAGCGTGTGTTTTTAATATTTGTCTATAATGAGTAACAACGAAACAGAAATAATTGTAAGCTCCTTGCTAGTAGAAGAATAGGAAATACGAGAAATAAGCTAGGTTCACATAATTTGAAAGAGACTTTAGGAAAATTCTATACTTTATTTTCAGATTTAATAATAATACTTCTTCATCCATTTTCAATTGCAATTGAATACCGAATAAGAATGCGTGTTTCTCACCTTCTCTTCGGCTAGTTTGATTCTGCTAACCGCGTACGATGGTCGTAATTTCGTGTAACTTCATACAATACAGGTAAAGGTAGAGATGGACTTGAGCCAAACGTTGTAATGTGACGTGTTAAGGTGCGTACAGATCTGACGAGACGAGCGCGAGACATTCCAAATTTGCTAAGTGTGGACGGGTCTCGCGAGGCAACCCACGGAGTCTCGTTGCTGTCCTTCCCCTGTCTTTCGACGGCCGATCAAATAACACAGCACACTCTGGACGTCTTTGTGGTAGGCTGGCTCAACTACGAGATATCAGTGCCTGCTATACATAGTTTGCTTGGCTTGTGGCAGACGTCTCTCAAAATTGATTGAATCAGCCTCGCGCTCATCTCGCTATCGTCTCGCTCTTGTCTCGCGCTCATCTCGCCAGGTCTCTATGCACCTTTACAAAACGAACATTTGCTAGTCAGTACCGGGAAATAATCTGCGAACTGAGACTTAGAGTCGACACTTTTAAAGGCTGAAAAAATACAGGAGTAACGCGAGCCGTGCGTTCGAAACGCTCGCGCTTGTCGCGAGCTGCGGACAAGCGTTACATTACAACGTTCGACTCAGTGACTAAAGAATACAAGGACACATAACACCCGAGACCAAATTGTTACCATGGCACCAAACAGTGCCGTGGCCATATGTTTTTTTTTAACTTAGCTGCTTGAAGGGATATTTATATTTTTGATATATGTTTTGACTACACCTATGGTGTAGACAGTGGTATCATACTAATTAATTACGAAAAAACGTATTAAAATGTTAACAAAAGGTACAAAACTAGTATCGACGTATAGCACATATCAAGTACATATAGTATCAACAAAATAATTACCAAATTCAATAAGAAAACGCTAAAAAGGTGGAGTGGACTCTTTATTTACTTATGAAACGGCTCCTGGCTCTTTCTTGCTTACCATTGTAATAAAGTTTATACACCATTGTAATAAAGTTTATATACCCTTGCTAATGGGAGCACTTTCATTGAAATAACACAAATTATATTTTTGTTCGGAAGACCCGATACGTGCGGGTCTTTGGTGCGGATCAATGTGCGCTTCCCTTAAACATCAGCTTTGGGAGTTTAATTTATAAGCAAATTATGTAGTGAAAAGTGTACAAATTGATATTTATTTTTTATCACGTATTTTTTTAAGTTATGTGTATAAAAGTTGATTTAATTTGAAATTGAACGCATCTAAAATTGACAGCTCTGCTGACAATAGCCGACGTTGCCAGATTGATCATTAACGTTTTGTTTTCAGGAAAGTTTATGTATATATTTTTTTAAATTTTTGTTTTCTTGAGTACTAATAATTATTTTCGTTTTGAAAGGGAATATCTTCAGTTTGTTCCTATGTATGTCGAATAAGTTGTTCGTGGTGTGTTATAAATTCCAAAGTACTTAAGGGAATTAACCAGATGCTGTGAGAGTTTAAAAGTTTTTTAGCATTTTTGAAAACCAGTTTAAACAAATTTATGAAATCTGTGTTGATTTAGATCCAATACAAGTTTAGAGTACAACACAAAATATTAAATTTTGGTTACAATCGTCGATACCAGCCGTTATTTCAACTCGTACGTGTATTGAATTTTTTTATCAGTTTATTATAAAGCAGTTTGGTTTTCCCTTGTTGATAATAAATACGAAATTGCATATATTATAGAGGTGATGAGCAACATGTTGAGCAACATGTTGGATATGATGGTATTTGACTGTACTGTAATATCTGTATACTTCTGGTATGTTGTTTTTGTGTTATGTTTGGTTGATAACACTTTTCTTTTTTATCTATTTTTGTAGAAACATTCCAAATTCACGGTATGTTTTTACATTCCCAGCGAAATTTCTATATTAGTTGTTTACTGTTGTCCTGCTTTATTGTTACTGTTGATTTATAAAAAAATTAAATTTATTTTTTTATAAATATACATTTAATGTTTATTATTTCCGAAGTCAATTGGAAGTAGTGAGACTCTTAAACCTTAGTCCTGACGATGCCGAAAAAAGCACCGACAAAGAGAGTGCCGAAATTAAGAGTCCAGATCTATTCCAAGTGATTTCAGATAAACTATACCAATCAATAGATTCTTTGAAACAAAGTGAGTCTATATGTGACATTACTTCCAATATATTTGTAGACTGTTGGGTGTAAGAATGCATGGCATGGTAACAATTCTATGTCGTTTTTATTCGGTAATATTTATTTCTGTTATTTATATTCGGTGTTCACTTACGGTCGAAAGTTTTCCATATTGAGGGATATTATACCGGGTTGGTATTTCTGCTCTTGGGTGCCGGTTTTCGTGTGTACGAAGGGTACGGTCAATATGCTCAGTAAAAAAGATGTACTAATGAAAGAAGAGCAAGTATTTTCCCAAGCGCGTGATATCTAGCGTCGGATTAAGTGGTTATGAAATAAATACTTCGTATTTATGCTCTCTTCGACTTACTAGATCGCTATAGCGATTCATCCCTAAACGTGTAAACACCGACTCAAGGCTTCGCTTGCCAGTGGGATATATTGAGATTGAAATTTGGCATTTCGTCCACATTTATACCTCACATGGAGACAACTCAACTTTCAACGAGGAAAAGTAGAAGAGTGGTAACCCAGTATGTAAACTATATTCGAAACTCAACTGCAAGTGCAAATATGGCAACCCAGCATGTAAATAATATCGAAGTCGAAAAAGAAAAAGACACCAGCCGTGAAGACTTGATACGTTTTTCGTTTAAGATTTATAGTTTAGTTTATTTTTTTAAATTTCAAATTTAAATTCATTACAATTTTGGAATATTTATTTTCATATAAATGATTTTATTAGGTAATTGTTTGTTATGGGAAAATGTTTTAGTTATAATACCGCATAATCGAAAAAAAGGAGTCTAGTTGGTTTGGAAATGACGATGTATGACATTCCCTATGTACTTTTACAAGAAAAAATTGCAGTGATATTCATTTCCGAGCCATCTTTGACGCCGTTTTTTTTTTATCACGTGCTGCTTTTATAGTGTGTCCAATAAGTCAGGGAAGTTTTCGACAGACGACATCGAAAAAATGTTACTGTCATGTACTCTCTCGTTGGACCGACTATAGCTACCTACTGAAAGTTGATGTTTTATGTTAAATTAAATCTGTACTTACAGTACGTCTGTCTGTCCGTTCTGTAGCTACGGGGTATCCGTGCGAGGGGAAACGATATTCTCTCGATAATTTTTGTAAAAAAATTAGACGACGCGTCCCATCAATAAAAATTCGACAAATTTAACAAGTAGCCAAGAAAATGAGTGGGCGGAGCGATTTGCGGTGACGTACTCGTCAAATCGACGTATAAAATGTATTGCTGTTTATTTAAATGTTTTTTGTCCGCATTCCTTTCGTAGACACAGATCCAGCAGACGTACTGTACAGGGTTTCTTAAATAAGTGCTAATATTTTAATTGTTTACTGCTAAATACTCCGAATGATTTTTTCTTACTTTTCAATTCTGGAGTGAGTTGTGGTATTCAATTTTGTGATATATTGTGGCTATTGGTGGATATCTGGAAATAAAGTAACGCACGTTTCCGATACTCCTTGTATATGTTACGGTTAAAGTCCGAAATGAGTTAATATCACTTAATGTCGACATTAACACGTTAATGTTTGGGTTTGGTTGTTTTGTTTTATTATATTCTCGAGATTAACCGGTTAATTTAGATATTAACTTTATTTCGGACCTTAACGGTAACATATACACGAAATTTTATGTAAGGTTAAAATTTAGTTTTGTTTTATATTTATTTTATTTAATTTTTTTTTGTTGGATTTGTAATTTTTATTGTTTTTTATTATATATATATTTGCATTTCAATGTGTGCCACTTTACAATAAAGACATTTATTGTATTACTTTTATTATTATTATTAATAATAATGGACTTAATATAGTATTAATATAAGAAATAGCAAAAGGTCAAGATTCAGTTCCGCTAGTATTTATGCTAGATTATTAATAATATATAAAACAAATGTAAACTTGCATAGCTGTTTTGATGTATGACGTAAATGTATTTTTCGCAGAAACCATTTAACATGGATGACCAGGACGACTACGAAGGGAAACTAGAATCTCTTCGGAAATATATTCCTTTTTTAATTAATATGATGACTGAATTGAAAGCTAAGGGCAATAGGGAGGCGCAGTTGAATAAAATGCAGTCATTGCATGACATGATCACAAATTCCAAGAATAAGTAAGTTGCTTAATTTAACTTGACTAGTCATGTAATATGTTATTTTCTTATTTTTAGACTTAAAGTGGAGACTCTCAAAAGATGTGAGGACGTTCTAAGGAATATCTACTTCAAAGTGGTTTGTACTTGTTTCAGATTTGAAATATATGTTTTTAAAGAGTGTAATTTACAGAATCCCCAGTTAAGAATGAAATATTCACTTTCTTCCCCGTCTTTATCGACAGAAAATAACGTAATGCCTGAAATTGAAAGCACCAGTTTTACCCCGGCTAGTCCAAGTCCACCCCCCAATTCTCCACTATTACGAACTGAACCAGTGACTATTCCCACTGAAAAAATATCATCTACTCAGTAAGTTGCTGTTAAATCAGATTACAAACTAATAATAATAATAATTTCTTTTTTTTGTAGACCTTCTGTCGTTATTCAGAGTAAATCTTACTTACCAAAAATAGATGTCTATAGCAACGTCGTTATTAATAATCCTATCAAAGTTGCAAATCCAATATTGCCTGATATGTCAAAACCACCTATTAGTTTAGATGATTTGAAAACTTTAGAAGATGATGTTCATCAAAAAATTACCGACAGTTATTTAACTCATGCTTCTGTAAACGAACTGCAAGAATATAAAAAACAGCTGGAGGTACAAATTCGCGTAGAAAATGTAAATTCTACGATGACACCACTTGAAGAACAAGAAAAAACTCTTAAAGAAAGTAGAAGTTCTAAAGAAAGTAAGAGCCATAAAGAGAGTAAAAAACATAAAGAAAGTAAAAGTTCTAAAGAAAGTAAAAGCCATAAAGAGGGTAAGAGCCATAAAGGGAGTAAGAGTCATAAAGAGAGTAAGACCTCTAAAGAAAGTAAAAGTCCTTCTAAGAACTCAAGTTCTTCGAGTTCTAAATCTTCGAGTTCTAAAAGTGACAAACATCATAAAAAACTTATACAAAAGGTTTTAAAAGAACCTGACAGCATTTTTGGAAGTGCATTATCCAGCATTGACGAGAAACTTATTGGAGAAAAGAAAAATCCAAAGAAAGCAGATAGGAGGTCTTCTGATGTTTCTGACAACAAAAAAGAAAGTGCGGTTGAAAATGTCACTGAAAGCATTTTTTTAAAGAAATGTGAAGACTCTGAGAGAAAATCCTCTGATATAGAGAAGTCGCATACTCCAAAACCAGAAATAGTATATAAAAGACTTGCAGATAAGTACAATCCTAAACCCAGACAGAAACAGGTAGAAGCAGAGGCCGTTGATGTTGAGAAGAAAGTGGCAGAAGTAATTGAAAAAAATATGAAAGCAAATGTGGCGATGCCTTTTGAAGTTCCAAGTTTATTGCCACGTGCCCTAGAAAATTTTATCAATAAGTCTGTCTCCGAAATAGTTACACCTGGCATGTTAAGTGAAACTATAACACCTTCAGCTGTACTGTGTGCGCCTTCACCTGTACCGTGTACATCTTCACCTGTACACTTACAAAATTTAACTAGTACGGCTACACCTCTACACCCACAAATTCTAGCTAGTACGCCTTCACCTGTACACTTACAAACTGTAGCTAGTGCATCTACAATTCCATTAACAATTCTTCCAGAACCAACACTGTTATCGCCTCCTCTTCTTAATCCTTTGACACCAAATTGTCAGAATATATTTCAAACGCCTCAATCTAGGCCGACCCCCCTTTTTAACGCTTCTTTGCGGAATCCTCCAATACTCCAAACACCTAACGTTTCTGAGCCTGCATGGCGAAATCCGCAAATTCACCAAACACCTGACGTTTCTGAGCCTGCCTGGCGAAATCCGCAAATTCACCAAACACCTGACGTTTCTGAGCCTACATGGCGAAATCCGCAAATTCACCAAACACCTGACGTTTCTGAGCCTACATGGCGAAATCCGCAAATTCACCAAACACCTGACATTTCTGAGCCTGCATGGCGAAATCCGCAAATTCACCAAATACCTGACGTTTCTGAGCCTGTTTTTTCCCGGGGCTTAAATTTTGAGCCTCCAGAATATGCCCCAGTTCGTGTAGATTTCGAATTTGACAATCGTAGAATGGAGTTTGAACCTCATAGTAGGCTAGAGTTCGAACCACCTCATCATTCGAGAGATAATCGATTTGGTGTAAACCAAAGATTTATACCTCCGAGTACTAATTCATACAATCAACCTGACTGGGGAGGAAATTACTTTAGACAGAATCAGATGCCTGAGCAAAATAATTATTCTGAGCGCCAATGGAACGATCATTATCATCAGCAGTGGGGAGGCGTGCGTCCCGGTGATCCTAGAAGTTATAAAGAGTACAAGGAAATGAAGGAGAGGGAAGCGCGTGCAAATCAAGAAAACCCGAAAGAAACCAAAGATCCCAGATTAGCGGCTAAGGAAGCAAATAATTTAGTTTTAGCAGAAAGTAAAGATCCCAGATTATCCAAAGATGTGATTAGTAGAGATCCTCGATTATCCAAATTACGGGACAGGAGTAAACATGATGGGAATGGCACTACCTCGAAATCGACGACTAGGGAAACTTATAACAGTAAATTTGATAAGATGTATTCAAATACCGCCAAGGTTAAGCCTCATTTCAAACTCGAAAAGACTGAAGAAGAATCGTTTGTCTCTCCTTTAGATAGTTTGTACGTTAGTGAAAAGGGAAAGACTGGAAGGGGTTATGGAGTACAGCATTTTAAAATACCGAAAAAGTCTCGAAAACCAGAAGATATTAAACCATCAAATACTAAAAATGATGATAGTTCTGGCGAAGAAAATGAAGCAGTTTCAAAAGTTGAAAGCGAAACTAATGATGTAAGTGACGGAGAAGACACACTAGAAGAATCTAGCGTCCCCATCCAGCCCACATCATCTAAATCAGACTTAAATGAGATACCTGAATCATCAAAATCAGATTTAATTTTATTACCTGACTCACCTAAACCAGAATTAAATGTATCATCTGAATCATCTAAACCAGATTTAAATGTATTACCTACTGTAGAAGAAAACAAACAAAACATGCTCCAGCAAATTGATTTATCTAGAGTCGTTGTTTGTATCAAGTCAGAACCGAGCGATGATCAAGGATTATCTTGGGCATCCCCAGATGACGATGAATTTATTAGCGAATATGATCGATATCAAACAAACGACGTTGAGGAGTCTGATAAAAATGATGTGTCAGTTATAGAAGAACCATCGTCAACACAAGCAGAAATTTCTCCCGAGCCAAACAAAGAAAATAAAAGTGACGTGGCAAAACCTGAGGAATCGTCAGAACAAAATATTTTGGCTCACTTTTTTGAAAATCTCCTGAAGAGCAAAAATAAGAAGGATAAGAAATCTGCTCTGTTCTCACTTATAGAAACCTTTTCCGACAGTTTTGACGAAAAGGAAATTAATAAAATTAGAAAAATTATACATGTTGAGGAAAATACAGAGGAAGAAAGCGAAGAGGAAAAAGAAGCGGAAGCAGTTAAACAGAGTAATGAAGTAGGGTCAACGACAGAAGACCTTCCAGAAATATCTAATACAGAACAAGAAGCAGTTGCTGAGAGTACCGTAGATGATAAAAGTGCGTCTGACGGACAGGAACCGTTGGTAACAAAAAACATAGCGGAACCAATTCAAGAATCAGTTGGAGAGAGGATCAAAAGCAGAAAACGCAATCTCGTGCCAAAAACAAAGAAGAAACCTAAATCGGAGTTAGAGTTGCTTCACGCCGATATTCAAGATATGTTTATTAGAGATGGCGTAGTTACTGCAACTGGGAAGAGAATGTGTCGTATTTTAAAAAGCGATCCTAATGCTTTAGAATCTCCCGACAATAAAAAGATACGTAAGAAACCTGGACCGAAACCCAAACATAAACTTGCCAAAGAGGAGATAGAAAGTGGCGCGAAGGCTGTTCGGATAGTAATACAAAAAATGCCTGATGATATAATGCGTCCAACTACCAGATTGTTAAGAAATCAAGCCCGAAAAACCAGCTATGCAGAGACCGATATTGATAGCGATAAGGGCGATAATGAACCGCTTAGAAATGAGACTGAAGAGCTTGGCAGCGACGATGATGATAAATCTCAGTCTGATGAAACGCCTTCTCGGATGAAAGGTCCTCGAAAAATTCGAAGAGGGCGTCAATGGGCCTCGGGGATTATTCCTAAACTTAAAAGAAAGAAGAGCCAAGAAAAAATTGCATCTAAACTGGATGTCGTTGAACCTGACAAGTCGTATTATTTGGATTATACGGACAAGACAAAACTCATCTGTAAATTGTGTGATTTTAGCGGCCATCTTTTAACAAACCACTATGTTAAGGAGCATCCCGAATCGGAAGTTTTCTGTTCACGCATGTCCCCCCGGCAAGCCGTTAACGCCATCAATGATTATAGTATGAATTCTAAAATATACGAAAATATTATTGAGGACAAAAATAGGTGCCTGAATTATGACTATTCTTGTAGGATTTGTGGGTATTCCACAAATACTAAACCAATAGCCTTTTACGAACACGTTACACTTCATACGGGTGAATATCGCCATCGATGTGACGCTTGTGGTTTTACTTGTGGTAACGGAAAGGCTTTAGCTGCCCATTGTCGTACTATACACGAGGGTCAAGAAAAGCAAGTATCTAGAACAAATTATAAGTCTACAATTGTTTTTGGTTATCTTTGCGGTGAATGTAATTATTTGCAGTTGAACCAAAAAAATGTGCAAGAACACGTTAATATTTTTCATCTTGGCGATAAACCGATTATTTTCAAGATAAATATGTCAGAAGTGCTAGATCCTAATATAGAAACTTTGAATATAAATAAAAATAAAGAATTACCTGAAGAACCTTCCCCAGTACCAAAATTAGTTGAACAAACCCCTACTAAACGTCGTAGGAAACCTGGACCTAAATCTAAGACCCGTCCAGATGAAGTGTCAGATAAAGTAGATGAAGATCTGGAAACCAATTTAAAAGATTTGATAACGCCAGATGTAGAGAAGACTGTAATAGACAATAAGGAGCCAGTTTTAGTCAAGAAGAAACCTGGTCCGAAGTCAAAGACTATGGTTCTTGTTTTAGAATCATCCAATGCAACCATAAACAATGTTTCTCAAGAAGCGCCGCTTCCAGTAAGAAGAAAACCGGGCCCTAAGTCGAAAACGAGAATACAAAAGCCTTCTCCTACTCCAGAAGTAACCACTAGTAGTGAAGCTGTACTTCAAGCATCAACACCTTCCAATGCTGTTAACGATTTTGTAAGAGAACCAATTAATAAAAAAAGGCGAAGGAGTTTGGACAAATTGATACCTGAAGACAGTACGGAAGATTTAGATACAATTATAACGCTATCAAGTCGGAGTAATAGAGCCGCTAAGGATAAAGCCACTGCTAAACTGAAGTCGTTGATGGAAAGTGGGGAAGTGCCTGTAATTCAGAAGCCTACTGTCGTACCTGAAGTGCCAGTTGTTCAGATTTCGGCTGTTGTACCTGAAGTTCCAGTTGCTCAGAAGCCAACTGTTGTTGAATCTGAAAAGAGAGTTGCACAGAAGCCGTCCGTTATCGCACCGGCTAAAGAAAGCGTCGTAGAGAAAAATGTTGTGGTCCCTAGTAAGAAGGAAGACAAAATCAAGTCGATCGAACCAGACCTCAACGTTTTTACCTGTAAAACCGATATTATGGAAGAAGATGCGAAACTAACCGAAGAGCGCTTGCGGAAGATGAACGAGCTCAACAAATCTATAGGATCTCGAGAGTCAAAATTAGATTTTGTTAATAAGTTATGTAATAGACTTAATAGCGAGCAGAGTCCCGAAAGTTCGTCTGAATCTATTACCGAACCGATCAAAGTAAAGGCAGAATATATAGATGTTCCAAGCTATGTTGCATTTGAAATGAACACCCAACAGTTAGGAGAGGTCAATATCCCGGTTATGAAAACGATCAGCGAAATAAGATCCACTCCATGTAAAAAACCTGTTTTAGACGATAGTCCCGTTTTGCCTCAGGCCAACATCCAGTTTAAAGGTAAAAGCATGGCCTTATTTTCTAATATAATCGAAAAATTACAAGGAAAGGTGAATGAAGCCGCTGTTCAACAAGATAGTTCTGATTCAAATTCTAGCCCGTCGCCACTTTCACCGTTCGAAGATTCAACAGCACCTACTTTAATTATTGGACAGTTTGTAAAAGCAACAAGAAAACATGCTGGCGTCGTGTTTTCTTGTCTAGTAAACAATTGTTACGTTGTTACGAAAGATCGCCTAGTTTTTCAGTTACATTGTAAATTTGGTCATAAGGACATATCTCTTGACTCCACCTTGTGCGACAAATGCGGTATAGTTCTGGAAAGTACTAAGGACACTACCTTGCTGGAAAATACCTTCGATCACTTAGTGTTTGCACATTCGGACTTCCTTGAAGAGAAGTCTATGTTACTAAGAACGCGAAGATTGAGTGGGGATAAGTTATCTGTAAAAGTGGAAAAAGATAAGGAACCTGATAAACCTGTCGAAAGTATGGCGACTTTAGAATTGGCACACGATAATCCGTTTTCATTTAAAATTGTCGACGTGATGTCTTTGGCGGACACATCTTCCAGTCCTCCTGAGACCACACCACCTCAGCCACAATTCATTGGGACAGAACCACGTTCTATCGTAATACCACAATCCATCGTGGTAACGCAACCCACAACACAACCCATTGTGGCAACGCAACCCATTATGACAACACAACTCATCATGGCAACGCAACCCATTGTGACAACACAACCCTTCGTGGTAACTGAACCCATCGTGACAACACAACCACAAGCTATTGGGACAAAACAGCCACAACTGAAGCCAGTACCTCCGCTGACGCCTATAACGTCTCCTTCCACTTCCGTAGTGCCATCCACTACGACTTATTCGTCTCCCTCGATTTCAAACGTTTTCAAACAAAAACCGTCTTCGAATCAACTTATAGTGAAGGAAGCTAAATTGACTGCTAGCGAATTATCTCGGCCGAGAAAAGCGTGCAAGGCTTTGCAAAAGTTCGTAGAAACGCCTGCTGATTTGTACAAGTGTCCTCATTTCTACTGCATGTTTAGCACAAAAGTACGTACGTTATTAGAACGGCATTTAAAAATACACAGAGGCGATGGAGACGGTATGGTTGCCTGTGTGTATTGCGACATTAAGACTCCCTGGGAGCACGTACCTATGCACATTGATATCAGACACGCTCAATGCGAGTATGCTTGCAATTATTGTCTTTACCGAGGCTTATTGAAGGAGTACGTATGCTTGCATCAGCATCAGAGTCATGCATCCAAAGAGTTTGTCATCGTTCAAGTACCTCCGAAGTCGACTAAAATATTTTCCTTAGATGAGAGTAGTCGAATAACGGACTATAAGGCACTTTGTGAACCATACCGATGCTATTGTAATGGTGAGTACTTTTAAGACCAAACTTTGTATGTTGAATATTTAAATTTTACTCTAACAATATTTTTACCTAGTTTATGTTATGTGGCTGTCTAGACTAATGTCAAGAGCCAAGATGTTATTTACTTGGCCTATACTCTTCTTTATTTTTAATGGCGTTTACTACCAGTTGGCCTTAAGAAGGTTGTACTTTATTTTTATATCGAATACAAATTATGTTTAAATTGTGTAGTTTAAAATAGGAGAAAAAATATTTTTTTTGGAAATCGATTTGTGTGTCCGGAAACGCTCTATCCTTTATTAATCTTTCTATAAATGTTAATATTTGACAAGTTTTGTGTCAATTTTTAGTAAACGACGTATAGAAATTGACCTCGCCAAAATTGTGATTGATTGTCATTATCAGCTCTTTTACGCCGTTTTTTTCGATCATACGCACAGTGTTGCGAAAATGGTCATTTTGGGAGAACATTTTGATTCAAAATTGAGTACACAGATTTTAAGGACGTAATTACCAGCCAAAAATAAGAAAAATAGTTCATACAATCGTTTGTTCTAACTTGCTTCGTTTTCTAGATACAGGGTGTATTGCGTTATCTTAAAAAAGAAAAAAAAGCTCAAAAAGTGCATGTCAGTAGCAGCAACAGATCACAGATTTATAATGTCCAAATATAAGGCTACTTATATACAAAATCTGTTCGATACGTTTTTTACGTTTTTTAAGCTTACTTAAGCGTTTGCTACTTTTATACTTTTTGAGGATAGATAACTCATACCATTTCTGTTAACTATTTTTAATTCACTTACCTTCACTAATAGCAAACATAGCAAAATAAAACTTATACAGGGTCCGGCTATAGTGCGCCGGGCATCTGTAGCTCCTAGAATAAACAACTTGGGAATTTTGTTTAAGTATAAACCTAAAGTATGTATAGGGTGTCCCACTAAGAATAGCTCTCGGCTGTATCTCGGAAAGTAATAGCCGTAGGACTTACGGAAAAAAATATTTATAACTAAAGGGGCTATAAGAAATTGCTGGAAATTATTTTCAAGTTTGTAAAACGGCCGCTAGGGGGCGCAACTGCTATGGAAAATAAGAAAATAGAATTTTTACAGAATTTTGCCGAGATAATGGGTACTATAAATAATAGCGCTTCATAATCTTCAGTAAATTTTGGATTTTTTTTGTTAGGACCATTTTCCCCTATCTGCTAAAATAAAGTGGTGGGGGAAGGTTGGATCGGTCTTTATTTAAATGTTAATAACTCCGGACTCTGGATAATCAGAATCCATTAAACGAGGGCTCGTTTAAAAGTGCGTTTCTTATTCTATATTATACCATAAAAATAATAATAATAAGGTTTTGAACGTAGACGCTAGGGGGCGCTTTCATACAATATAACAAACATGGCGTGTTTTTTGAAAAAAATTAAATACGATAGTATATGTAATTTTAGCTGATAGTAGAGTAGTAAAAGCTTAATAAGTCAGCGAAAACCGCATCTTGATATCTTCTTTCAAACCGAAGATATTAGCAAAATTTTAATAAATACCAAAAAATAAGCCCTTAATTACCTTATTTTTACAATACGATATCAGTAGTAGCCCTCTTGATTATGCCCATTCTAACAAAAAAATAAAACAGAAACAGTTAGTTTATTTTAAAATCGACTAAATACCAGAATACCGTAATACCAGATGTTTATGATTTAATAATTAAGATATTAATAACAGTGAACAAGAAACGATGATTCAGTGAAGTCATGGTAGGCTTTGCGTTTTTTTATCTTTTAATTGCTTTTTCAAAATGCCTTTATTATTTGAAGTAGTTGAAGTTGTTGACATTTTGAAAAATCAATTAAAGGATAAAAGACTATCAAAATGTTGATCTAATAACAATTTGACGTATATACTATTACGTCAAAAGCAATTTTTTTCCAAAGCCTACCATGACTTCACTGAATCATCGTTTCTTGTTCGCTGTTATTAATATCTTAATAAAGATAGTAGATATTAATACATCTGGTATTATGGTATTCTGGTATTTCGTTGATTTTAAAATAAACTAACTGTTTTTGTCTTATTTTTTTGTTAGAATGGGCATAATCAAGAGGGCTACTATACTATCTTGTGAAAATAAGGTCATTAAGGGCTTATTTTTTGGTATTTATTATAATTTTGCTAATATCTTCGGCTTGAAAGAAGATATCAAGATCCGGTTTTCGCTCACTGTTTAAGCTCTTACTACTCTTTACTATCGGCTAAAGTTACATATACTATCGTATTAAATTTTTTTGAAAAAACGCGCCATGTTTGTTAAATTATAAGAAAGCGCCCCCTAGCGTCTACGTTCAAAACCTTATTATTATTATTTTTACGGTATAATATAGAGTAAGAAACGCACTTTTAAACGAGCCCTCGCTTATTGGATTCTGATCATCCAGTCCGGAGTTATTAACATTTAAATAAAGATAGATCTAACCTTCCCCCACCACTTTATTTTAACAGATAGGGGAAAATGGTTCTAACAAAAAAAATCCAAAATTTACTGAAGATTATGAAGCTATTATTTGTAGTACCCATTATCTAGGCAAAATTCTGTAAAAATTCTATTTTCTTATTTTCCATAGCAGTTGCGCCCTCTAGCGGTCGTTTTACAAACTTGAAAATAATTTCCAGCAATTTCTCATAGCCCCTTTAGTTATAAATTTTTTTTTCCCGTAAGTCCTACGGCTATTACTTTCCGAGATACAGCCGAGAGCTATTCTTAGTGGGACACCCGGTACAAGGATGTATTTCAAGAAAATATTTTAACTTCTATAGGGTGGCTCAAAAAAGTGTGAGTTGATCGGAATGATTTTTTTAAATGGAACACCCTCTATATTATTGCATTTTTGGATTCCTTTCAGACCACTTTACATATTCCTAAGATATGAATAAATATATTTTGATAGTTTCAGAGATATTAATAAGTAAGTAAAAAATATATTTTTTTCAACCTTCGTTAAAAAATTACTACAAATACCAGAACTGTCCTGAAATCAAAACTATATTAGGTATTTCTTTAGATGGTCTATACTTATTTTGCTATTAATATCGTAATCTTAAATTATACAGGATCTTCAAAATTCTACGCCAAACTTTCTAAAATATAAAATAATTTTTCTTCGTTTTTTTAAATAGAACACCCTGTATATTATTTTTTTTATTAGATGGATAATTAAAAAATGAATATTTTTTGTATTTAAAGTATTTCAAAATTTTTAATGGTTTCGCAGATACACGCTGTAGTATTTCATATGGTAAAATAAGAGAGAAAAATTATTGGGTGGCTTTGATAAAAATTTACTACGGAAAATGCCATATTTATGAAATATAAAACCTCGAATATCTGCGAAACCGTTAAGAATTTTGAAGTACTCTATATACAAAAAATGTTTATTTTTTAATTCTCCATCTACTGAAGAAATAATATACAGGGTGTTCCATTTAAAAAAAAAACGAAGAAAAAATATTTTATATTTTAGAAAGTTTGGCGTAAAATTTTGAACATTCTGTACGATTTAAGATAACCATATTTACAGCAAAGTAAGTACAGACCATCTAAAGTAAATACCTACTATAGTTTTGATTTCAGGACAGTTCTTGTATTTTTAATATTTTCTTAAGACTGAAAAATATATATTTTTTATTTATTTATTAATATCTCAGAAACTATCGAAATATATTTACTAATATCTTAGGATTATGTAAGGTGATCTGAAAAGAAGCCAAAAATGCAATAATATACAGGGTGTTGTTCTATTTAAAAAAAATCATCCCGATCCACTCATCCTTTTTTGAGCCACCCTATAGTAAAATATTAAATTAAAATATTAAAAAATTATAAGTTAAAATATTTTCCTGAAATACATCCTAGAACCATTGCCTGGAAACTTATATGGTGAAATTTTGATAAAATAATTTAGTACACACTAAAAACACGGTATGTCGCTAGTGGTAGGAAAAATAATTTTTAGAGGTTACTAGTTTATTTGGTTGCCTGTGGTATGCATATACATGGTGTTTCCTAATTAATCTAAAAAATATAAAATCGTTAGAAAACGAATTAAGGCGGGCTCTTAATAAGTATATTAATTTTTTTCTCGACAACCGTTTAATGAACAAGAAAAACTCAAAAGATCAATTTTGTTGAAAAAGGATGGCCAGTCAAGAAAAAATATATTTTCTTTAAAAAAGCAGTGGTGTACCATTTATGTTAAACAAAAAAATCGATTTTTTTAATTTTTAACACCCTATAGATCAGAAAGAAAGTACTTTAGACTCAATGGTTATAAAAAAATTGTTTTAAGAACACATGAGGAATCACACCATAATTTTTTTAGACTAATTCGAAAACACCCTGTATATTGTCAACTTGACAATGACTGCTGATAAATCAAAAAATACCTTTTCAGTGAAAAAAGCCTGATTTTCGCAGGAAAAATTTTGATTTTTATTGAATTTGGGCCTGCGTTTGCAAATACTGGTTTGTTTTTTAATTTTCTATCTATCTAAATTTTAAATATCATAGTCAGAAATAGTTTTGTTATTTATTAACTGTAAAAATGGTGTTTTCTTGTTGTGTTGCGTCTTGCAAAGAAACTAACAAAACTGCAAAAATGTACGTGTTTCCAAAAGACGATAAGTATGTATGTATCTTAGATAAAAGAAAAATATATGGTATGTATTCGTTGTTTGATTTTTTTTCGTTCGCTGTAAAATCTATAAATCTCGGTCTATTCATTAGACAGCCAGTCGACCTACGATCATTTACATGAAACTCTGTAAAATAAATAAAAAAATAAATTGTAAAATAAATATAATTGTAAAATATGTATAATATATTCTTATGTTTTATTAAAGTTACTCTGATATACTAATATATCAGTGTAACTTTAAAAATAAATCCTTTGAATTCAAATATAAACATAAAAAACATTTACAGCAGAAAAGGCGAAGGCGCTGGGTTATACTACGTTTATATAAACGTAGTCTCCACTAAAAACACGGAGGGGCGCTTTGACCCAAAATTTTACTATTAAGTTTCATATCTATCTTAATAGTAGATTATTTTCTTTTATCTATGTCCTAGAACATACTTTAGATTTGCACTTAAACAAAATTCTCAAGTTTTTTATTCTAGGAGCTACAGATGCCCAGCGCACTATTGCCGGACCCTGTATTAATGCTATTAACGAAACAATCTGCTACTAAAGTGACAGCAAAAAACGTTCAACACTTAATGCTTTATCGAGTATTTTTATAATAGAAATATAAAGAAATTTTTGTGACCTCAATACATTCCTGATAATTTTTTGCTTTTTTTAATAAGTAGAGGGTGAGTCAACGATAGAGTAAAGTCCATTATCTCATTTGTTTCAAGGTTTACAAAAAAATGTTTAATATAAAAGTTATAGGGATGGTTAAGATACATATTTTAAAATTATTATATATAGTATACAAGGTGCTTCAAAAAAGTGTGGCGGCTATAACATATGTTTTTTTAAATGCAACACCCTATTTTTTATTTTATTTTTAGATTCTGCGTAAAATTCCATAACTTTTTTATATATCATCCCATTGCTGCCAAAAGTCACTAACTTACTTTTTATTACTTCCGAGAAAAATGCGTCTAAAAATGAATTGCATTGCATAAAGATGTTATAGTTAGTAACTATACGGTATTAAAATAAAACATAAATAGCCAGAAATCGTAATTAATGACTTTTGCAATGGATTCTCCGCTTCAAAACATAGTTAGTGATTGAATTTGGTTGTTCGGAAAAATGTTAGTTAGTTATTTTTGGCAGAAATAGGACGATATAATGTTATATGTATACCTAAAATTAATAGTTTTTGTAATATTTCAATTTATTTAAACAAATGTTAAATTGCAGTGTGGTAAAAAATTGTCACTGGTGCCATTGTTTTTAATGTTAGAGTACCAAAATTTGGTAGGAGAGTTTTATAGAGATGAAAAAAATATATATGTAAAGATATTTTAGTTAAATGATACAGGGTGTTCAAAATATATTTATGAGTTTCAACTACTTAAAATTAAAAAATCTCAAATTTTTTAAATGGGACACCCTATATATTATAATTTTTTCTGATAGATTTTACAAAACTCTTCAACTTTTATTAAGGATGTCAAACACCTGTTTTTAATAGTTTGCGATTTATTCCCATTTTTTCTATTTTTACCCATATTTTTAATACAATTACCCTATAAAATAATAGTTGCCATGACAAAACAAAACTATTTATTACTTAACTTTTACAAATAGCTTCATAATTAGTTACAATTGCTGGTATTAATTAAAATTAATTAACTTTACTCAAATAAACTAAATCGCAGTAGTGAATTTCTTAGTGTATTTCTATATTATGAAAGAATGACACTTGGGATTTTTTGTCAGGGCGAATAGCCACAGATTAGGGTAATACTAGATTACCTAATTGCTGAAGACTGCTGATATAGGAATTTTCTTCGACATACAGTAAAGTTTTTTCTCGTAGTAATTCTGGTTTATAATTCATTTGGTAAAGCCAATATTACTACTGCCGCGTAATCGTCCCATTACATACTGAAGATGTTTTCTAGATAATATATATCTATTCTTATTATAGTAGTTAGCAAAATACTATATAATATATAGTACTGAACCAAAAAATGTGGTTTTCTAGGCTTGTCCCTGTATATCAGTCACATTGACTAATTCATTTTCAAGAAAATCTGTAACTATTATCTCTACCATTTATACTTATTACAACAAATTAAACTAAAATTCAAATTTTGTTCTTAACTTGCTTAACAGACATGAAATTGTAATAATTATTACTTTTTATCATGGCGACTATGATGTTATAGCGCAATTGTATTAAAAATATAGGTAAAAATAGAAAAAATTGAAATAAACTAATAAAAATAGGTATATGACATACTTAATAAAAGCTGAAGAGTTTTGTAAAATCTATCAGAAAAAATGATAATATATAGGGTGTACCGTTTAAAAAAATTGAAATTTCTTGATTTTAAGTTGTTGAAATTCATAAATATATTTTGAACACCTTGTAACATCTAACTAAAATATCTTTACATAGGTCTTTTTCTATCTCTATAAAATTCTCCTACCGAATGTTAGTTGTCCAACTTCAGAATCAATGCCATCAATGACAATTTTTTATCACACCGCCATCTAACATTTATTTAAACAAATTTAAATATAACAAAAACTATTAATTTTAGGTATATAACATTACTAGCGTGTACCCGCGACTTCGTTCGCGTCGAATTAATCAGTTGTAATGGTGATGATAAAGCAAAGCAAGAATTTCCATTAACATACAACCTGGATAAAATTTTCTCACACTTTTATATTAGCATGAGAAAAAACAATTGAGAAACCCCTCCTTGTCGAACCTCTACACCCCACAGTCAATCCGTTTACCAAAAATCACCTTTAAACGTCAAGCAGTTTAAGCAGAATCGTGATTACTCCTTGGTCATATTTTATAAAACACCCTGTATAATTTTTTAAAAAATCTTAAAATATGTAAAACAACAAAATAAAATATACGTGTTTAGGTGTTTTTCCGAAAAACTCACCGGTTTTTAAATAAAAAATATTCTAATATTTGAGTGGTGATTTCACCCCCTTAGAATTCGAGTTTCGAAAAATCGCTTCTTATCGAACCTCTACACCCTAAAGTCAATCCGTTTTCCAAAAATCAGCTTTTTACGTTAAGCGCTTTAAGCAGGATCGTGATTAATCAATGACCAGATTTTTCGAAACACCCTGTATTCATTTTTAAAAAATCTTAAAATATGTAAAAAAACAAAATAAAATATAGGTATTTGAGTGTTTTTTCGGAAACTTTACCGTTTTTTAAATAAAAAATATTGTAATATTTGAGGGGTGGTTTCACCCCCTTGGAACTGGAATTTCGAAAAATCCCTTCTTATCGAACCTCTACACCCTAGAATCAACCTGTACGCCAAAATTGAGCTTCTTACGTTGAGTGGTTTGAGCAGGATCGTGATTAATCACTGAGTCAGTCACTTAAGGATTTTATATATTAGTATAGATAATATACAAAAAAGTTATGAAATTTTACGCAGAATCTAAAAATGAAATAAAAAATAGAGTGTTGCATTTAAAAAAATATATGTTATATTCGCCACACTTTTTTGAAGCACCCTGTATACTGTATAATAATTTTAAAATGTGTATCTTAACCATCTCTACAACTTTTATATTTATTATTTTTTTGTAAACCTTGAAACAAATGAGATAATGGACTTTACTCTATCGTTGACTCACCCTGTACATACGGATATTTTACTGCTAAAATAACACATTCTTTAAATTTGGATTTTCGTATTTTTGTCCATGGGCCGCAACTCTGGTGAGATACGGTAGAATATACGCTATAACAGACCTAAGCCTAGATCAAACAGATCCGAGACAGAATCATTAGTCTGTCCAGATTTTCAAATTCAAATATTTGTAAAATTAGGTTTACTCAAAATATATTATGTTTCAAGTATGAATGTAAGGGCTTAGTAGAATATTTTTGAGAAAATCGTTATTTATAAGTAACGTTATTTTTTTAGATTTAATGTTAAGGGTAGGGTTACAACTAGATAATACTTGAAGTGTGAACCAACTAATATTATAGTTATTAGAATATTTTATTTTTAATATAAACATTATTTCTTTAAAGATTTAACCCAGATCGAATTTCTGTTCGAGAATGAATTTGAAACGCACTTGAAAACATATCATTGTGGCGCCGTCAGATGCGGATATCCAAAGTGCACGCACATGGGTTTCGCATCCAACATGTTGGATCATTGGTCTGCGAGCCACGCTATTTCCAAATATCAGTGTGGCCACTGTAAAACTAGCAACGGGGACCTCATGAAAATGTATCAGCATTTCATAAAATTCCACCCCTCACTTAAAATGCACATTTTGGCGAGACATACGGAGATGGAGTCGACTAGTATGCAACAGGTATTGTGTATTTTTTTTAATTTTAGTGTCACAGTTTGTTGTATAACGGGGTGAAGTTTTTTTTACTTGAAATCGCTTTTACTTGAAATCGCAGGCAGGGTGTTTCAAAAAACATGTGCCATCTCTCGTGGGGAGATTCCTCATGTAAAAATAAGATTTATTTTTCATATCAACAGTGGCGGACTAAGGGGGGGGGGGGCGGAAGGGGCGGTCCGCCCCGGGCCCCGTCTTTTAGGGGGCCTCCGAATCTTAATAAGTAATTTTTTATTCAACTGGCAAACAAGGCCAATATGTGTTCAGTTGTTATAAAGCAGTTTGTAGGTGGAGTATGCAAAACATACGTATACGCCAACTATAAACAGTATAAATGAAAGCAGATATTTACTTAATTATCAATTATCAGGCCCCAGTAATTGTCAATGGCATTTTCTATTTAGGAAATTGAATCAAGAGGTAATTTTCTTTGTTTAAAATATCGAATAATTATTATTTTTTATATATTTTGAGACTGAATTTATTTATTTTAGCTTTTAAGTTATTTTTCAATGGTTTCATTTTATTTATTTTTACTGAATAAACATTTTAAATTACAACCAATGCACAGCATAACTTGTATTCTAGCTTCATTACTGATGATGAGCAGTGAAGTCTTTAGTATAACGGGGGCCATGGGCCTGAGACAGCGAAGGGGCCCCTCGGATCTTGGAGGACTTACAAAATCGCGATATTTTGTCGCGGTATTTCCTTGGAAGCATTTTAAAAAAAAGCCTTTTCACGAGTGAAATAAAAAAGGTGGATTTCCATATGAAAAAAAGTTATTTATGATAATTTTTTAATCGGACAATTCCATGACAACTGCGGCCATTATTATATGACATTCAGACAATTTAGTTTTTGACATAGATAGCCACATGTCTTCTCTTTATGGTACAGTGGCTGTGGCAATCACTAAATTTGACGTTTAGGCTATATACATATTTTTGACAGGCAGTTTTTTTCCCTCCAAAAATTATAAATATTTGTATTTGTCTATACCTAACGTTAACCGTTTTTGTATATGTCAAAAACGGTTAACGTTAGGTATAGAGTGTTTAATATCAAAATTCATAAATTTTTACAGAGAATTTAAGTATGTAATAAAAAATGGGGTCACCCGTTTAAAATAAGAAAGTTGCTGTCAACTTCCGGTACTTCCAGAAGTGCCGCCATATTGAAAATATTTTTAATCGATAGATCTCATTGTGAAACAATGATACTCTAACGACTTGTAACGCAGGCTCAGCTTGGTTTGGCTCACCTTGTATAAATACTTGAATTTTGTCAACCATTATACTTACGTCATTCAATTTTTACAAAATGTGCATTAGAAGTGTACCATTATCTAAACAGACTGGGGGCCACATTTAGCTTCGTCGCCCCGGGCCCCCGACAGGCCTAGTCCGCCACTGCATATCAGTTGCCAAGCATATCAGCATAGCTCCGATTCTGCTTTGTTTCGTAGCTACAGGGTGTTAAAAGTCTTAATATTAATATTATTCACCAGGGACGTGCATCACATGGGATCACTGAAATATTTTTCTAAAAAAAGCATGTACAGTTGAACAAATATAGGAAGAGACTTGGGGATAGCACCGGTCGCGTGTTATTTTATATTTCTCACGTCTCTAGCTATACTTGTTAAGTTGTACGCCACGACTTTTTTCTCTTTTATTAGCGAAATAGTGTAAACAATTTAATGCGGATTAAAAGTTGTCTCTTGATATTTTGTCGAATTCGGCTTCCCGGATGAGACAAACGCAATTTTATTAATTTGCCTTGATCCAAGTCTAATTAGTCTCTTTAAAAAATTAAAAAAAAAAAAGTCTCTTTAAAAAATTTTAATATCATTAAGTTGCGAAAGTTTTAAATAAGTACTCATTGATTCCTCATCAAAAAATATGAAAAAAGTCCCTATAAACATGGCTATGGAAATGCATAGTTTAAGAGTTACAGGATGTTAAAACTTTTTAAAAGCTAAAAAATGTGTATTTCTCTTAGAAGAAGAAAAAGAAGAAGGATTCTATATAAGCCGCATCAGCTGCTAGGCCATTTGGCGGCATGTATTTCTCTTAAAAACCATTATCTACCTGTATTATCTAAAATACCTATTCTATTTATCTTAAATACCATTATTTTTTTATTTTAATTTGCTAAATACCATTATTTTTTTTATTTTAATTTGCTGTAGGTTGGACTAATAGTAATAATATTTAATAATAAATTAGGTAAAATATATAATTTATTAATTTTATTAATTGTGATTGATTAAATTGCATTTATCTCATCAATGAGACCGAATTCGACAATATATCAAGAGATAACTTTTAATTAGCATTAAACGTACTACACAATTTTGATACTTTTTGATACAAGAGCAAAAAAGTTAGTGGCGCACATTTTTTTTTAATATTCCAGTGAAAACCCAGATGCACGTCCTTGATGAATTTATCGACATTTTTTTAGCCTTAAAATATGTCGCATTTATAGTAACTTTTACCCTCAAAATTTCACTCGAAACACTAAAAGAACTTGGAAGAAAATTATAATAAAAAATATTAAACAGTAACAACATAAATTACAATTAATATTTGGTGTAGGTTTGGCTAATAAAACGAAATAGAGAAGATTCAAGGGTTTATTATATAAAGGTCGGGCCTACCAACTGACTAAATAACAATTATATTTACAATTTTTTCCTAGCTTTAGTTTTCGCAAAAGTATCAATGACTTCGTTTAAATCCAGGCTTGATGCGGTTTTGCTTTCAATTGCTATTAGCGATAAATGTCTAGTTTGGCCCATATTATTTCTTAAATAATTTTTTATTATTTTTAATTTGCTAAATGACCTTTCAGCTGCTGCAGAAGTGACAGGAATTGTAAAAAATAATAACATTGTTGTAAATACTTCCGTTAGGTCGCATTCTAGCACTCCATATTTTTTGTTCATTGTTTTCTTACATAATTGGTGAACAGTCCATGCTTAAGTTAGTTGAGGTAAAACTAGGTGGTAAATATTAGTAAATTGAAGTGAAAAACTAGGGCCTATTATATCTGAATATTTTCGGTGGAAATCATGAACGATGGAGACAATATACGATCTATACGGTGGAGACCATGAACGATCTCCTGCCCGCGGACCTGAATTAATGTACCTATTGCAGGTGACTTGCATTTTTTCACGATATTTCGCGTTATACAATGAGTTGTAGCCGAAATCTATAGATTTGACACGATTTATTGACTTAACGGACATCAATGTGAGTGGTAAAATCAAATAAAATTGAACCACTATATTGACCAGTACAAAAAAGTTTATTGACATTAGGTAGTTTACTTACTCCTGATACAGCATTAATTTTTTAACCGTTCTCAAAAAAAAATCTTAACTCGAATTCACAATAAAACGCACATCGATGAATAATAAAACGCACATATCACTATTCGTCAAATTGATAACACTGCCAACCTACAGAAAGAATTTAGGGGAATTCCCTAGGCATAATTTTTGAATTTCTATCGAGTTGTCCTGATTAAAGTGGGATTACAACCTGTCATATTTATTTTGAAAATGGGAGAAATTTCCAAAAGTTCAGTTTGATCAAGATTTCTGGTAAGGATTCGAGGGCCCCCTGAGCTTGAGGGCCCCAGGGCACTGCCCTAGCCCTAGCCCCTAGGTAGCTACGCCACTGGTCGTACTATCCAAAAAGGCTTCCAATTCCTAAATAAACAAATATTTCTTACATACCTGATTTGAAGTAAAAGAAAGTAGCTCTGATTTCAGCTATTCTAAAGTTGAAAAACTCGAAAAGGATACATTTCTGCAGAATTTTTTTTGTAATATACTATTCGAAAAGGCTTCCAAATATTAATAAATTAATAAAAAAAAATAAATAAATGCCTTTATTGTCAAAAAATTTTACAATTTGTATACAAACGTAAAGTAAACAAACAAAAGAGAATACAAAACAAGTATACAAATTACATTGTCAGTCTTATTGTTTAAAATAAACATTTATAAATGTTTACAATGTCAAAGAATAAAAAAATAAATAAATAAATAAAAATAAGATTCAAAAATATTTAGTAAGTTTATTATAGTAAATATAGTAATAGCAAATACCGTATGATCGAGAAAAAACGGCGTCAGCGATGGCTATGAAATGAAGATCGCTGTCATTTTGTATGTAAATTTATATGGGAAATGTCATCGATCGTCATTTCCCTGCCAACTGGACGCCGTTTTTATTCGATCATACGGTATTAGACTAGTGTTTACAAGATCAAATTTGATTATCAAAATATAAGTCATTTACGGCGTAGAAAGCCTTGTCTAGTAAATAAGATTTCAATGCTTTGCGAAATGAAGAAAATGATGTTATGGATTTGATTTAAAATTGCAGGTGATTTTTTTGTGCATTTTTTTCGAGTTGTATAATATTGAACTTTTAACTAACTTTGAGTGTGGGGTAGGTAGATAAAGATCTTGCTCCGCGTTCCTGAGTGGATAAGTAAACTAAATAAACAAGTATTTGTTACATAACTGATTTCAAGTAAACGAAACTTGAGCTGTAAGCTTCATTCAGAACCTCGAAATCAGTGGAATTAGTAGTTTCAATTAGCCGTAGAAGTTTGTTCACCTAATTTTACGGTAAGCATCATTACTGTAAGTCAGAACAAAAAAAAAACTAAAAAGTATAAAGACTAATTGAAACCACTAATTTTTTCCACTAATTGGGAGGTTCTGAATGAAGCTGTATAACGTTTAATTTACAGATTGAATATGGATATACAGAAAAGGCATTTTTCATGCTTGGTCATATTAGGAAGTTGCCCCAAATAGGATTATTACTAGGATCCAAAGGCGTTCCGACCATAAAAATATTGAAGATGGCGAACAATTCTTCTAGTATTTCAGTTCCTACCATCCCTTCTAGTTCAGGATCCTTAGCATTGAAACAGCTACCTGCGATACAACAACGACAGGGCCAGCCGGCGAAAGCACAGTTACCTTCAAACATCAAACTCATAGTGACAACCACTTCAAGCGAGAAATTTTATTTTATACCAAAATTAATCACGACAGTGGCATCGACAAGTGGAGTCCGCGTCCAAACCTCTACAGTATCTAAATCAATTTTAGCCAATAATACGTTTGAGTCACATTCTTCTGTACAGCCACAGAAAGAAAATAACGACATTAACACAAGCCAGGAGCCTATTAATAATGTCATTACCGATCAAGGTTCGCCTGAAGAGAATTTTGAAGAACCGTCACCAACCGAAGATGAAATTGCAGTTAGTAATCTACCACCTTTATTTCTCCTCAATGAAAAATCACCGGTAACACCTCTTGAACATGTCGTCGTACCGGACAATGTGGACGATGTAGGCAGGCTTTTGCCAGAGGACGTTGACCCTTTGACTTTTGATGACTCCACCCTGGCTGCTAATTTGAGTTCTTTGGATGATCCGTTTAATATAATTCCTCCAATAATTATGGAGGATCCGTTGAATATCGATTTTGCTGATCCAATGACTGCTTCCCACGAGCTTGGCGCGTCGAGATCGCAGTTGGGAATGTTCAACCGAACAAATTCTTCGATATCGATTTCGGCTTCGGATGATGACGGGTCTGGAAGTATCGCTTATAAGGAGAAGGGCCTGTCTGGTGAGTAACATATTACAAAATATACAGGGTGCTAATTCGTGGTACAAGCATTGGTATCTCGGTAACCGTAAGAGATACGAACAACGTCTTCTTGATTTTTTGCAAACCGAAGTTGAGCTTGATACGCCGGCGCCGATTGTATTTTACAGTGACCGTTGCAGTGCCCAGAACCGCAATGTCACTATAGCTAACGCTTTGCCATTTGCTACAAAAAACAATATTATAATATTTCAAAAATATTTAGTTAAAGGTTACACTCAGATGGAATGTGATTCGGTTCATGCAACAATAGACGTAAAAAAGATCGAGAATTGCATGTACAGGGTGTCCCATTTTAGTTGAAATCATACGGTATCTCGGATATTCGTGAAGATAGAAGGGTGCGGTTTGCACAAACCTGTGCCACTTTTTTGTCAAACGGATGATGCCGTAAACAAAATTTTCATAGCCCTCTTCATTTCTGAGCTACAGGGTCTTTTTGAAAATTTTATAATTTGGGACATCCCTTGTATCTCGGTTAGTGTTAAAGGTATCGAGACGGTGAAAACTGTTTATTGTAGAACTTTTTACATAGAATACAGTGGCGTAGTCTGTTATTCTACGAAAAGAATATTTTTTAAGATATGAACTAAAGTTATGTTTTCTTAAATGGAACACCCTGTATATTTGTAAATTATATGATCTGGCTTGCCATAAGCTTCTCAAAACTATATATCACTCTATATTTATTTTCACTATACTGCAATATTTAAAAAAATACATTAAAAAAGATCATATTTATTAGTAGGCCATGATTGATAATAAAAAAAAAACAAAGAATTAAAAGTATACTGCTATCTGTCTCTTTTTTTATTTTGAGGGCCACTAATAAATTATTTATATATTAGGAAAACTTAACTCTCTACCGGCTATTTGTAAATCTTGGAAGCTATCCGTATCGGAACTATTAAAAATATTCCTTTACCTAATTTACGTAAAATATACTTTCAGCAAGATGGGGCTCCTCCTCAACTTAACTTACAACGAAAATATTAGAATTTTGTTAAATTATTATTTCTCAAATCAGTGAATTGGAACCAATGGACCCATATATGATAGCCTCCCTGATTCCCGGATTTATCCGTTCTCGATTTCTGATTTTGGGGATTTTTGAAATATGAAATCTTATATCCTGGCAACTAATACAATGTGGAACACCTAAAAAATGCTTTAATAATGCAAGCTTTTAGATATTGGCAAACCCATTACGTTATAAAAAAAGAAAATATAAAAAAGTGATATTCGGTACAGTTCAAAAGTAAAATATATCAATTCAAAATAAAATTTTAATATGTGTATGACTATTTTAGTCAATACCATTTTGATTTTTGTTGTTATTTATCATGGTCTACTAATAAGAAAATGATATATCTTAAATATTGCAGTAAATAGTGAAAATAAATATAGAGTGGTATATATTTTTGAGAAGCTCATAGTAAAGCGGATCATATGATTCATAAATATACAGGGTGTTCCATTTGAAAAAACATAACTTTAGTTCATATTTTCAAAAATATTTTTTTCATAGAAAAACAGACTGCGCCACTGTATTCTACGTAAAAAGTTCTACAAGAATCAGTTTTCACCTTCTCGATATCATCCATAATAACAGAGATACGGGGGCTGTCCCATATTGCAAAATTTTCAAAAGACCCTGTAGCTCAGAAACGAAGAGGGGTATGAAAATTTTGTTGACAGCATCTTCCGTTTCACAAAAAATTGGCACAGGTTTGTGCAAACCGCACCCTTCTATCTTCACTAATAACTGAGATACCGTATGATTTCAACCAAAATGGGACATCCTGTACAGGATGGTCGAAATTGGCCTGTTTTAACAGAGAAAACCTATTTCCTGACTAGATGAGCAAAACCGACATAGATGTCATGAGCTCGATTTCTGAGACACGTTTAATGGCGTAAACCGCCTGTTGATATTTTTACTGCCAACTGATACTACGGGGTCTTTTTGAATTTTTTACCATTTGGAAAATTGCCCATAACTTTTGTATTTCGCGGAATAATAAAATTTTGTAAAAACGTTCTTAACGCACTTTTTTAAGCACAATCCAGTGGCGTAGTCAGTTTTTTTCTATACATGCTCTTTTTGTCAGAAATAATAAGAAATATAATTTTTAAATGGAAATCATAGTTGGCTATGAACTCAAAAAAACGCTGGCATTTAACCCTTTTCAACGATATGAGTTACAGTACAGTACGTCTGCTGGATCTGTGTCTATGAAAGGAATGCGGACAAAAAACATTTAAATAAACAACAATATATTTTATACGTCGACTTGACGAGTACGTCACCGCAAATCGCTCCGCCCACTCATTTTTTTGGCTACTTGCAAATTGGTCGAATTTTTATTGATGGGACGCGTCGTCTAATTTTTTACGAAAAACATCGAGAGAATATCGTTTCCCCTCTCACGGATACCCCGTAGCTAGAGAACGGACAGACGTACTGTATGTGTATTTATTTCTAAGAATGAGAGAAATATTAGGTTTTTTATCTTTGTATCGAAACGGGCCTTGATTTTGTGTTGACCTAGTTGCCTAATTATTTTTTTATCACAATTTAATATTCTATATTATTATTTATCTGCATAATTAAAAACTTTTAAAAAGGTAAATCAACATTCTATATTAGTATAACCAAATACAATTAAAACGCCAGGGTTACAACTGAACTTTTAAATGGAGAATTTAAAGAGAGTATTGTGTTGGAATAAGGGGTCCATATCTTCGCCTGCTAGGTCCTGTGATTTAACTCCTTTTGACTTTTTTATGTGGGAAATTAAAAGACCTATATATAAGGGAAGTACCATTGGGACGAGAGAAGAACTGCAGAAAGCTACTAGGCAAGCTTTTGGACTTATTAAACCAGTTCGCCTAATAAATCGTTGTAACTCTGTGCGCAAAAGATGTTTATTGTGTATTTAACAAGGATATGCTCAATTTGAACATCTTTGATTTTTTTAGAAAACTATATTCGTCACTCAAAAAATACGTTTTTTTTTAGTTTTGTTCTTTGTTTATTGTATCGATTTCAGTTGTAATTACTAATACTAATAAAATAATTACTATTACTAATAATAATAGAATGCTAATTTATCTATTCAAAAGTCTTTAATTATGCAGATAAATAATAGTATAGAATATTAAATTGTGATAACAAATAATGAGGCAAATAGATCAACTCAAAATCAAAGCCTGCTTCGATATAAAGATAAAAACCCTAATATTTCTCTCACTTTTAGAAATAGATACCCATAACTTTATATCGTTGGAAAGGGTTAAACGCCAGCATTTTTTTAAGTTCTTCGTCAACTACGATTTCCATTTAAAAAAATATATTTTTTATTATTTCTGACAAAAAGAGCAACTGACTACGCCACTGGATTGTGCTTAAAAAAGTGTCTTAAGAACGTTTTTAGAGAATTTTATTATTCCGCGAAATAAAAAAGTTATGGGCAATTTTCAAAATGGTAAAAAATTCAAAAAAAAACCGTATCTCTGTTGGCAGTGAAAATATCAACAGGCGGTTTACGCCATTAAACGTATCTCAGAAATCTAGCCCATGACATCTATGTCGGTTTTGCTCTATCTAGTCAGGAAATAGGTTTTCTTTGTTAAAACAGACTAATTTCGACCACCCTGTACCTTGTAATTTTGTACATATAAAAAGTAAAATATTTAGATTATAATTTTTTTAAAAATTACTCTGATTTAAAATTTCACAAATCAATTCGGCCCGGAAATACAACTGGTTCACCAAAGGTATAAAGTTGAGATGATTGAAATATAGTCAAGACAAGATAATGTTTAAATTATCCTTTGATAACGAATGGGAGGATCTTCCACAACGTTTGAACAAGAAAATTTCTGTCGAAACCGAAATTAAGGTTTTGTATTCAAAATAAATCCCGTTAACTAAACAAAAATACACGGACTTACTATCTCTGAAACCATTAATACCAAAGGACTATCATTCTTTTTATGTATATGACAACCGGCAAACTTGCCTTCTTGGCATGTTCACCAAGATGCCATCAAAAAAGTTTTAAAAATTTCAAGGATTGCTGAGTTTTTTGGAAAAAACGGATTTTTTTGAAAATCAATTTTATTTTTCCTGTCTTTCCTTTTTAGAAAATCAAAAAACTAGTTGCACATTCTCATAGCCACTTTATTAGGGCTATCTGAGAGTCAGACTTGTAGTAGTTTTGTTATTGTTAAGGTACCCAAAACAAAAAAAAGTATCATAAGTATCAAAAGTGTGGCATATCATTATACTCAGGAGACCGAGTTCTTTCAAAACCTGAAATAAAAAAGCAGGTCCGTATTTAAACAAAATTAAGTTGGCCTCTGTATCTCACAAATTATCAGCTAATTTGATCTAAAAATCAGATAGCCCTAATAAAGCAACTATGGGAACGTGCAATTGGTTTTTTGATTTTCTAAAAAGTAACAACAGAAAAAAATAAAATTGATGTTCAAAAAAATCCGTTTTTTCAAAAAACTCAGCAATCCTTGAAATCTTTAAAACTTTTTTAATGACATCTTATCCTAAAGTGCAACTGTGAATATCCTAAAGCGCAACTTTGCCCCCAATGTAACCATTTTCGTATCTATTACAGTTACCGAGAAACCAATGCTTGTACCTCGAATTTGTAGCACCCTGTAATAATAATGACAAATTAGAATTAAATTAAAGTACCCATTTAATAGAAATTTCAAAAGATTTAGTGAAATCTCCTGAACTATTGATAATTTATTATTAATCAAATTAATGATGATATTTTTGTTTTTTGGTTTTAGAGAAATGTTTAAAAAAATAAAAATAAATAATGGTAGACGAGAGCTGTTGTTCTTTTACAGTATTCACTTTTAATGTATTTTTCTTTTTTAAATTGGAATATTGTTTTATTGGGAATTTTATTTTTTTCCATAGATTTCCAACTATACCAGTGTGCCGTGTGTAGGGAACAGTTTGGCACATCGGGAGATTTTAAAACTCACCTCATTAATACCACCACATGCAAGAAACCTGGCCACAAGCCTTTCCAGTGTGCTCATTGTGACAGACAAGCCAAAACTCCAGCCGTGCTTATTGAACACATTCAATCTCATGGCGTCGAACGATTTATTTGTTCTCTATGCGACGAAAAGTTTACAACATTGTCTATTGTAAGGTAAGTAAAAGGTTTAATAATAAATAGTCTATTAACATTAAAGTCCAATCCAGGAGAGTTGACGTTCACATCATACTGAATATTCTAATGAATTAGAAAAGTCTCCCACAGACGTTAGTTTTTTTGTACATTACATACACCTTCTGTGCAAATTCTGATTTATGCAGGCATATCAGCACGTGCGTGGGAACTTCTAGCCGACTATTGTCTCTCAGCACTTTTTGATTATATCTCGATACCAAACAAAATTCTTTTGAACGGAGTGTAGTGATATTTCAGAAATAAATAAATTGTTTCAGGGCGCATATTAAGAATCGTCATAACATATACCATACGAATCTAGTGGCGACCGACAACACTAGAACCAACATTGAAACTGACTTCTTCGTGGTCAAACCTACTCTACTAAATACACCGAACACTGATGTAACTAGGACCAATATTAGTTCTCTGTCGACAAGTAATTCTATAGAGCAGTACACTCCGGAGCAGATTGATAGCATCCCGAACAGGCAGATATTTGGCAGCAATGTAAAATGTGGTTTGTGCAGCTATCAGACGAAAGTCAGGGTAAGAACACTAATTTTTTGTTACTCCTTATTAGATCCAAAAATACTCTAGGGTTTTGTGAAAAAAACCCTAGATCATGTATACTTACGTGGATAAGTAAATCACTATGGAAACTGTCGCAAACATATCAACGACTTCCATTTATCTTCTTTTTTTGTTGCACACGTGGTGCTTCTACTCTGTCTATCCTTGTCGAGGACCTATCGTTCACGCGCCAAATTGAACATTAATTTTAAAAATTTAATTTGTTAAACGCATATATTTGAACAATAAATTGAATGTTTACTGCCACAAAAATTAAATTATATAAAAATTACATTTAGCCACTCCGTACGAATATCAATATTCTTATGAAATCTAACCAGAAAGTATGCGTGTGGTTTAATATAAATAAAACAACAACTGAATATTTGACTTGCCTATAAAAAGATAATTCGGGACCTTTATATTAGAAATTCCGCACACCAAACACTTTCTAGTCATTTTTACGGGTACATAATTTAGAAAGTCCAACAAAAAAAAAATAGAAATATAATTGCACAAACTTTAGAATTTAGAATAAGTGGGAGGGGGGTTAATCTCTGCGACCTTAGAGATCTATTGTGTCCCCCTTTCTTGAGTTATAACTCATCATACAGTCCTAGGACTTCCTACGGAGACCCGTGTCCCTCACAGTCGAGGAGCTACGACCCAGGCCGGGTAGACGAAACGGTAGCTTGTGTCGCCTGTTGGATTTAGAGGTAGGAGGTAGGCTCCCGACCCTTGGAGGAGATGGTAGCTTGTATGCCACTTGCGGAGGATGGTCTCACGCAAGTGTCAGCCACCTCTCCTGTAGTTCTCTTTGGGTTTGGCCCCTTGGAACTTTCATTGTTACTGTTCCCAGTGTTGCTAGGGGGTTTCCCCACACCTTCACCGGTGATGTTTTTATTACTATTATTACCAGATCTCATAGTGTTTCTATGAGTCGCTAGGGACAGTCGGTCCACTTCTACAGAGCCCCGCATGTAGAAGTAAGGGGTAAAATACAATGGGGTGCCCCCCGGTGCCCCAAGGTTGAGGCTGTCCGTAGCCCCGCCCGGTATCGTTATATGTCTTGGTGCAATTCCCTGGCCACGACACTACAGTCAGGGACAAGACGATGAGTGAGATGCTTCTTATGGTGGGTTCATACAGCCAAATAAAATAAAATAAGAATAAAATAAAATAAGAAATAAGGAATTCTTATTTGTGTGCGTTCATACAGTCAAATAAAATAAAATAAGAAATATATATTTGATCATGCGCAGTACGATGAGGCTGGATAAAAGTTAACTTTTACGATTGTTTATAGTAATTTTACTATTTATAGTATATTTATTTATTCGTTGCCTACTATATTATACATTTTACTTATGTGAAATTATAAAATAAATTAAATCCAAACTGAAAATATTTGTAGGTTAGAATTAAGCGTGCGCAAAGCCGTTTTCACATAAAATAAAACAAGAAGTTAAAAGATAAAGACTTCTTATTTTATTTGTTATTTTATTTGGCTGTATGAACGCATGTACGGTATCCCATATAACCAACTTTCTTATTTTATTTTATTTTATTCTTATTTTATTTTATTTGGCTGTATGAACCCACCATTAGACCAAGCCAAGTGCTAGAGGGGATTCCCCCCAGCACCTGACCAGGAGCTTCCCCACCAACGACAAGGTCTTGCATCTCCTAGGGGAAGATTGCACAAACTTAAAATTAACTTCTCACTGAACACACTTCGCATCCTTGGCTATATAAAAGCGGTCGATAAAAAAGTAATTAATACAATTTTTATTAAAATGAAAAACGCAAAAAACAAGCGTTACACATGCGTACACAATGGAAATAAGATTATGACATTTAATTATGACAATATGATGACAATGAAAAGTTGGTTTCCATAACAATGTATAATTCGTACTTTCTAAACCATGGTACAAAGAAAACAAGGTATGATCGATAGCGGCTCCAATTTCGTTCAGTTTGTGCATACCACCTGTGACGTCATATGCCATACAAAAATATCCATATTGTCCAGTTGCCATTAATAAAAAAAGACATAAAATATGGAAGAATTAGGACATAATCTCAAAAGTTATGTCAAATCATCGAGCTTGACATTTGAAAAGTTATGGCACATTTATTATGTGTCATCTGTTTGACAATTTGAAATTGGCGCGCGGAGCTTGCCGACCAATAGTGACGTTTATCACCTGTGACGTTGTTCTCTTTGTATCATGTTTCTAAACAAAGTTCTAAACCGTAAAAAATTGTCATTAATTTGGAAATACGTGCAACTTTTAATGCGCATGCGCAATGTAAGGTCCTCGGAAAAGACAAACCTATTGAACGTTTCATAAGTGCAATAAAGAAGGTTTGAAAATGGCATGTCGTGATGTCGTGTTGTTATATATATATATATATATATATATATATATATATATATATATATATATATATATATATATATATGATCTATGGAAAAAACCCTGTGTTTTTTGTTACTTTGTACTCTGTACTAGAGATGCATGAATTAAATCCATATTTTTGTAGTGTAACAATGATTTGGATGTATGTTAATTGTTCTGGTTTTACGTATTAGGTGAATATAGTAAGACATCTCCAGATGCACGCCGATGAAAAGTCTGTTCCAGATACGGCGCCGGTCAATCCAGTGCCGTGTTTGGAGAAGAATGAAAAAATGTTTGATAAAATGATCAATCTTGCCGCCAGTTCTATTACAACAGGCAGGATGGGAGGACCTAAATCTGGTAATTTTTTATTATTGTGTATTTTTTAATGTAAACTGTATACAGGGTCCGATAGTAGTGCGTCGGGCATCTATAGCTCCTAAAATAAAAATATAGGAATTTTGTGTGCAGTTCTAAAGGATACAGGGTAGTCCGAATTGTATTCCGGAAACTTCGGCAGCATATTGTGGAGATAAAAATATGTAACAAACTTCGTATAAATGTATGTCCTAAAATGCTTGGTTTCGGAGATATAGGTTGTAGCAGTTTCATTTTTATTTCGGTTTTTTCCAAATAATTTTTGAAGCAACGTCAATATTTTGAGGAGTTTTTGACATGAGAAATTTGATTTTGATATCAATATAACTCCTATTTGTAGGGGGCGCCACCTACATGTGTATTAACTGTTTTGAAGAGTAATAACTTTTCGTCCGTACGTGTATAACAGTGAAAAAATATACATTTCCGTGATTTTCTACGTAAAAAATGTCTCTTGGTAAAAATCGCTCCGAGCAACCGTTTTTGAGATATTTAGAATGGAAAGAGTCAATACATGTCATTCTTGACAAAAAATAAAAGTGTTGGGTAAATAATTTTATTTGACTCAATTGATAAATTTGGGAACTTTTTGTTTTTTTAAATTAGTAATAAATTTTTCTTCGAAAAAATGACGATAAAACAGTTTCTGTTGAACTTTTGGCACAAAAACATTTCAAATTTTTGATTTCAGTCTAATAACTATTAATTAACATGTTTATTTATGTCAATGATGACAGGTATTGATAATTTCGATTCAAAATATCTCGAGAACCATTACTCGTAGCGATTTTTACCAAGAGACTTTTTTTATGTAAAAAACGTCGTTCATGTATATTTTTTGTAGTGAGTACGTTTATACAGGTACGAACGAAAAGTTATTACTCTTCAAACCAGTTAAAAAATATGTAGGTGGCGCCCTCTATAAGTAGGAGTCTTTGGTAGGAGTCATATTGACATCAAAATCAAATTTCTCATGTCAAAAAACTCCTAGACACCAATTTTCATCCAAATATTGAGGTTACTTCAAAAATTATTTGAAAAAAATCGAAATAAAAATAAAATTTCTACACCCCGTATCGTATACGAACTTTTTTACTTATTTTTATGTGCAGAATATGCTACTGAAGTTTTCGGAATACAGTTAGGACCACCCTGTATATTTTTTTATTTATTTATTAATATCTCTAAAACTATCAAAACATATTTAATAATATATTAATTATATAAAGTGATAAGAAAGGAAGCCAAAAATGTAATAATATATATGGTGTCCCTTTTAAAAAAATTATCGCGATCCAACTTTTTGAGCCAGCTTTATTGTTTTTTACTAACTGTCTCATATAAAATTTTCCAATATGGTGGAACAAAACTTCTCATATGTTTGATTATTAACCTTACAGATAAAGAAGAAGAAAAATATCCCGAATTTGTTGCTACGCATTGTCGATTTGTATGCTGCGCACAAGGGTGTTCGTACTTGTGCCCCGAAGAAGGCAATCTCAAGCATCACATGATGGCCCTGCACAGGGACGAAACTAATTTCACATGTGCTCATTGCAAATGTGCTATTTTACCTTGTGATGCCGAGACAGCTATCAAACACTTTAAATTGCACGGACTGCATCTCTACAAGTGTCAGTATTGCAGTGTCCTGTCCCACCTGAAGCACAAAGTGGAAAAACACATCACAGATAGCCATGATGGACCAGTCAAAGTTATTACGATCAGGTAATGCAATATCATTACAGTTGGGGGTTGGAATTTTGTATTGTATTTTAAAGCAAGCTTTTTAAAGTTAGTAAATAATTACATTATTTTATTTTCAACGAATTTAATTACTATTAGCATCTATTGAATCAGCGTAAAACAAATCCAAAAATTATGGATTGTATTCTACGTTAAAATACATCCTTAAGAGTCTATTATTACGCTTACTGTTCGGGTCGCCCTCAGTGGTCTGGTAAAGCGGGTGTGTGACCGAAGGTAATATATATTAGTGATGGGAAAAACCGACTAATTTCAATAATCGAGTACTCGAGTATCAAGCGATTGCAATAACCGAGTGATCAGTCGAGCGAAATATCGCTCGTATTTAAAAATACGGTTTTTTGTCCGTCGCATGTTGTAAGTACTCGTTAACGCCTAGCGCCAAGCAGTAAGCTGCGTGCGCAGGGCACATATTCTTTCGGTAATGAACGGCAAGTACTAAGCGGCGAGCGATTCGCTTGATCGCCTGATTTAGTTTATTTCGAAGCATTGTGGATGTAGGTCGTAAAATTTTGTCTCTCAGACACGCAACGGATAAATATACCGGGTGCGTCTCAAAAGTGGACACCCCTATAACTTTTTTATTTTTTCAGATAAAACAACGAGATTTGGTAAGTTAGTATATGACATAAATTAGGATTGATTGACATATTCAATTGTTTTCGGTCAGTTCTGGTTTCATCGGAAATGACTGCAACTTTCGATTTTTAAATCGCACCTTCCGTACTTTTTTACTTTATTCGGTAGAAAATGCCACTCTGAATAGAATGACATATCACATATCAACTTTTGACATTTTCGCATAATGTTTATTTGAAATTGTAACATGCGGTTCATAACGACAATTTGACTCGAAGTACCAAGTGTGTGGTATCAAATTATTCGTAAAAAAATCTTTTTCGAAATATGCTAATAATCCACCCTCGTTCCATTTGAAAAAAATTGAGATATGATCAAAAATACGATTTGGGCATCTTTTAACCGGCCAGGGCAAGACACTAAAAACATTAGACGATCAAATCTATTTTTCCAATGCTCCTTGATTAAAAATTAGTGTTTTTAACACAGCCATGGCACTCTAAATTGAAATTTAAAATAAATTTGTTTTTAAGCGAATATGTCAAAAGTTGACATATGATACGTCATTCTATTTAGAATGTCATTTTCTATCGAATAAAGTAAAAAAAAATACCGAGGGTGCCATTTAAAAATCAGAAATTTCCGGTGAAACAGGAAGTGACAGAAAACAATTGAATACGTCAATCAATCCTAATTTATGTCATATACTAACATACCAAATCTCATTTTTTTATCTAAAAAAATAAAAAAGTAATAGGGGTGAGACGCACCCGGTATATACGGCGTCGTATAAATTTGCTACCTGCAATGTATGTAGAAAATTCGCTCGACTTTTTATCGAGTAGGTCACATTAAAATCGGATTTCAATTTATTTCATTCTAGGATCGCTTGGAATTCTAGCTCGTCACTTGCATCGCTCGTTTATAAAAAAAAAACAAACCAAACCAATCCTTTATCTTTAATTTCTTTCTTAATTTGTGTAAAAATACCTAGCCAGTTTTACATAAAACGTTAAATGCCGAACGCTTATTTTGCTACTTTTTTTTTCGGACTAGTGAAATGGACTTTTAATAAATTTTAACTTTTTAAAAAATCAACTGGTCAACTGGAAGTAAGTCAGTTCTTAGTAGTTTCATTCATTTAAAGTCAACAATAATATGACTTGTTGATAAGGAATTAATTTAATCAATCTTTTAATCAACCTAACAGTTTTTGCTTTTCTAATTTTTGTTTTTTGTTCATTAGATATATGGAGTCTGAACCTGTAGAAGGCGAAACCCTTGAACCATCATTAATAACCACTCCAAAATCTAAACCCTGGCGATGTTGCATGTGCAAAGTAAAGTGTGCGACCAAAGAAGATATTCACGCTCACATCGTAAACAAGCACGAGGTAGACGCTCAGTACAAATGCACTTTGTGCACATTCAAAAACGACAAGGAGGAGAGCTTCCAAAAGCACTTTGACGAAGAACATCCGGGACATAACATGGACATAATCTTCGTCTACCATAAAGTGGAGGATGATGTGCCCAAAGAGGATAACTTTGACACCACGCCCCTGTGGCAAAGGGACAAACCAAGAGTGCGGCACATACGAGGTATATTGTTCGACGAGACATCCCCTCCACCTGCTAAAGTGCAAAAGAAATCTGTCAAAAGTTCGCCGATATCGAAAGCTCCTGCCCAGAATAGCGACCACCAAAAAGTTTCGAAGACTCCAGTCCAGAATAGCGATCCACACAAGAACTTGTTGGATAGTATCGATGCCGTGGCCAAAGGAACTGATAGTGTTCATAGAAGCCCTGTTGTAATAACAGATACACAGAGTGAGATGGTCACAAAAAGTTCGAAGTCGGCAACTAACGAAATAAAGGAGCCAAAGCTTGAAGAGCCAACTGAAAATACTCGTCTGTCAACCGATGACGTCCAGATAATTCAGCCGCCTGTAAATGTCATAGGTACGATTGTTATTTGTGCTAAACATTTTCAAAACGTATAGATTATTTCACATTTTTATCAATACGTCGGCTGAAGAATGATAATCGATTTAGCGAGATCAAGCACTTGACGTCATTCGTGGCTATTTTTTAGTGGCGCTTACTCCCAGTTTTCTTAGGAGGGTTGTTAGCCTAAGAGCTGACGACATATTTAGAGAACATATTTTAGGTAAGCTAGAATAACTAAAAATGTATAGTTTATTAACTGGTGAACCCAGAATCCTAAGTCTGGCTGGGGGTTGGGGGTATTTTGCTACTGCGCAACCCATAACATTTGCCTAAAATAAATCCAAAAAACATTCTTTAGGCAACTTGAAATTTGTTTATTCTTAAATTTTAGCATCTATTTAACCTAGAAATAAGTATGCCCGACTTTTTTTTCGGGTTTAAAATGTAACCCGACCATTCCAAATATGTTTAATTATTATACCTGGAAAACATACTTTAGGCATTCTAAAATTTTTACAGCGTGTTTATTAGATGTTATTAAAAATATGTGTTAATTGCCAGACGAATTCAATGGGATTTAATACTTGCCAGACGCGAATAAAGATTTTTAACGCGATAACAGCATTTTGGAGTCGTAAAAATCTAAAAAATTAATATTGAATAAATAAAAAGAAACTATTGAGACACGTCGCGTCGTCGGCCGATGCGGCTGACGTAACAGCATTTTGTATCTGAAAAATCTAAAAAGACGAACTAATTATTTAAAAAAGCATAATATAAAATATTTTTTTTAAAACAAAGTATAATTATTATTATACTTTTTGTGACATTATATTATTATTAATTTTTGCGACCTGATTGACAATATAAAAAAAGTCATTTTAACGCCTAAGCATAAAAGTAAAGCACTTTTACTTACTTTTGAATCTATTTAGAAAAATTAACAATGGTACTTTAATAAAATTCCAGAATACTTATTTTTTTAGCACTGTACATGGTACCCTTTTGTCGGGATTACGTTTTCTCGTAAAATCACTTCTTTAAATTTTAAACCATGTTGTTGGCGCACTTTTAAAAATTCTTTGCATTTTTGTAGTCTGCCTTCATCAAAAACAATAACTTTGTCACTAGTAACTTTTTTACAAACTACACAACTTAAATGTTTTTTATCCATTGTGATTTAGTAGTTAGAAGCGAAATTAGTAGTTACTAAAATATTTATTTGCAGTAATTATTCTAAACTATTTACACTATGCACGTCAATATTTAATTTATAAATACATATTTGTACATGGTTACTTAATTCCAACAAAATTATCTCTGAATTAAAACCCTCATAAGATTTTTTTCTGGCGCTCATTTAAAATCTTTATTTGCGTCAGGCATGTATTTAAACCCGTTGAATTCGTCTGGCAATTAACACATATTTTTTAATATCATCTAATAAACACGCTGTAAAAATTTTAGAATGCCTAAAGTATATTTTCCAGGTATAATAATAATTAAACATATTTGGAATGGTCGGGTTACACTTTAAACCCGAAAAAAAAGTCTGGCATAATTATTTCTAGGTTAAATAGATGCTAAAATTTAAGAATAAACACATTTCAAGTTGCCTAAAGAATGTTTTTTGGATTTATTTTTTTGCAAATGTTATGGGTTGCGCAGTAGCGAAATACCCCCAACCCCCCAGCCAGACTTTAGGATTCTGGGTTCACAAGTTATTAAACTTTATTTTTTTTTTGTTATTCTAACTTGCCTAAAATATGTTCTCTAAATATGTCGCTAGCTCTCCGGCTATGTATGTTATTTTTATATCGAGAAAAACAAATTTGAAAATAGATTTGTGTGTCTGAAAACGTTTTCCTTCTTTTAATTTTTCTATAATCAGTGTTAATTGTTGACAAGTTTTTTTTTTAGTAAATGATATCTAGAGATTGAATTCACCTAAATTATCATCGATTGTTATTTCCCAGCCGTCTTTGACGCCGTTTTTTTAATTATACGGTCTAATTTGTCGAGAGAATGAATATGTGACAATAATAGTTGTCTGTCAATATAATTCGATGCGATGTTTTTTCTGTCAATTTTGGATGGTATTCGTCGAAATCAGTGAATGAACAGAATGTTTAGTCATGGTTCAACGTCACATATATTGTTGAACTCTCAGTCATTTGACAACCAGATGAAAGAGATTGGTCATTACTGTATTTCGTTAATTACTGCATATTTTTTTTAGTAATTGTCATTGTAATTTGGTTTGGGGTTATTATTTTATTGACGGACATCGATCAATGTCATAATTAAAAATCGATTGATGCTGTCAAACAAAATTCATTTTTTTTTAAAAATACGTCAAAGATTTAATCAAAACGAACAAGAGCTCATTGATAAGCTTATAAATTATTTTTCTTGAGAAAGAGACGCTGGTAGAACACTCTTGGTCCGTGGGCACCGTATAAAATGTAAGTACAATGCAAATATGTAATAGTAAATTATAAAGTGATAGCGTTTTTAAATAACATAGCGAGTTGCTGATGCTTTAGAAATAGGAATTTCAACAGTCTAAAAGATTGGAACTAAAGGGATCGTAACTGGTGAAGAGTTCAAGAAAAAAATAATAAATGCCGAAAAAAGAAATTGTACCCACTCAATCAATAATGTAGGAACGTACTTAAAATTTTCTAAATGATATGAACTGCTCTCAGATACACCCTAAAACTCATATTTTACGATGACGTAACGTTGAACTATGGCTGAACAGTCTTTATATACATTAGAATTCTATACATATTAATAGACCATTGTTTATTTTGGATCCATAAAATAATATTTAAGAGAATTCTACTAGGATAAAAGCTAGTTTCATACAATTAAAATGTTGGTACAGGGTGTTCCAAATCATTTCCAACAAATATGGAACATTTTTATGGTTTTTTAAATAAAGTTTACGCTGAATTTCTTTAGTATGCCCAATAACAAAAAAAAAATCATTTTGACATATTTCTTGGGACATTAACTGCTATTAGCAATTTATTAAATTTTACTATGCAAAAAGTGGTTAGCAGACAAAATATTAAAAACTTTTTTTGTAATAACCCAGTAATATATTTTTTTCATTTGTACTGGAACTTTTTAGCGCACCCTGTATAGGCTTTTGACAAGTTTAATGATTCTTGAGACGGGTTTTAATAACGATTGATCTTTAATTTTCAGTATTAGATTCTGACGAGAGTGACACTGAGAACGGCACGCCCTCAACTGCTAAGAAATTAGATGATCCAGGTTCACTAAAGGAATCTGTATCTAATTCTAAATTGGAAAACTCAGAAGCAGAGTCACAGGTAAATACCTAAAAGTTTTCAGTTGGCTGACTACAATTAACCCACCATAAAGATATAGAAGCTGACAATGTATTTTTTATTTTTAGAATGTAAGATGCTCGAAATACCATTTAACAGCACTGTATGGAGGTTTTGGCACCCCTCACAAGAGGCAGTGGAGATGCCCAAAATGTCATTCGTTTAAATCTAGAAGGGTGGCCGATTTTTTCTTTCATATTTTTAAGGATTTTAACGTTTTTAGGTAAGTTTAGTTGACAAAATAAAACTTCTTACTAACAGCTATTAAATTGGAGGATTTGAAGTATATATATTTTTTTATGAATGCTTTTTATAAACTTCAAATAAATTAGAGTTAATATAAAACCGTATACTATTCTAGCTTTATAATTTTATAATTTCTTTCTTCTATCACTCAGCCGGATAGCCTGGCAGCTGCGGCCATTAAACCAAAATGCTACTACATCTATATTTCTGACTACTACTAACTGCTACCACAGATTATACAGATTATAAACTTATCGTCAAAAGCATTGCTTTTCGTGGTTCCAATTTTCGGAGTCGCGCACTAGTTAGGCTACTAGTTTGCGTACAAGCACGCCCACATATGGCCTCTAAAATTGTGCACAGCGCCTGACTGGCCCAGTTATTACGCTGTTTAACCGGGAGTTTATTTTTGCGCACAAGAAAATTTACTCGTTTGATTATCGTCATAAAAAACAATTTTCGTACCTCGAATTAGGGACAAGCTTTTTATCTGTATACTTATAGTATACCTAATCTGTGCTGCTACTAACCAACAATTTGTTTTGTGTGGTTTGTTTTTGTTTAAATTTTTGTTCATTATTCATGTTGGGGATTTTTAAAATTAATGTTAATCGTTAGGCAACTAGTATTTTTTTGCATAATCAAAATTGTCGCTCTAAATTTTACATAGCCAAAATGTTACTCTAAATCGCTGTCTTTTTTTACACAGATGTCACTTATTGTCTTGTCATTATTCAATTCATTATTCGAATTCTGAGAATGTTGTTAACAAAAGTTTCATCTTAAAATAAAATTTTATCAATCACTATTGCTTTTCTCCATCTTTTACCGGATTAATAATACAGAAATTACAGTTCGGTTACAAACAATTCATTATTTATAGTGATTTACAATTTTATTAAATTATATTAATATTCTCGTTGATTATTGGTTTGCACTATTATTAAAAATTTCTCAAACTGTGTCTATTTATTTTATTTATCTTTGTTTGAATATATACTGGAGGTACTGAAATAATTATATTTTTTTAGGTACAAATGCAAACTGTGTTGTGACCTTAGTATTTCATTCAAATATATGTTGGATCATATCAAGCAACATCCGGGAGTGACGGAGTCGATAATTGAGGCCTTACCACCCCACGTCAAACTAGAAACTTGGATTCACATGGTGATTAGGGAACAGAGTGTGATGATCCTAAAGAATTACACGCCTATGCCGAAAAAACCTTTGGCCGGCGAGACAGGGTTCAAATGCCTATTTTGCGAAGAAAGGTATGTACGATCTTTAGGTTATAAAATAAGTTAGATTAAATCTTTATGCCACGTCAGTGTCTAAAGAATGCAAGGAGCAATAACACCCGAAAACAAATTGCTATTTGTCTCCCAACAATGCTGTGTCAGAGGGTTAATAGAAACATGCAGAATTAAATTGGAATTTTTTTTCGGGCATTTATTTTTCGGATTTTACGAATAATTTGGTACCACACACTTGGTACTTGCGTCTAGCCGTACCGTGCAACTCTTCAACTCCAACCCGCAGTTCCCTCCAAATTTAAATCGTGGGTTATTTTCTTGTCTTTTATTATAAACTTGTAACTTTCGAGAGTCAGTTCTTCAGTAATAGTACCATAATTTAACCTAAATTTCAAAAACGTACAAATTATAATAATATATAACAGTTCTACAAAATCGATCGGGTATTTCGTGTGCTATCTATAAACAAAAAAAACTTACCCCAGAGACTAACCTACGTAATCAAAATACGCCTAACCAACGCAATCAAAATACACCTACGGCGTATTTTATAATATTAAGACATTTTTTTGATATTTCGAAATTGATCTTAACTAAATTTTCTTGTTTTTTTTTGTCATTATTGCGATTAGTAATGTTAGTATATTAATTAAACACTACAAGATAATGAACGTCTTAAAGCAATACTACAATATGATCGAAAAAAAAAACGGCTACAGCGATGGCTATGAAATGAAGATCGCTGTCATTTTATATGTAAAATTATATGGGGTCATCGATCGTCAATTCAAAACCAACTTTTAAAACTGCCGTCATTTCGTTAATAATTATCGTGTCGTGCTGATTTTTGCATAGCAATACTCATGAGTCTTTAGCGCTTCCGACAAGCCTAAATAACTGGATTATTTTTTATATTTTCGATTTGGCAAAATATACGTAATCGAAATACGCCTAACCAACGCAATCAAAATACACCTACGTCGTATTTTGATCGGTCTTACCGATACCTCTAAATAAAAAAATAAAGACAGCTTTAAAATATAAAAACAGGTGTAAAAAAATTGAAAAAGTGCTACCTCGGCCGAGAATCGATCCACCGGAGCTGCGTTAATAAAGAGATGGGTATGTACGTCAATCATAGCCACAATAGACTGTAATTTTACCTCGTCACGAGATTTTTTTGGAAATATTGCACTTACATTTATCCAGATTTCTACTAACTTTTGACCTTCTTTTCGGTCGCATTTCCCTCTATTTAATAATAAATAATTTAAAAAAAAACGCACAAATACTACTGGTGGTAAACAAGCGGTGGCAAAAATTTTCTATACTCCATGTAAACAAAAGACTATCCCAAATACTGTCTTTCGACTTTGGATTGACGTACATAGCCATCTCTTAATTAACGCAGCGCCGCACAGTGGAACGAGCTTATGGGAGCGGTTGGACATGAGGATTTCTTCTCAGCACTTTTAATCCAAAAGACGAAAAAATGATTTTTATATACCGTAATAATGTATAAACAGAACAATTTTAAATTTTAATGAAAGAAAGTGGTTGGCTCATTACAAACCATCCACAGGGTGACCTAAAAATATAGTATGTTTTGGAAAAATCTTAGAATTTTTAAATGCTTATAAACTTTGCCAAACTGTTGTGGAATGTTTTAGTTTTAATCTTTTTAAAAAGAAATAGCGTTAGATTTTACCACTGAGATCTAGGACTACTGATACCATGTTATAAAAATATGGTAATTAAGGGCTTATATTTTCCTATTTAATATAATTTTGCTAATATGTTCGGTTTGAAAAAAGATATCAAGATGCGGTTTTCACTGACTTTTTAAGCTTTTATTAGTCTTTACTATCAGCTAAAATTACATATATTATCGCATTTTTTTGAAAAAACGCGCAATGTTTGTTAATTGTAAGACAGCGCCCCGTAGCGTCTACGTTCAAAAGCTTACTATTATTTTTTGTATGTATAATATAGAGTAAGAAACGCTCTTTTAAATGAGCCCCCGCTAGTTGGATTCCGTCCATCCAGTCCGGAGTTATTAATATTTAAATAAAAACAGATCTAACTTTCCCCTACCACTTTATTTTGGCATATAGCTACATGGCTAACAGAAAATATTCAGAATTTACTAAAGATTATGAAGCTATTATTTATACTACCCTTTATCTAGGCAAAATTGTGTAAAAACTCCATTTTCTTATTTTTTATAGCAGTTGTGCCCTCTAGCGGCCATTCTACAAACTTGAAAATAATTTCCAGCAATTTCTCATGGCCTCTTTAGTTATGAATATTTTTTTCCGCCGGCCTCACGGCTAATACTTTCCGAGATATAGCCGAAAGCTATTCTTAGTCGGACACCCTGTACAATTAATTATAAGCAAAGAATATAACAGTACCTAAATCAACGCACTAGAATATTTTTATTACAAATAAAAAAGCTCAACACTGCACTTTAACCCGCTTTCTTTTTCCAACAGTTTATAAGTTTTCCATGTATTTGTAGCAGATACAGGGTCTGTTTTTGATTTAAGCGTCATTTTGTATTTATCCAATTAATAATTACATATTAATATATTTATAAAAAAATAAAGATAATTTGACTCTAAAAATTTTAAATTAATTTATTGGAATTGAAAACTTTTTTGATTTTAATATAGCATGTATTAGTAATATATAAAATGAAAATGTTTAGAGGGGGGCAACCTGGGGCAAGATGTTAAATTAGTTTCGTTATTAGAAAGGCTTAATCTACCTTGTGACATATATAAAGTCTTGGCCAACTTTGGCCATTTTTTTATTTTTCTACATACACATTTTTTTGCTACTAAATATAGTATTTAGTAGCAAAAAAATGTTTATGTATCTCTTATATACAATTATTGTTCTCCCAACTTTTGTGACTATATATATCTTTTATTTTAAAGTGAAAACAATCGTTTGCACTAATATGTATGGTTAAAAAAAAGTATTAATGTCTTTGCCACTTTTTATAAAACTAGGTTGTTTCACAAGAAATGAACACCATAATTAAGTCAGTGTAATATCTTCATTTGAAACTTTTCAAACAGACATATAATTAAAAATATTTTTTTGAGTTGGATAAGATATAATGGTCTGGACTTTAAGTAATTAAAATCTTCTACCAAAATTATTTAATTTAAAATTTTATTTTTAAGTCAATGTCCAACATTTTATATTAGGTCTTTCCACCGTGCGCCGCCGCCGGTAGCTCTCGCAAAAAAGCCGCATAATTCAAGTTTTTTTAAGCTAAAACAATGCAATATTTTGAAAAAAGAACTACATTATAACCAGGAGATATCGGCAATGATAATTTTCTTGTCAACTGATCATTGATCATAGTTCAGAATTTATTTTCTGTAAAAATAGCGCTAAAACTAAAACCAAAGCTGAAAGTTCGCTAAGAACAGCGAGCGTTGTATTGACCATTTTTTTATTTATACTCGTTATGTTGACCACATAAACACACTGCTGTCCATTATGTAGGTATATTGTATTTTAGAGGGTATTATACGCAAGTAATTTAAGCAAGTGAAAAGTTAAATTCATGTTTTTGTTTCAGATCCGAAACACTAGAGTTAGGCTGTGAACACATGCTCTATCACTGGCAAGTTGTACCATATGAGTGCGTATTTTGTACCGCACAATTTTATAACGAGTCTGATCTAAGGTCTCACTGCCAAAAAGAACATGGTAATTCTCATATAGTTGTGATGCCTAAGGGTCCCGTTTTACACCAAGTTATCAAAGAGATCGAACTGTCGTACAAAAGAGGTTTGGAAGTTAGCGATGACAGACCCGCGAAACGATCGAAACCAAACGACCCGGAAGTCATTAAGATCGACTCCGACGATGACTTGCTGGTCGTGTCAGCGACGGACGAAAATTTAGTTTACTGTTGCGAGCTGTGCGCTTTCATGTCCGGCACGGAGCCTTTGATGCAACAACATTTGTCCGAACAACATTTCGTGAGCGTGCCTAAGTTTCACATAGTCAAAAAGAACATGGTGACCGATAATTTGAGGTGTAATTGGTGCCCAATCTCCCTTCCCGAAATTGAGCTACGCGATCACTTTATGATAAACCATCCCGGCCAGTACTTTATTCCCTACAAGTACCAGTGTAAACACTGCATCAGAAGGTACATCAACGTTGCCAAAATAAAGCAGCACTACACCAAGTCCCACCCGGAACGACGCAACCCGTTCCTGAACCATGCGGATGCGGAAAACTTGCGGCTCTACAAGTGCTCGCTTTGTTCCTATACGGCAATTCAGAAATTACCGATCCTCATAAAGGCTCACATGAGAAGTCACTTCAGGCCTTTAAAATGTAACCACTGCGGGGTGTTGTTTAAGATGATGAGGTTTGTGAAGTTGCATCACAGCAAAGCTCATCCCGATTTAGAGTTGGATGTGGAAACGAATGCGATAATGATGGCTGACTATCTTAAACACGTGGATGAGGTCGTTAAAACGGCGACGTTACAATCTCAAACGGCGGTGGCGAAAAAGTCAACCGGAGCAAGCACTTCGATAAGTACTGCAGAAGAATATAGTTATTACGGTCTTCCAGCGGAGAAGATCGATTTGGGGAAGATCAATTCGACGTTTGAACTAGATGGACTGGAATATACTACTACAGTGGAAGATATGAGCAAAATGATAAATATTGACCCTTATGTCGACCTTTCAGATTGTAATGTAATACTATAAATCGATGAAACAGTGTCCATCACAGAAAAAAGCAAGACTAGAAGAGATAAAGGGTATTTCAGACTCAAAGTGTTAATAATAGTAAATTTATGAAAATGTCAGTCACAGACAGAGGCAATATATTATGACTCCAAGACTTTGTTCGCAAAATGTTAACAGCTCAGAAATAATGACTAGTGCCAAATTAATGAGCAAAAACGTATATATCGACCCTTATGTGGATGAAATGTTGTCAACGATTTGAAGCCAATGTTTTCCTTTTCCTGAGGGCTCAGAAATAACAACTACTATAAAAAAGGAAATGAGTTAAATAATTGAAGGCAATTTTTCATAGACTCTAAAGTGATAATAATTATAAATATATGCAATAGTTCCAATCATAGAAAGAGACAATGATTTATAGAGTCTTATTTGCAACTTGATTTGTGCTGAGAAATAATGACTAATGTAGAAGAAATGAGCAAAATTATAGATATCCACCGTTACATGGGCGTTTCAGACTGTAAAGTGGTAGATTTATAAATTTTAGAAATAGTGTCAAAATCACAGAAATAGGCAACAGCATTTGAAGTCATTATTTGCAACTTCATATGTGCTCAGAAATAATTTTAAGCCAAATTAAAAAAATAAATCTAATTATAGATATAGTTTGTCCCAGGGGAGAATACACTACAGTGACAGTTTATCGTTTTAATTCAAAAGTAAATTGTTTATTGTTTTTTTCAGTAATACGAAGTTATTAAAAAAATTGAATTTAAATAACAGATATTTGTGTATGTCATAAACAGGGTGTCAAAAAAATAATGTATCTAACTTCGGTGGGTGATTCTGCAGATAAAAATAAAACTTAAGAACTTACTAAGTTCATATGAACATATACTCTAAAATGCTTCCCGAAGAAATTACAGCCCTCGTAAGATCAAAATAAAAATAATATATTTTGTTTTTCTTTAAGAACATCATTGGTAAACCGTTTTTCTTGAAATTTGTTACTTTTGCACACATTTTAATGCCAAAGCGAATGGCGATAGTGTAAAATTCCGTAACAGCTATGAAAGGGTACTTTCCATTCTTGTATATAGGGAGTACTACTGGTGGTACTTCTTTTATCCTTAAAATACAGTAATTTCAATAAATGAAAATTAAAGCTAGGACTTTTTTATGTAAAAAAGGTGCTCTTCATTTAGTTCGAAACAGTCAACGGTTTTCAAGATATTTGCGTTTAAAGGTTTCGATGCATCGATTTTACTTTTTACTTTTTTTATTAGAGAAATCAGGAGATTAATTATTTATTTAAAATTTATTTACATTTTATCATTGTACTAATACTAAAATCGATGCATCGTAATCTTTAAACGCGAATATTTTGAAAACCGTTCACATTTTCGAACTAAAGAAGAGCGCCTGTTTTAAACTTTTAATAAAAAAGTTCTAGCCTCTTGTATCATTGGTTGAAATTACTTATCTATAAGGATAAAAGAAGTACCACCAGTACTACTCTTTACCCTAATGGAAAGTACCCTTTCAGTGCCGTTACGGAATTTTTCACAATCACCATTTGCTTTAGCATTAAAATGTGTGTTAAGAGTACCAAATTTCAGGAAAAACGGTTTACCGATGTTCTTAAAAATAAACAAAATATACTTCCCCAATAAATTAACGCACCACAAAAAATTAACCAAAAGTTTAAGTTAAGTTTTTGTGAAAACCACTTATCCGATTTGGACGATTTTTTTTTGAATGATAGGTTATTCTTTCCACAATGTTGCTATACTAACTGTATTTTGATAGGAATCCTTTTTATACTAATACCGGGTGTAGCAATTATAACGTGTTTTTTTAATAAAATTTGACAATTTAACATTTTTCCATTTTACTCACTAAAGTAAGTAGCAGGCTATGGAAAAACACGTATTACCAGTAAATGTCAAATAGAGATGCTAGTTTCTGTGCAAACTTGTAGACCATTAGTATTTCTGAGCTGAGTTTGAAGGGTCCGAGCTGTTACGAAACGTTATCTTAATTTTGAGAGTTTTAAAAAACGTTCCTGAATCGGATTGGTTCTTCGATTCCTGCCTTGTCCCGGCCTGCGACAATTACTCCCAGTATCTCTATACCGTTGTATAACTCGTGAAATGGTTGAGTGAGTTAAATTAAATCGTTCACCAATTCTTCGGTAGCTCCAACCTTCCTCAGACAATATTAATGCTTGAGCACATTCTTCGCCACTAAGATTTCTTGTTTCACGTGCACGTTGCATATTTTTGATATAATAAAAGGACGAAAACGACTGACACTGACAACAAGCATCTCTATTTGACATTTACTGGTAATCCGTGTTTTTCCATAGCCTGCTACTTACTTTAGTGAGTATAATGGAAAAATATGTTAATTAAAACCAATATTAAATCATGTCCTATAAAATGTGGTTTCTCGTGTAAAAAGGAAGATAATGAAGTAAATAAAAAAATAAAATGTTTTAACTTGATACTGTAACTGATCAACTCTACTGGGTGTCACAAATTTTATTAAAAAAACACGTTATAATTGCTACACCCGGTATTAGTCTAAAAAGGGTTCCTATCAAAATACAGTTAGTATAGCAACATTGTGGAAAGAATAACCTATAATTCAAAAAAAAAATCGTCCAAATCGGATAAGTGGTTTTGACAAAAATTTAACTTAAACTTTTGGTTATTTTTTTGTGGTGCTTTAATTTATTGGGGAAGTGTATATATTTTATTTATTCTATCTAGGGCTGTAACTTCTTCGGGAAGCATTTTAGGGCATATGTTCATAGGAACTTTTTGTTTTATTTTTACCTGTAGAATCACCTACCAAACTTAGATACACTATTTATTTGACGCCCTGTATATATTGTGTGGAAAATCACTGAAAATTATTTTACTTTATAGTTATATCACAGTAAAGTTCACTCAAAAATGATAGTAAAAAGACTATCTACTTTTTAATCAAAATAACTGTCATATGTTCTCTTGCTGGACATATTATTTTTATAGGATGATACTATGCTGTATGTACCGGTCTTCAAGATGATATTTAAGAAATTTATGAAGTGTTGCAAATAATGGTTTCATCAATGTAAAAAATAATTTAAAATTTCATGGTTTTGATATTTTTTTCTATGTGCATTTGACCAGCGGGAAAAACTGGCTTTTAATTATAATGTTAATCTGTTTAGATTAAACATTATTTGTGCCATTAAGTACAAATAATGAGATAAAAGGGGAGAACTTGGGATTATTTAAAAGTTTTTAGTTTCCTTAAAATTTCTAAATATCAGTTTTATTTGAAGCTACTAATAAGTGTTTAGATTTTTTGTATCGGCACAATGAAATAATGTTAAACACAATTTAGTTTAATTCTAAACAATTTATTTTTTATAAATCAAGTTATGTATTTATATTTTCGCTTATGGCAAATTTGAATTGCTTTAGTGTTTTTGTTTCTATATAACAAAGCAATTTCTACTTAGAAGTACGATTCAACTTATTTAAGCTAGTAGATACAGTAAATTTTGCTATTTTTTTAAAACCATTTAAAATGTTGGAATAGTTCTTGTTCCTTTTTGTTAGAAATTTGGTTAGGTTAAGTTACTCTAAGAAGAGACGTAAAATGCCGGTTGATACGAAAATAAACATTTATATTATCTGTGATTTCACTTTATATGTATAAGGTGTAAGAGGAAGACTGTAAATATATTTGTACAGTAATCAGTTTTAGCAGTATTAGGTTTAAATAGTTTAGGTTATACATCCTATTTTCTTTTTCTATATGAAAATAAAACGTTAATAAAGATTTTTTATGTCCTTTTTTATTGGTTTTATTTTTTTCATAGACCCTTTAAGATCTGAGCACTAACACTGTGACGAACACAGATTAAATTTGCGACAACCACAGGCGACAACATTCATTATATATGTTAGACTCATATGCCGAATTCGCCCATTGAGCGAAATAAATACTCATTTCGCGATATGATTAAATGATGCAATCAAAACTCTATTATTTATGATGAAATCAAAACTCTTTCGTGCAACTATATATTAGTGGTTATAAATAGTCTTTATATAACTTCTTTGCGGATGGGATTAATTTTCTTTTGATATAATATAACAACAGAAGATTAGCCCCCTCCGCATAGAAGTTGAAACCAATGCAATCAAAACTCTTTCGTGCAACTTTGTGGATGTATATTTATTTCGCTCAATGGGCGAATTCGGCATATGAGTCTAGCATATACATATAAACAAAAAATAATTAGAATTTAAATATAAGCAACGAAAATATGTCGATAATTGCCATATTTTCGTCACACAGTTAAAAACACTAAAAAATTCAAAATATTAAAAAATCGTGAGTTTTATCGAAAATAAAGTTTTCCATTGTATCTTAAAAGCATAAAATAATAAATGCATGGTGTTTCAAAAAAATGTGCCATCTCTCAGCAGTGGAGATTCCTTACGTAAAAATAAGATATGAAAAATATTTCTTCCAAGTGCTGTTTGCCATTCGAATGATTGGACTTGAACTACAGAAGAGAAGGGTAAAAGTTTCTATGAGTGCTACATATTTTATGCTAAAATAGTGCCGAGAGATTCACCAGGGACGTGCATATTGGATATTACTGGAATATTTTTCTAAAAACGTGCGCCACTGACTTTTTTCTCTTATTATCAAAATGTGTGGGCCATTTAATGCCGTTTAAAAGTTGTTTCTTGTTTCTTGATATTTTGTCCATTTCGATCTCCTCGATGAGATAAAAGCAATTTTATTAATTACTATTGATAAAATTAAAATAAATATAAAATTGATAAATTATTTATTTAATGTAATTTATTATTAAATTTTGAGATAATTACCCAAAGGCCGTTTTTTTTAAAGTTTTAACATCCTGTAACTTTAAAACTATGCATTTCCGCACAACTAGTTCATAGGAACTTTTTTTCATATATTTTGATAAGGAATCAATGAGTCTCATATTAACATTTTGGCAAGTTAATGACATTAAAATTTTTGAAGGGTTATTGCACAAAATAATTTAGGTTAGTCTGTGGTTATTACTATAATTGGTAAACAAAGTTGGTAAAGGGGGCAAATTAACTAAAGCCGGAGTCTCATGCATCCGAAATCCGATGACACGACGATCCGACGGTGCTCCTATTGGTCGAAATATTTTGACACCAATTTTTATCCGATATTTTTAACTAATTGTCCGACGTCGTATGAAGTTAAATTTTGTTTAACTTTTGTACGATATCGTGTGTTTTTTAACCTCACTTTTTTTGAAAACATTGGTTTTTAAAATCAAGTTTAGTGGGAAGTGGGCAATTTCGGGATATTTGGCGAGGAAGTTATTTTTATAAGTGTTTCTCCAATAATACATGGAATAATACATAATAATAATAATAATACATAGGAATGACAGGTCTAAATGTCACAACTGTCAAATTTCGGAACGAACTTTCGGATATATGTGACAGGCTTTTTTTATTTCACACGATACCTTCAAATTTCGGATGTCGTACCATCGGATTTCGGATGCATGAGACTCCGGCTTAAATTGCGTTCATTCTCATCTGTCATTTAATCTCATTGCTTAATCTCATCAAGGAGACCGAAATCGCTAAAATATCAAGAGACAACTTTTAATCAGCATTTAACGGTCTACACAATTTTGCTAACAATAAGAGAAAAAAGTCAGTGGCTTTCTTTAGGAACATTTTCCAATGATAACCTATTTGCATGTCCCCGATATATCGATACTTTTTTAGCATAAAAATATGTCACAGAGTAATCGTTATCCTCAAAATTTTATTCGAATCGCTAAAAGCACTTGGAAGAAAATTATAATAAAACGAAAAAAGATAACAACATTAACCCCCTGTATAAGCTATGAAACAAAGTTGAATCGGACCCATGTTGATACGAAAAATAAATTATATTTTTACATAAAGAATCTCCCCATGTATAAGCTGCAAAGTAGAGGTGGGTAAAGGTTGAACGAGTATTAAAAATGAATCGTGATATTCGATTCACTGCTTAGAATACGGTTCATTCAATCGAATCGTGGCCAGTACGGACCCGTAAAATATGAACGATGAGCTGTAAAAAAGAGTTAGAATCGAATCAGATCACAATGCGATCGTTCGTTTCTACGGCTCGTTCGTTCAAAGTCATGAGAATTGATTACAATATGGTCCGTCCAACTGAATCGTGGCCAGCACGAGCTCGGGTCCATACAATTTGAACAATGAGCCGTAAAAAAGAATCGTAAGAATTGAATGGGATCACAATGCGACTTTACGTTTGTTTCTACGGCGGTGATATAGGCATAGAGAGAGTCGGGCAATATTTAGACTTGAACGAAAGCCCTATACAAACATCATGGGTATAAAATGCAAAATATAAGAAAGCTATTTACAGGAAAAAAAATTATACTGTGCTTAGTACGGGAGTATCTGTATAATGCATTTAATTTTAACGTTAATATTTTTGTTAAAATATTATTTACGGACTATAAACCATTAAATGTGGGACCCTATATAAAAAAAGAAACCGTCATCTTTTTATGCAATTTTATATAAATATGGCCTCTGCTCAATATGATAAAAAAACGGCGTTGGCGATGGTTATGAAATGAAGATCGCTGTCATTTTATATGTAAAATTTTATGGGGAATGTAATCGATGTTCATTTCCATCTGAACGCCATTTTTTTCGATCATGCGGTATTGTATACTATTTATTACATTGTTATTAATCGGAATTAAAATATGCTATAAAATTATTAAATTAGTATATTAAGAAGTCTAATAAATAATAGTATATACTAAGGGTCGGCATTTCTGGTCTTGGGTGCCGGTTTTCATGTAAAATAAGATGTACTGAATAAAGACAGAAGGCGAGTATTTTCCCAAGCGCATGGAATCTAGCGTCAGATTAAGTAGTTATGTAATAAATACTTACTATACTTACATACTTATAAATACTTACGTGTTTTTGCTTACTCCGACTTACTAGATTGCCATAACGACTCACTCCTATACATGTAAACGCCGGCCTAAAGGTTCGCTTGCCAGCCGGGGTATGAATTGGATTGATAATTTAATATTATTGGTAAAAAAATCAAATCCAATTACGCCAGTGCCTGTTTATTTCTTTTTCTGGTCCATTAATTAATTGTACGACCAAATTATCGCCCGTAGTGGCCAGCCAGTTACGATTCTTGTTTTTATGAAACGTAAATTGTGTATGTGGTCCGTTCAAATGAACGAATCGTTAGAGTTGATTCAATATGAGAAATTGAATCGTGTGTTTCGTTTCACTAAAAAGAATCGTAATGCCCATCACTACTGCAAAGTCGTTGGTTAGTAGTTGTCCAAAGATTCAGGACAGATCTCGACAGACGACACCAGAATATGAGAGGTGATATTATTAAATGTCAAATTCGAATCCGTGCCCAAGAAATTTATTATGAAAATTTACATAAGAGAGATGGGTAAAGGATCGCTATAGGATGATGCGTGTGTACAAAATAAGAATATTTTTCGTACAGTAAGGGTATAGAGTTCATACCTGTACCTATTTCTGAAAACTTTAATTTTTGTAACCAATTTGGGGCTCGATACGTGTTCGTGTCTTCACCGTCTTCGGCCCGGCCAGCGGCAGGCCTAAACAATCCTCTTATAGTCTGCCCCCCCGCAGCGGCGAAGAATACATCGCCGTCGCGCGGGGGCGCCCAACAAGTCACTCGCCGGCGCCGCCGTCCGCCTCCCCCGCTCGCCTCACCCGGGCCTCTTCGGCGATGCCGCTCTTGGATTAGGCCGCTCCGGCTCCACTCACTGCAACGCGAACCTCCAACTCCACCGGTTCTGTCGTTAACCGGGTCTTCCCTGCCACCCCCACGTGTTCGCGATATCTCCGACGAAATAACATAGCGAAAATGACCGCGATCGGCTGCTACTGGCTGCCGTGCTTCCTGCTGCTTGTGCTCCAGGGCTCCACCGGTGTGCTCGGGGGTAGCTGCAGGGAGGCGAAGCTGTGCTGCACCGGCAGGGACTCTTCCTGCGTGGTGCAGAAGGCCCCCGTCAATGCTATCATCGAGGACTTGAGTGACAAGCCGTGTTATTGCGATCACGCCTGTTTGAAGCTGGGCGATTGCTGTTCGGACTTTAAGGATGCCTGCGGAGGTAAGTCTAATAGTTTGGACTTTTGAGACGTTTCCTTTTAAAGAAGTCTAGCTGAAAACGAAAAATATATTAAAACAATATTCTCCAAAATACTTGTGTACTTCAATGTTTTAATATAGATTGAGGGCCACATCACTCTTTTATATCGTCTTCCGATTTTGGCAAAACTTTTTCCGGTGTAGTCTGGAATATTACTCTGAATATTATACAGGGTGAGTCTTAAATAAGTGTAAATATTTTTAGGGATAATATATTCCGACCCTAGGAACACGTTATGAGGTATTTTACGCGAAAAAAATATTTTGATTTTTTTTTAATTTTTAATTAAAAAACATAATATCTTCATAATATGGCAACATAGAGGTGGGTAAAGATTGAACGAGTCGTTCATTTTAACGAGTATTAAAAATGAATCGTGAGATTCGATTCATTGCTTGCAATCCAGTTCGTTCAATTGAATCGTGGCCAGCACGAATCCATAAGATTTGAACGATGAGTCGTAAAAAAGAATCGTGAGAATTGAATCTGATCACAATGCGATCGTTCGTTTATATGGCGCGGCGCCGGCGGTGATATGATCATAAATGCAGGCACCAATATATTTAGACCTGAACAAAGGCGTTTTTATGCAACTCGAAATAAATATTGTTTGTCTCTGATCAATGTGATAAAAAAACGGAGTCAGCGATGGTTATAAAATAAAGATTGCTGTCATTTTATAGGTAAAATTATATGGGGAATATCATCGATGTTCATTTCAAAGCTAACTGGACGCCATTTTTTTTCGATCATGTGTTATTATATACCGTATGATCGAATAACAACGGCGTCAGCGATGGCTATGAAATGACGATCGACGACATTTTCCATATAATGCGTCGTTTTTATTCGATCGTACGGTACTATATATTATGATTATTAAATCGGAATTAAAATATGGCTCTAAAAATATTAAATTGGTATTAAGAAGTCTTTAATAAATAGTATACAGGGTCCGCGGCAATAGTTCGTCGGGCATCTGTAGCTCCTAGAATAAAAAACTTGAGAATTTTGTTCCTAAAGTATGTACCAGGATGTATTTCCGGAAAATATTTTAATTTCTATAGAGTGGCTCAAAAAAGTGTAAGTGGATCTGGATAACTTTTTTTAAATGGAACACCCTGTATATTATTGCATTTTTGGCTTCCTTTCAGATCACTTTAGATAACCTAAGATATAAGTAAATCTATTTCAATAGTTTCAGAGATATTAAAAAATAAATCAAAAATATATATTTTTCAACCCTTCTTAAAAAAAAATATTAAAAATACAAGAACTGTTCTGAAATCCAAACTATATTATATATTTACTTTAGATGGTCTGTTCTTACTTTGCTATAAATATGGTAATCGTAAATCATACAGGATGTTCAATATTTTACGCTAAAATTTCAAAAATATAAAATAATTTTACTTGGTTTCTTTAAAACGAACACCCTGTATATTATTTTTTTATTTGATGGAGAATTAAAAAATGAACATTTTTTGTATTTAAAGTATTTCAAAATTTTAAATAGTTTTCCGGATACACGCAGTATTATTTCATATGGCGCTTTCAATGGTAAAATACGGGAGAAAAATCATTGGGTGGCTTTGACAAAAATTTATTATGGAAAATGCCATATGAAATACAAAACCGGGAATATCTGCGAAACCGTTAAAAATGTTGAAATACTCTAAATGCAAAAAATGTTCATTTTTTAAGTCTCCATCTATTGAAGAAATAATATACAGGGTGTCCCATTTAAAAAATCAAAGAAAAACTATTTTATATTTCAGAAAGTTTGGCGTAGAATTTTGAACATCCTATATGATTAACGATGTTCATATTTATAGCAAAGTAAGTGCAGACCATATAAAGTAAATATCTAATACAGTTTTGATTTCAGGACAGTTTTGTATTACTAATATTTTTTTTAAGAAGGGTTAAAAAATATACAATTTTTATTTATTTATTAATATCTCTGAAATTATCGAAATATATTTACTCATGTCTTAGGTTTATGTAAAGTGATCTAAAAGGAAGCCAAAAATGCAATAATATACAGGGTGTTCCATTTAAAAAAAAATCATCCCAATCCACTCACAGTTTTTTGAGCCACCCTATAGAAGTTAAAATATTTTCCTGAAATACATCCTAGTACATACTTTAGGAACAAAATTCTCAAGTTTTTTATTCTAGGAGCTACAGATGCCCGACGCACTATTGCCGGACCCTGTATTATTTTATATTATTTGGATATTATATTGGATTGATAATTTAATATTATTGGTAAAATAATCAATTCACTTACGCTAGTGTCATAAAGTGTTGAAGAAGAAATGAAAGAACTGTATATTTCTTTTTCTGGTCCCTTAAGTAATTGTCCTGCCAAATTATCGCCGGTAGTGCCAGTTATGATCTTGTTTTTATGAAATGTAAATTGTGCATGTGTTTCCTTCAAATGAACGAATCGTAGGAGTCGATTCAATATGAGAAATTGAATCGTGTGATTCGATTCACTAAAAAGAATCGTAATGCCCATCATTACCACATAGATAGTAGATTAAATTTGCAAGAAAGATAACCCAGAAAAGAACCAGCATTTCTCAAAATTTAAGCGAAAAATATTTTTTCTGGAAAAACAATAAAGAAAAACCATACAATTATTTGCACTTATTTAAGACTCGCCATGTAGAGGTAGAAACAAAAGTTTATTCAAAAACACGAAGAAATGTGTAGTAAAATGACTTGATCACAGCCAATTCATTTTCATTATACAGCCAGTCGACTTACGATCATTTACATGGAACTCAGCGTACTACCTAGAAATTCGTTTATCTTATGTAAGAATTTAAATTCTGAGCTCTTTTGAAAGTCCGTTCATAAAAACTATCGAGATTGGTGCTCTGATTTAGGCCTATTCCAAAAGCCGGTATATCGATTTAAAAACCGGTGTTGGGCTATGTGACACCGGTTGCCAAATATGTATGGGCTACCTGGTGAATCGGTATTTCGCTGAAATTTCAATACACTACAAATATAACATTAGTAACGTAGATGAGCAATGTTAATAACGATAGCTTGCCTATTTGATCTATTTAAACCGTTCGGTTTATTTTTAAACAGATCTGTGGAATTTCGACGTGGAATTTAATGCGGCCGGCGTCTGGCTTTTTGTTTTATGTCGGAAGTGAAGCTGGCGTTTCGCGAGTGACGTGCCCGTCATTATTGGCTGGTCAGTGATCCCGGACGAGGGCCAGCGCCCGCCATTGTTTGTTTATGTGCGGCCACGCGCCCGAAATAATACGCGCCTGGACTATTTTTGGGACAGCGAGACATCTTCGACCAACTTCAAGCACCGATGCGTTCGTGCTCTTAAGACGCACTCTGACGACTCGTGTACTTGTACAAACATTGGTTATTGGCATATATTTGCGATATCGTGTGAGCGGTTTGCTTGTGCAATTATTTGTCACAAGTCGCGCCGCGTGAGCGCGCCAAGCTTGTTGTAAAAAAATGTTGTTTACACAGATAGCATTCTGGCACTGGCTAAACATGCAAATATTGTACTTGCCAAGTACACGAGTCGTGAGAATCCGCCTTTAAGGTGGATGGGCACTAATACGACACCGGCCGGGCGCATTTTTCCATTTCCTATACGAGTAGCGCTACGCGGAGCGCTACTGGTGTAGGAGACGTAGAGTATTAATACTTTACAATGCCTATGCGAGTGACGCACATCTCCTGAAAATGCACTATGGAGCGTAGTATTCATACTTTTGTAAGTCATTTTACAACACTATAGAAAACAAAAGTATTTTTTCTATTAAGTGTACACAGAATGTGCGTCACTCGCATAGGCATTGTAAACATTGTATTAACATTCTACGTTTCCTACACCAGTAGCGCTCTGCGTAGCGCTACTCGTATAGGAAACGAAAAAGTGCCGTCCGGTCCACACAGAAAAGAGCTATCGGCAGTTTTCACGTTACATGGATAGAACAAAATGTAACCCAGGCACGCACTGAATCGGTACAAACCGGCCAGCAACGACGACTGCGACCAATCATAGATATACCGTATGATCGAAAAAAAAACCGGCGTCAACGATGGCTATGAAACGCATTTCGCTGTCATTTTATATTTAAATTTATATGGGAAATGACATCGATCGTCATTTCCCAGCCAACTAGGCGCCGTTTATTTCGATCATACGGTAGATGGAGTCCGTTAAAAAAAATCGGCCCGTAGACGCCGGACTCTTATCTATACAGGGTGTTCTAAATAAGTGCAAATATTTTTAGGGGTAATATATTTTGACAAAAGAAAATACGATTATGTGGTTATTTTTGCGAAAAAAATTGAAAATTTGGAAATTTTTTTAGTTTTTAGATGTACAAATAATTTGTTGATAATATGGCAAGGTACATAGGTAGTAGATTAAATTTACAAATTTTGAAAGTAAAATAATTCGGTTAGGTTAGGTTTTGTACTTATTTGAAATACGGTAAAGAGAAAATATGTCTCTTTATCGAGATTTACCAGCCCTGAAAATATTTGCTCTTATTTAAGACTCACTCTGTATATCTATCCACTATCAGTGCACTTCATTCAGAATTTTGAAATCGACGTTTCGTGTTTGAGTTGCCCTCATCAAATTTCTTTTTTAACTACAGCTCTGGTTTTTTTTTAGTATCTAGGGATTTTAGGGGCTTCTAAGGTTCCAAAATCAGTGATGCCAGCAACTTAGGAGGTCGCAGTATCCGGAATAAAAAATCTAGAGTCGCATTTGAAAAAAATAAAGCTGATTATGGCAGCTCAAACACTATAGAACAAAAAAGTAGCAATAGGAATGTGACATTTATTTTGCTATATCTATTTAAATTAAGTCATAAAAAATAAAAATGAAATCGCGACATTCGTTTTTTTTTTCTAAAAATCTTGGAAAGTATTCGAAATTTTCAAATTTTTAAGCTGTC